CCACTGGTCTGATCGAAATTACGTATTCAGAACGTCACAGGTCAGAGGCGGATTTTAATATACGTAACAGTGATCCGTACATATTTCATTGCGTTACGTCAAATCGGAGGTACTATTATTTGACACGTTCAAATTAAGAATACTATCATGTTTAAATAAAACACTTTAACGGTTTAAAACGCGAAGTATATTAGTTAAGCTTATTTGAATATTGTTCTTAACTTCGGCCCGACGTTTCGAATGCTTTGCAGCAGCCGTGGTCATGGGGAGGTTAAAGATGAAGAATGTCTCTGACGGCAAAGTAAAAATTTTAAAAACATTTAACGGTTTAAAACCCAAAATGTACTACAGTTATTTACAATTTTTTTAACTATAGAACTACGTTTCGAATGCTTTGCTACAGTCTTGGATGTGGGGATCCCGTTTTAAACAGTTAAAAGTGTTTTATCTTAAAATGTACTACTCGCGTAACCTGCAGACAGTATTAACTGAGTCGAGTTTACTTATTGACTTATTTACAACATACACGATGGAGTCTCCCTGTGACCACACTGCTGCAAAGCATCAGATACATCGGGGTTTAGTTAAATTAATGTTAAAAGTGTATTATTTAAACAATTCAGTAGTAAAATAAATTGTCTGCGAAAATAGCGTTATCAAACATTTAAGATAAGAAAATGTTGTATTCAATTCTATTAATTTAAACGGATTTTTCCTTTTTACATTTTATTGTCTCGCTAATCTTACGGTCAAAGATTAATTTGACTTCTTGTTGTAGTTGTCTCGGACCGGTTTTGGCGAAATCTTGATTTGAGTTTTAAAGCAAGTCGGTCTTATAGCAAATCATCAACGAATCGTAGATTCGATTCCCACTGCGTTTAACAAGTTTTTAACATTGTCTATAGTTTACGCGAGTAGTACACATTTAAATAAAACACTTTAACGGTTTAAAACGCGATATATTATGTAGTTAAAACTTCGGCCCGACGTTTCGGACGCTTTGCAGCAGCCGTGGTCACGGGGAGACTAAAGATGGTGGATGTCTCTGACGTCAAAGTAAAAAATTGCTACGCTTGCGCCATCTGTTCCGTCGAAGTTGGTATTTGGCGAAATGTCGGGCCGAAGTTAAAAATCATTTTCAAATAAGTTTAACTAATATATCGCGTTTTAAACCGTTAAAGAGTTTTATGTAAAAAATGTAAAGCTTAATTAAGAGGTTCAGGTGAAAATCTAACTTACGACCATTAGTATTAACCACGCGTAGCTATTAAACCAATCACATGCCATGCTTTCAAGCAATGTTCCTACACTAATCAATATTGCGGTGTAAAAATATATTTTTTTATAATTTTATTGTGTCCTAAAAGTAAAAAAATACCGCCGTCAAAGTTATGACCGCGAGTTATCTTTGATACGAACTTCTCGAATAGCCAGGGCTGTCAGCTGAAATGAAAAATTAAATAAATGTCACTAAAATAAAAACTAATAAATTTGATTGTGTATTAATTATTGTCTGTAATGCGCGCCCAGAACATGTCTCACTCCGAAAAGTTTTACCTAAATCTCAATAACGACGAAGCAGGTGGCGCTAGTGTAGCAGTTTTGACTATAACATTAGGGACAGCCGCCATTTGCGTTCCCCTCTCTACCACGGCTGCTGTAAATCATTCGAAACGCCGACCGTAGTTAAATAAAAATAATTTATTATTATAAAAAAATTATATTTCGCTTTAAACCGTTAAAGGTTTTGTTTACTAGTGATTATATCGTAAAATGGGCTGACAAGTAGCATAAGTTTCAAGCCATTGGATAACCTATTACATCGTATAGTTCGTGTTTAAAACAGTTAAAATGATTTTGTTTTTTTATTTCTAGCGTAAACGATAGATCTAATTTCAATGTAGTTTTAAGCCGTTTAAATTGTCTTATTTAATTTTAATTCAACATAGGTCGTGTTTAAAACCGTTAAAATGATTTTGATTATGTTTACTAGCGTAAACGACAGATTTAGTCTTTGTTTCCTTTTAGTCTATTGACTTTTAAGCATACAAGACTGCTACGGAGTTATTAAAATGTCTCCATGTGAGCGAGCCCTAACGGTTTATAAGGCAAAGTACAGATCAGCTGTTGCCGGCCATGTCCGAATATCATCCGATGCCACACCATTGCTGACGGCCAATCAGCGTTGAGCCGCGATGAGGTCGACATGCGCGCGCGGCGTTTTTTTCATACGTCGCTTTTACGTGATTCAAACGCTGTTTTCGAGTTTTTTGGCGTAAAAGATCTTAAATACTGTCCGTAGTTTACGCGAGTAGTACACATTTAAATAAAACACTTTAACGGCTCCGAACGCGATATACATATATTAGATAAACTTATTTGAAAATTATTTAACTTAGACACGACGGCAGCGGTCACGATCGAGTGATCCCGATCATGACCCTTATGGGAACTTTCCAAAGCCTTATAAGGACAAAATGATTCTCAATAGTTAATAATTTTATCCTAGTCACGTATCGCGTATTAAAAGTAGATCCAAGTTCAAGGTCGATTATATCATTGTCAATTAATCGACTCGTCAGAGCTGAGTGGTTAGAGATATATATATTTACTGGCTGTGTCAGCGACTTCGTCCGCGTGGAATAGTTGTTTGGCCATCCAAATTCGTTTATGCACACTCTTCTTTATAAGTTTAAGCTGCCCACGACATCGGACATTTTCTTTAGATGATATAAAGCGGAATCATTACTTATATGTGTTTTTTGGCTATCTTGAATCGTTTTCGCAGCGTACGCATCGGAAACGCACTAAGAAGAATATTTCTTTCCCGTTTTTTCTACGTTGTCGCTATTTCATTGCTTCCATTAGCGCGTTCAAACAAACTCTTTATATATTAGTGTAGATATTACGTTCCCCTGTGACCATGGTTTTAGTTGAATAATTATAGATAAAATATATCGCTTAGATGTGTTAAATGTCTACTACTCGAGTAAAGTAGAGACATATGAATTGCCCAAATAAGGCTTAGTAAGGCAGGAAGACGGACAATCATAAACTTCAGAGCCATATATCATCTACACAAGATGTGTTGCCTACTTATTTTCGGAGATACGAATTCTGCGGTTTGAACGTGAACTAACGATTCTTAAATCTATACTAATATTATTAAGCTGAAGGTTTTTTTAAACGCGCTTATCTTAGAAACTCCCGGTTCGAATTCATCTAGTACCTATAGTGGGTAATGTGAAAAAAAAGGGGGAAAATGTCCACGACGATATATGTCTGTCTTTTAGGATTAACTAGTAAGAACGACGTCAAAAAAATATGTTATGTATGTTAAAAAAATATCCCCAAAATAAATATTTTACGCGGACGAAGTCGCTGGCGCAGCTAAGTGACAAATATAAGTCGATTATTATAATAATCGATAATTAAGTATCGATTATTCTGATTCGAACTAGTTTTTATCGCGCCTTATCACAACCCTATTGACCTGCGATTTTACAGTTATCTGTGGATTAAAATTGTATCTGCAAACATCTATATCCTTTATTTACACAAAAATATGATCTTTGTTTTATACCTTTGTACTATGAGTCTGTCTGTCTTGTCTGCAATGACGGTACGATTGAAATCTAATAGATACCGGGTTCATTTTTATTGCGACATGGAAAGTTTATTTGCGTTTTATTGTCTATGGAAAGACTAACTAGCGGCACAGAGTCAGAATTGTTAAGCTGTCTAAGAACGACACTGACAGTGTCCGATAACATTTACGGCACGGGGAGCAAGTACCCGGCCAGTTTCGCCGAATACCAACTTCGATGAAGCGTGGCGCTAGCGTAGCAGTTTTTAACTTTGACGTCAAGAGACATCCTCCATCCGCGATATATTTTAGTTGGCCCTGGCCAACTAACATATATCGCGTTTTAAATCGTTAAAGTGTTTTATTTAAAAATAACTTATTTTTGAAGTATTCTAACACAATGCGATATTAGGAAACAATTTATTTCTTTTGGAATCGAGAGCAATAAACATTATATCTTTATTTGGCTAGAAGCTTTAACCTTTCCTCAAAGCAGTCCCATTTTGTTGCTATAATTTTCTGTTTTGGAAGCAAAGAAATTTTATTCCCGTTCATATAATTACTACACAGAGGAACGTACCAAATATTGTGTTACCTTTATTAACCACAGCATTCTATGAAATGATGATAGTTAAATCTTAAGGAGTGTCGTTCTTAGTAAGCTTCCCAATTTTACCGCTAGAGGCGCGCGAATTACCTCTGTTACGCCATTACGATCGGAACCAATTCTATTTAAACATGATTAACGGTAAAATTTGCTGGTCACTGGGTTGAAGAGGATAATACGGCCAATTGAATCTCATTCAAAGTTTTTAAGTCAGGGATTTTGCAACAGATACTAAATAATTGACATAGTCACGCTATCTTAATTGAAAAGTAAATTAAAATAATTATCTATGGTTCATAAGTAAATAAATATATTTTATTATCTTTAAATTATATTTATTTATTTTAAATGAAAAAAACATGTTTGTCTGTCTGTTCGTCGCGATTCTGCAGAGTGTTCAAAAGGGCAACATAACTAAGAAGTACACCCAAGAAACTCAGTCCGGCTTTTACATTGTTGTGAATTTATTAACCTAAGGAGCAATTCATATAACTTACTGCCAGGCGGTCTTGTCATTAAACAAATCGTGCAGACAATAATACGCCCTTTGAGACAATCTAAATTTTATAACTTTCTTAAATTTATTTATCGATAAATTTGAAACCTCGACTGGCAATGTATTATTCATATAAATACAATTCTTCGCAAATGAATTAGATATTTTACGGATTTGGGGATAGCTAGTATATCCTTATTTTGTAAGTAAGTTCGTAAGGTTGTCTGGCTGTTCGGCCGCATAAAATTGCCTGTTCACAAGACATACACAAATCTGTGGCCGTTATAACTTATTATTTTTATCTATTACAGATTATACCAGGACAAGATTATACAAAGGCGCAAGATCATCGAAGTCGCATAAATTTGTAAAAAGGAAATCAAAACGCAATGTCGTCAAAAGCAATATACGAAGCGAACGGAAAAGATTTGATAAACAGGTAATTTATATACTGTAGCTCACGCGAGTAGTTATGCAAAATAAATACTTTACGGAAAATGTAATATATTTAACTTTTCAAATTTCACCTACAAGTCAATAGTTATAAAATGAATTAGAAACAAATTTACTAATTTATTTCACTTTTCAACCCGTTAAATTTGTTTTATTAGTTCTTCGTAACTTAGGTTTAATTATGAATTACTATATGTCTTCAGATCATGTGAGTAGTACATATTTAAATAAAACACTTTTAACTGTTAAAACGCGAAATATTATTAAACTTATTATTAATTTAAATAACCCTCTGGCGTTTCTCCAAATATCAACGATGGCGAAAGAGATGGCGCTATCGTTGCAAATTTGGATTTTGAAAGAATTTGTCTGTTAAATACCGATGTTGTAAGTTCGATTCCCGTCTGTCAATTTTTTTTAGTTTTATATTTTTTTAATGTTAAGTAATTTATCTATTTTCAGACACATTGGGTCAGGCACAGCGCTCGTCCCCTGCCGCTTTGCTGTGTTCGAACAAGGGACAATATGGGAGGACGAACTTGGGAAGAACCCATGGTTAAGTAAGGAGGTAAGTTTTTATGATAGAGGAGTACAGACAAGGAAGGGGGGCGTTTTGGTTCATTCCGTGCAGTGCTCTTCAAATGTTATATGGCTGGGGTCTACTTCTCTTTCCATCTACATTATAAAAAAAATTGTGGACTGTGATTGTGACGTCTCTTCGAAAATACCTTTCTTGCATGAAGCATATTTCTGTGTCTGTTTCAATCTACATTTTATCTGATCTATATTTACAGTCACTTTAGTCGATCATTCATCATCTTCTCTTACCATCCGCACCAAAAATTTTGCCACGGGATTCAAGCCCGCGCAATTAAGCATCGAGCCATTGTGAATTTCGTATGTTAATTGATTCTCATTCTTTACAGCAATTAGTGGTCAAACCCGATCAGCTGATCAAACGGCGGGGCAAACTCGGTCTCGTCGGCGTGAACAAGAACGCTGCTGAAGTGAGGAAATGGATCAGCGAGCACTGCGGCAAGGAGCAGCAGGTCGGCACTGCTGTCGGCAAGCTGCGGCGGTTCGTCGTCGAGCCGTTTGTCAAACATCAGGCTGTGAGTATTGTGTAAAAGTGACTTCTGACGGGCCCGTTGGTCTAATGGTATTTCTGATAATCAACGGGTCGTTGCTTCGATCCCCACCGGGTTCAACATGGAAATCTGGATAATGAAATGGGTGGTGGGAATATAGAAATTCCACGGTCCACAGATGAAAAAATCGTGAAGCTTATTCGCGTTTCGATTTCAGTCTGTGGTCGGAATATCCAAAGTTAAAACAGGTCGACAGCAGATCTTGTATAGATTTATATGGCTGTGGTATTTCATTTCCTATCAAGTGGACTCCATGCTTGTCCGACACCCACTATATTAAGAAATAGACCCTAAAATAGAGGTGAAGTTAGATTCATCGATCCCCCTCTTTTTATTGATGGGGAGAATTTTAAAAAATGGGGGTTCAGTTAAACGGCGGGGTTACAGCAAAGTAGTACAGACTAAAATTGTAGATCAAAAAGTAACCATTTCCGTGATATATCAGTTGAAGAATTGAAAAAAATATTTTATTCGTTCGTCGATTTCAATTCATTTATAATTAATATATTATTCTAAAAATTCATACCAATTTTAAGCTCCGTGGGAATTCATTTAAGCAAAGTCTAATTAGACTCGAGTATAATTAAATCCGATGAAACGAGGCGCGCGCGCATATGTACTTGTCACCACTAATCCCTTGTTGACGTCATCTTAGTACTCCTCTAAAAATATTTATATTTGTTTTCAGAACGAAGAAATGTACCTGTGCATCCAGTCTGGAAGGAGATCTGACACAATCATGTTCCACCACCAGGGCGGAGTCGACGTTGGAGACGTCGACGCTCTGGCTGTACGACTTGACGTGAGTACCTCTGTCAATGCAGTATCAATTCCACTCAAACATTTTGAAATCGTTTAAAATTAAACAATTGTTAAATCAGTCAGTTTTATACAATTCCAACAATTTTACAATCTAACAAAGTCTGTATCAAGAATTCGCCATCTTTGAGCATTATTAAGTATTATATAATATAACTCAATTGAATAGAAATATGTCGAGATACGCCGAGTAACGAGTACCGAGTTTCACTCGGTTCTATCTTTTTTAACCGAATACTGGGCCGAGTAACTCGGTTTAGTCTACTTCCCACCCGTCACAACGTCGACTCGCATTGATACAACCCTCACCCCGCCTTACTACCCCTTTTAACTACCAGTCCAGGGATCGTAAACGCGTTAATTGTTAAGATATTCAAAAATTTCCTAATTACTATTAGTTATGGATTAACACTTGTTTGAAATATATCTACCTAAACATATTGCTTTTCTTAAACAAAATATGCTCGTTCAAATAACACAGTGTAACCGAGTTATTCGACCGAGTACGAGTATTAAAAAAACCCGCCGAGAATACCGAGTATCAACCGAGTACTCGGCCCTTCTCTAGAAATATGTTTGAAAAAAAAACAAGGGTTAAAGTCTTGTTCAAAGTCAATAGTAGTCATGAACGTTCGTGTTATAGGTTTTAGGCGGTATCAAACTAACAGCGTCCCCAAAAGTAAATAATTTCAACCTAGGCGCATCTTTGGGTTAATTCGTAATTTGTACTATTTTAAGATCCTGTCGTACCGTACCGAGAGACGTACTTATTGAGTACGACAACGCTTCGACATATGAACACTATTTTTGTTTGTTAAGATACAAAAAATGCGTATTTAAAATACTTAAACTACAGTAAACCACTGAGCCAAAGTGGCATTTAACATTATTGACAATCTTCCAGGTACCCGTTGACACGTTTCCGACGGGCGAAGAAATCGACACAGTGCTTCTAGCCAACATTAAGACACCGGCGATAAGAAGGTATTTTATCACAATTATTCAAAGAGAGCGTTAAGGAGACGTTTTTCAGACACAATCAGACCCAAAATGTATTTTCAACTGTCTGTAGTTTGTATGTACGCTCAAATATTAAAGCCTACGCAACCGATTTTGATGCGTTTTTTTTTAAATGAAAGAGTGATTCAAGAGGAACGTTTTTATATACAACGTTCATAGAGTCTATAGTTTGTGCGAGTAGCACACATTTGAATAAAACATGGTCTCCCTGTGACCAAGGCTGCTTGCTGCAAAGCATCCGAAACGTCGGGCCGAAGTTAAAAATTATTTTCAAATTAGTTTAACTTATATATCGCGTTTTAAACCGTTAAAGTGTTTTATTTTAACGTTCACAGTTTTTTCGGTAGTATATTTAGTATCAGCATTGCACCCCAGCGAAGCCGGGGCGAGACACTACTATTTAAATACCACTTTCAATGATTTAAAACGCGAAATATATTCGTTTAATTTATTCAGCCAGTTTTGCCATCAATATAATACGACGGAATAGATGGCGCTAGCGTAGCAGTTTTTAGTTTGACATTAGGGACACCCTCCATTTTCAGTCCCCCGCGACTATGGCCGCTGGAAAGCATCCGACGTTAAAATGATTTGTAAATAAATTTCACTAATACATTCCGCGGTCTAAGCCGTTAAAAGTATTATATTTAAGTGTCTACTATTTGCCTAAACAACGGGCAATACTTAATTTGCCAACTTATTGTTTTAGTCCCCTCGTAACCATAGCTGCGACAAAGCATCTGAAACGTTAGGCTGTAGTTTAATTTGGAGCTTTGGAGTCGTACAAACGTGTTCCCAGGGCTCCCTTAAGGCACCGTAGAAGGCTGGTGGTGTGTTTGGTGGTTCTGGTCGGCTATACGATTTACCACACTCACGTCACACTTGCCCGACGTGGGCGTGCATTAGGCATTCACACCATCAGTTAAAAAAAAGGTGTGAACGTGTACAGAATGCGTGTATCCGTTCTATCTTTGGGTTACGTAAATATGATCACGTATCCGAATAATGCCGAAAACTTAACTGGCTTCCGATCCGCTCGCGTCGGAACCTTCATGTCCTTGTTCTCCTTTATCGTATCATTTTCGACCCTAAATCCCCGGCCTATTTAAAAGAAAACTTTCTTCCTTTAAGCTCACATAATTTGAATCTTCGCTCGATTCATAATCTTTTATTATTTATTCCTGCGCATAAGACTTCCTTCTTTAACAACTCCTTCACTAATAAATCTCTGGAACTCTCTTCCCTTAGAAATCAGAAAAGCTCAATATCCCGTACTTTTAAAGTCTCAGTTACCAAATTTTATCTTTCCAGCTGTTAATTGCCTTTCTTTTTCATGATCCATTCTAACACCACCTACCTATAGTCCTTTTATTTTATTTTCTGTTTTTCCCTTCACTTCAGGTTGCCTGGAAGAGATCGCTGTTTAGCGATAAGGCCGCCTTTTAGTTATAACCTAGTACATAAGAATTTATTGTTGTAAACCATTTCTGTGGTGTTTGTAATTAATAAAGTTAATAAATAAATAAGGTGTAGTTTGATAATTAAGAAACAGTTAACGTACGTCCCGTTATTATTTCTTAAAACTGTATTATATAATAAACATGGCACCCACATGTTTTTCAGAATGTTGTCAACCTTCATTTTATCCCTCTACCGAGTGTTCGTGGACCTCTGTTTCACTTACATGGAAATCAACCCCATCGTGGTGACGAATGAGAGGATCTACCTCCTGGACCTGGCCGCCAAGCTCGACCAGACAGCGGACTTCATGTGCGCGAAGAATTGGGGGGAAATAAGCTTCCCTCCACCGTTTGGTAGAGACGCGTACCCCGAGGAGGCGCATATTGCGGACTTGGACGCGAAGAGTGGGGCCAGTTTGAAGGTGAGTCTCGGTGATTATCAAAAAGACAGACGGATTTCTTTTTACTGTCCTTATTTTTTATCTTTTAAATTGACCATAGTTTATACCAAAAAAGACAATTGACGATCAATTCGATAAAATCTTCTTTTTTTTTATTTTACAAACAATCTTTTTTATACATTAACACATTTGAGTTTTATGGACGTTTAATTTTTTTAATAAAACATTATGTCGGTTTAAAACGCGAAATATTAGCGAGGTTATATTTGATTATTATTGTTGTTTAACAAAACACATTTTACGTTTTAAAACGAAGACATCTATAAATTAACAATGACGCAATTTTAACATGCAGACTAAAAAAAATACTTATATTTGATAGGGTTTTAAACGGTCAATAATTATGTCAAATTTATACAAGACTTGAATCATAGTTAAACGCATTAGCTTAGAACTTATATATATATGATAATATTTTACAGTTGACAATCCTCAACAAATCGGGCCGGATTTGGACAATGGTAGCAGGGGGCGGAGCCTCTGTAGTTTATACGGACACCGTATGCGCGCTAGGTGGCGCTGCGGAGCTCGCCAACTACGGCGAGTACTCGGGCGCACCGACCGAGAGTCAAACCGCGGACTACGCTAAGACAATATTCAGTCTTATGTGCAGGGATAAACATCCTAATGGAAAGGTCGGTATACATACAGTGTGTTGATTTTAATATCATATACAGGGTGCCTGCAGACTTGTCATAGAATCTATACCTATATTATAAAGCTAAAGAGTTTGTTTGTTTGGACGCACTAATCTCAAGAATTACTGGTTCGAATTGAAAAAAACTTTTATGTTGGTTAGAGATTTATTAAGAATTACTTAAGTCAAAGATTTAGAGCAACAGCACAAAACGCTGTGAATGCAAGTTCAAGTCCTGCTCGCGTCTATACTTTTTTCAGTTTATAAAGTTTCATAACTTTGCCCAGTCACTAATTCTGGTACGCTTGCAGGTGCTGATCATCGGTGGTGGTATAGCCAACTTCACAAATGTGGCGGACACCTTCCGCGGTATTATCACGGCCATAGAGACGTACAAGGACGCGCTTCTGCAGTACAATGTCACGATATTCGTTAGGAGGGGAGGTCCCAACTACCAGGAGGGCCTTAGGTGGGTATTGTGTGATTAGTCTGTAATGTGGGGGGAGGGGTATGAAAGTGTGTAAGCGAATGTACGCTTAATTAGAATCGCTAGGGGAAAAGTGGGGGGGATGGAGCATTTTTTCAGATAAACATAGAAAATGGTGATACAGAAAATAATTACTATTCAAACTTATTGTAATTATTACTGAACTTTTATAGAATAATAAACACATGAAATCGCCACCTTAATCTGTGAAACGAATAAAATTGTATCATTCTGAATCCGTTGATTACTTTTCCAGGCAAATGCGCGAAGTCGGTCATCGCTTGCGCATACCGATGTACGTGTTTGGACCAGAGGCCAACATGACGGCGATTGTTGGGCTCGCTTTGGGCCAAGCTCCGATCCCAGCAGACCATCAACTGGACTACGCGCCGAAGCAGTTGCCGAAACCACAGGTTGCTGTAAGTAAATACTGTCTGTAGTTTACGCGAGTAGTACACATTTAAATAAAACACTTTAACGGTTTAATACGCGAAGTATATTAGGGAACTTATTACAACTACGGCCCGACGTTTCAGTTGCTATGCAGGAATAAGTTGAATATTACACATATTCAACTTTGGCGTTGTAATCTGTTAAAAGTGTTTTAATAAGATATATCACTTTTGAAAAAGTAAGCTTTTGTCTGTCATCTATGCTATAGCATAAATAGTAGCTTATGTCATAGAAGACAGTCTCCCCGTGACCACAGCTTCCCCCCTCCCCCCCAGCCCCTCCACGGCTGCTGCAAAGCAACGTCGGGCCGTAGTTAAAATAATGTTCAAACAAGTTGAACTACTATATAATGTGTCATTTAAATTCCGTATTTGTTTGTTTCAGCCGGCCCCCAAAATCGAGTTGCCGGATTTGACTAACGCTCTCCTAGACCTGGTGTGCTCTCAGGCCCCGACCAAGATGGATTTGGGGCAGCAGATGTCCACAGCTAGACCGCTGTTCAGTGACAGAACAAAAGCTATTGTATGGGGCATGCAGAATAGGGCCGTGCAGGTAATGCCTCTAAATCACTGTGTCACTGAATCTTAAAATATTATTTAAATTTTATAAATAAAAATATTAATGATTCTTCACTTGGACCACCGCCGAAGTGAAGTCGGATCTTGTTTCGTATCAGCCAGATGTTAATATTTAGCTTGCATGAATATATTTAAAACCCGCGTGATGAAATCTAATCATTTTAATTTAAGTTTTTACAAGTGATGTAAAATGTGAATGAGAAAAAAATGTCTTTAAACCGAATGCGAAACACTACTTAACAGATGTGTTTATTGATGGATGTTTTTGTAATTGATACAATGAAGGTGATATTTTAGGAATTACGCATAAGTACTACCGCCGTCATATTTACTTCATAATTCTTATAATCTCATAAAAACATTGAAGAGAACAAGATTTGTGCTGCGAGTCAGTGGTAAACAAAGTTCCAAATTTTTTTTTTTTATAATATTTAATGGCCTGACAAAGTTCCTAACCGTCCCAACCATAGACAATGTGGTAATGACAGATGTCAACGTCATCCGCGCCATATTGAAGCGTACAAACAAGAAATTCATTAATTAACGTAACGAATTTCTTACTACTACGTCGAGTTTGAAACCTAATTTAAATTTGGAATTTTCTCAGATTTTTTAAATTAAAAGTTAAAGCCGGCCCTGTAGCTAGATGGTTACACGTGGTGCCTGACACTTCGTTAAGCGCGAGAGATCCTAGGTTCGAATCTCGGGAAAACAACAATTGTTATTAAAAAATACCGCCTCTGTAGCGAAATGGCTAAACGTTGCCTAGCATTGCGTTAAGAGCAAAAAGTCCTAGGTTGGAATCTCGGGAAAACGATGGATCGTTTCGGTTCGAATTTTAATGTATATAAAGCCATCGTGTGCATTAACATGTGAATAATAAAGTGAGTAATATCTCATTCCAGGCTATGTTGGACTTCGACTACATATCCCGGCGCGCGGAGCCGTCCGTAGTGGCAATAGTTTATCCGTTCACCGCTGATCACAAACAGAAGTACTATTTCGGAAACAAGGAAGTTTTCATTCCAGGTGGGTTAAATTTCTTAAACACGACTTATTGTGGATTTTATTTTAAAATTTAGCACTTCATACCCAACCTATATAGCACTATAGCTTTAAATTACAATATATTACTGAAAAACACATGTAGATCAGATGAGCTGTATAAGATAAGCGTGCATTAACACTTTAAAAGGTGCGTTCGGCGACTAAGCTTTAAAGTCAGTCTTTGGTTAGTCGAGGAACGGGCAACATATTTATATAAGTAAACAGCTCAAAAACGAAATGGTCGCACAGTATATAACATTTTAAATAAAACCCGGTCAACGGCTATTAAATACTGTGATTTTTCTTACCATTGGTAAAAAAAAAACAGTAAAAAAATAATATTAATTTATACCAACTATGACACCTTGTCATTTCTTTCATGGACACAGACATTGGCAGAATTTATTAAGAATGGGGAAGTCATCAAATTAATAAGATGACAGGCCTTTCAGAAAAGTGACATACCGCAGGGTATGCTATGCCTAACTTCAGAGTGGCGGGAATTAATGTATTACCAAAATATATATAATCATAATTAAAAGTATTTATATTAAATATTGTCTATAGTTTACGCAATATATATAATCCTATTATACGGTTGAAAAGAATTTTTAACTTCTGCCCCACTTTTCCGATTTTTTTCCCCCCCCCCCCCCCCCGGGGGTTCCCCCCCCCCCCCCCCCCCCCCCCCCAAATGGGTTTAACATATATGCGTTTTAAACCGTTGAAAGTGTTTAGTTAAAAGCGTATTTATATTATTTTATCTCCTCGGTTCCAGTGTTCTGTGACATGGACGTTGCGATGCGGAAACACCAAGAGGCGACGGTTCTCGTCAACTTCGCTTCTCTGCGGTCAGCGTATGACAGCACTATGCAGGTGTGTTTTTAAATTAAGAACTGTCAATATTTCAACAAAAAACAAATAAAGGCACGGAAAGAACTAATGATTTATTATAATAGTTTTTGTTAAATGATTTAAGCATGTAAGAGCGGAGTAAGAGGTGTTTTTGACATTTTGACAAATAAAAATTGCACTCTTTATTCTTCCTAATACGACTTTACCATTTTAAATGGATTTGGTTAATGCCCTCTGTCGAGCGAGGACTAGAAGGGATATATTTTCAATTGACACTTTTAAATATGAGATCTTTGTCCTGTCAAGCAATTAGTTCCTTGATTTTTGAAAAGGAAACAAAAATAACACCACAATATATTACAACAGGAATAACAAAGTGAAATAAAATATGAATGCTTCCTTTTTCATTTTACAGATAACGTTGAATACTTTTATTTATAGAATATATAGCATTGAAAAAAAAAACTGTAGAAAGAACAACTTCCAAATTTGTGTATTTGGCTATTTACTTAGTTCGTTTAAAATTCGAAAAAAATCGAAAAAATTTTTCGACGCGGCAGGACTTGAACCGGCATCGTCAGCGTTCCGTGCTGTTGGCTCTACCAATTGAGCTACCGAGTCGATCTTTAATATTGTATTTTTAAAATCAAATAGTGCCTTCACACGTGATAAATGTTTTTCGAAGCAGTTGTATCAAATACCACCCTGGTCAAACAATTATCTTTTTTCCTAGCTCTATTAGGAGAAATTATTAATATTTCCTAGAATTAAAAAAAAAATACGGATTTTTTGATACATAACACATAATTGATCGTCGATTTGGCTATTTTTCTTTAGTAACAAATGAACTGAAGATTTTTTTTCTTTTCAGGCGATGCAACACCCACAAATTAACACAATCGTAATCATCGCTGAAGGTATTCCCGAAAATATGACGAGGAAGATCGTCAAACTCGCTGATGCTAGGGGGGGTAAGTGTTATTTCCCTTTGTAGCCATGGTCACGGAGGGGGGCGAGCTTACTAAATTATTAAAAGGGAAATGGTGGTCGCATTGTTTTGTCATGCAATTTGACATTTGCTTAATTTATAATTATTCTCTTTTGGTACACAGCAGACAGTTTATTGCCGCTGCAAAGCATCCGAAGACGTCGGCGAAATAATACGATAACCTAGATATTTCGCCATTTAAACTGTTAAAAATGTTACAATTGGATGAATAGTATTCAGTATATTTTAATCTACTATTATGGTTATATTTGTAGGTCAACATCATTGGGCCAGCTACAGTGGGCGGTATCAAGCCAGGTTGCTTCAAGATCGGAAACACAGCCGGCATGATTGACAATATTATTGACAGCAAACTCTACAGGCCGGGAAGGTATGACATTGAATATATTCACAGTGTTCATTTATAGCTTGGATATATAAAACCTTTGATATTTTTGACATGGTATTTTACTATGGCACTCTCAATAAATAACTTTAAATCGTATGTAAAACAAAAGCTCGGAAAGGGTTACTATGAAGTTAATTATAAGAATATAAAATGAGACTTGGCGATAAAAGGAGTGACGGCGAGTTTATTGCCAGCTCTTCTCGTTCGTTCTACGCCCTTGATTTGAGAACTGGTGCTAATTGTAAAGTTAGATTCTTTAATTTTGTGACGTTCATAAGTGTACATAGTTACCGATATGAATAAATGATTTTCGACTTTGACTCATATAAATCAAAAATCGATTATAAACTGACAAAAAAATACGACTCGGGCAGGCATTCACAACATTCCGTACTGTCTATAGTTTACGCGAGTAGTACACATTTAAATAAAACACTTTAACGGTTTAAAACGCGTGACCATGGCTGCTGCAAAGCATCCGAAACGTCGGGCCGAAGTTAAAAATCATTTTCAAATAAGTTTAACTAATATATCGCGTTTTAAACCGTTAAAGTGTTTTATTTAAATATTACGTACTGTTACTCTAAGCGACCTTAACCTTAAAACGCAGGTGTTAAGGTTGAAATTACATTGCACGAAAAGTGCATGCATATAAATAAGAAAAAATTCGTTCGTCGATGACCTGTAGGACTCGGTAGCTCAATTGGTTAGAGCAACAGCACGGAATGCTGACAATGCCGGTTCGAGTACTGTCCCCTAATCGATTTTTAACTTGTACATATGTTATAGTACTTAGTTCGAATCCCCGACAAATAAATATAATAAATAAATAAATAAACAATAAAGTATTTCAGTTTCCCGGCACTTCTGTTTGATATACATAAACAACCAAAAAACAAATGTCTTGTAGTTTTCTTTTTGTCAATAATTATTCTTAACTTTACTCCCCCCATACCCCTAGCTAAGAAAATCTAGGTGAACCGCGCTCTTGTCTTTCATGTGATAAACTCTAGTCCAGGATTCGATTTGCGGGAAAACTTGATAAATCGTTGTGGTAGATTATGGCACATGTGTTTAATATTTTAATATCTTTTTCAGTGTGGCCTATGTCTCCCGTTCTGGTGGTATGAGTAATGAGCTGAACAACATTTTGTCCAAACACGCTGATGGTGTCTGCGAAGGAGTCGCCATCGGAGGAGATAGATATCCTGGAACCACCTTTATTGACCATCTTTTGAGGTAAGTTCTTGGTTACGCATTTAAAAACCTAGTTTAAACATCCCCATACCCACGGCTGCTGCAAAGCATCCTTGACGTTGGGCTGTAGTTGCAATCATTCAAGGGGATAGGTTATAAATCTCTGGACTTACTGTTATCGCAGATTTGAAGCTGACCCGAACGCCAAAATGCTGGTCCTCCTCGGGGAAGTGGGTGGTGTTGAGGAGTACCACGTGTGTCGCGCCATCAGGGACGGTCTAATCACCAAACCCATAGTGGCGTGGTGTATAGGAACATGTTCAGGTGATTTGGTGTTTTATAGTAAGGCCATATTTGTTACAACACCCAAGTGAAAGAACATATAGTGTATTTTTCCTAACTTGGCATTTTTTTTAGAAAACACACAATTTACGGGAAATAGTGATTTTCTCACAAAGTTTACATTCATTTACCTAAGACACTTTGAACACTGGATTATATATAAAACTAATGTAAACGTATAAGACTAAATATAAAAAAAATGTGTCCTGCTTGTTGGTTGAAAGGATCTTAATCAGCTTATATCAGGTCCTTTGTTGACCTGAATTTCTGTAACTCCTTAGAGTGTGGAAAGCGGTGCCACACGCAAGTGAAAATTTAAAAAAATATCTTTGTTTTAACAATAAAAACATGGTAAGCTTAACAGAAAAAAACAATAATAAAGCATACGAAACGTAATTTATAATTTTCTGAAACATGTTCGGCTTCGGCTTCATTTTTAAAGTTTTGGCATATTTTTTTGTGTGTGTCTTTTTTATATCTTACCCCTATCTTCCACAGATATGTTCACGGCTGAAGTACAGTTCGGACACGCGGGTTCGCTCGCCGGCTCCGCTTTAGAGAAGGCGGTCGCGAAGAATGCCGCATTGAAAAAATATGGCGTCACTGTGCCCGAGTCGTTTGACACTCTTGGCGAAGCTGTCAATAAGGTATGTTCTATTTATATATTTATTTCTGATAATTTATTAAGACAAAAAGGCGTGAACAAAAACTTATAACAGTTTTCGGTTTGTCCCCGTCTCGTTGCACATTACACACATTTTTACTACGAAATTTTTAATTAGGTATGCCATATTGTAAAATTTTGTGTACTAAATAATACGCATTATGAATTTACACAAATATATAAAGCTGAGGAGTTTGTTTGAACGCACTAATCTCAGAAACTGAAAATTGTTGGTTAGAACATTTATTAAGGAAGGCTATACGCCATAAAACATATCGCTGTGCCTAATAGGAGCGAAGATACAGCGAGAAATGTGACAAAAATTGGGGAAAATATTCATCATTATGGCTTTCCAAGGCGTACGCAAAAACGGTTCATGAGAACCAAAAAATATGTATGAGAGAATGATTCCTCTTTAAATGATCTATTTATCTTGCAAGAACGCCAGGGAACGGACGCGACCGACGTCGTGGGTAACGGCTTAGGTTTATAAAGATTAATCTTTATAGGGGTTTCCAAAAACGAATTTGGATGCCCAAGATTCTCGCGAATGATGTCGCTGACACAGCTAGTGGTAAATACGAAATGCAAATGCTAAACTTTAATTAATTTTTATATAACATGTTTCAATTCACAGGTCTTCAAGAAACTAGTGAAAGAGGGCAAAATTATTGAAAAAGACGAGGTGGAACCACCCAAAGTACCGATGGACTACGACTGGGCCAGGGTAAGTTTAAATCAATGAGCAAATTAATATGACTGTATGTTGTTATTCTTTTGGAAAAAATAAATTTATGATAGATGAGGACAGACATGCCCAGGGTTCACTCGATGGAAGGTGCCCAAGCTGTAGCATCTGAACAAAAATCTTTAAACTAAAACCGAGACGCGATTAAACTTCATGGCTTTTTCATTGACGGTAGTTCGTGACCCGGATGGAATTTCGATGTTCCAACCACCCATTATATCCAAAAATCCAGACGAAATTCAATATTTTTGAGTAAAATTATAAATTGGTCAGAAACTTTAAATAAAAGCACTTTAACAGTTTAGAACGCGATATATATCTATTAAACTACTCGAGTAAACTAAAAAATGCTGTCATTTGACTAGAAATTTGTTAGACCCGGTGGGGATCGAACCCACGACAAATCTTTCCCCCGATCCCTACATTGCTACAATTAGACCAACGAGCCCGTAAATAGTAAAAAAAAAACTATTTTTTTTTTCTAGAAATTGGGCCTCATCCGTAAACCAGCGGCGTTTATCAGCACCATTTGTGATGAACGGGGCCAGGAGTTGAGCTATTGCGGTGTTCCCATCAGCCAGATCCTGGAACGGCAGTTGGGTGTCGGTGGAACCATCAGTCTCCTGTGGTAAGTTTGATTTCTTTATTATCCATGCCTGATAATGTACTTATAGTGTATTTCTAACTTGGCCGAAAAATTACTCAACAAATCAAACGTCGGGCCGAAATTAAAAAACATTTTCAAAAAAAATTAAAAAAAAAAACCCGTTTTTTAACAATAAAAAATTTTTTTTTTAAAAAAAAAACCCCCCCAAAAAAAAAAAAAAAATTTAAAATGGCCGACTTTAAACCATTGATAGTGATGACGTTTTATCGAGTGAAGTTGTTGCCACAGATGATAGAAGGACAAAGAAGTATCGATGACATTTTGAACGACCACAATATGCAAAATCACTTTTATGACGGCCTTCAACATCATATTGGGTAGATGTTAATAATTTTAAAATATTTTTTTTTATTGCTTAACCTTTATGTAGGACATTCGGGCTCCTTTTTATGACCCACAATGAAATACCATAGTCATATAACATCTTCACAAGATGTACTGTCGGTCTGTTTTGGATATTCGGAAATCCATATACTAAAGCCGAAACGCGATAAAACTTGACAACTTTTTCATCTGTCGATAGTAAATTAAAGGAATTTCGATGTCCATATTTCCCGAAGAAGTCCAATATGTTTCAGAAACATACATTTATTTAAAATGTCGGCCTCGGTGGGGACTCGTTGATTATTAGCGGTACATCGCTACCATCACACCAATGAGCCCGTCAATGTCCGTTTTTTATTCACATATTTAAAAATGCCATGATAAACATAAAACTAAGTATCGCTTCCTATTTACAGGTTCCAACGGGAGTTGCCCGAGTGGGCGTGCAAGTTCTTCGAGCTGGTTCTCATCGTGACCGCTGACCACGGACCGGCGGTGTCCGGCGCCCACAACACCATGGTCACCGCGAGGGCTGGGAAGGACCTCATATCGTCAATTGTGGCTGGACTGCTGACTATTGTGAGTATCGCTACATAGTATAAAACAAAGTCGCTTTTTCTGTCCCTATCTTTAAAACTACGCAACAGATTTTGATGTGGTTTTTAATTGATAGAATTATTCAAGATGAAGGTTTTTACATACAACGTTTTTCTGTAGTTCATTTCGTTTCGGCATTGCATCCGACCGAAGCTGGGTCGGGTCGCTAGTTATTGCAATAAAAAAATATCTCTGGTAATCTCCCCGTAAGGTTGAATAAGTTTTAACTAATATATCGCGTTTTAAACCGTTAATGTGGTTTTATGTAAATTCCATATCATTATAAAGTATACCTTTTAACCACGACGTCGTTATAGCGAGTTAGTCTTAATATATAGACATATACTAACGCGGACGTTTTTTTAAGATCATTTAAATAAGAATCATGCTACCAAACATATTTTTTGGGTATCCTGAACCGTTTTTGCACGTTTCCTGTTGTGTGAAGTCCTCTAAGACCTTCGTTAGCTAAGGCTTTATAAAACATCACGATGCCACTTATAGGTTTAAAATTATTGTTATTTTCCATGTCACTCGCTGAGTGGTTCAAACAACACAAAAATAATTTCTCGATTCGAATCAGCATTCCCTGAGATCTATACTAACATTGCAAAGCTGAAGAGTTTGTTTGACCGCGCCAATCTCGGGAACCACTGGTTCGAATTGAAAAGTTATTTCGTACAAACAAATCAATTTTCAATATAGTAAAGATAGTCAAGGGCCGAAACCTACATTTATATTCATTAACCAAGTGACAAAGATATCCATTATTTGCCCAGGGTGACCGTTTTGGTGGAGCCCTGGATAGAGCGGCGGCTGACTTCTGTTCCGCTTACGACCGCGGCCAACACCCCCAGGAGTTTGTCAACGAGAAGCGGGCGAAGGGGGAACTGATTATGGGAATTGGGCACAGGTGAGCAATAAGCAAAAATCGGTCGTATTTTTAGTGCTGTTGTAAAACCGGTTATGGCGTGTGTCAGTTGGGCATGCCACAAGTGTAAACACCTACTATCCATTAATAATATCTGTCCATTTCAACACGACTAACAGTTTAACGAATACATATCGCGATTTAAACCGTTAAAGAGCTTTTCGGGTGCTTTGCAGCCTCCATGGTCATGGGAAGACTAAAAATGGCAATTTTCAATTGAGTTTAACTAATATATATCGCGTTTAAAACCGTTTAAGGGGTTTTATTCCGGTTTTTTTTTTTTTTTTTTTTTTTTTTTTTTTTTTTTTTCCCGGGGGGGTTTTTTTTTGGTTTTGGGGCCCCCTTTGGGGGGGGGGGGGGGGGGGGGGGGTTTTTTTTTATAAGTTTAACTAATATATATCGCGTTTAAAACCGTTAAAGGGTTTTATTTAAACGTGTACTACTCGCGCAAACTACAGACAGTATTTAATTTACATACCATTTCGACATCTACAGGGTGAAGTCGATAAACAACCCCGACTCGAGAGTGCGCGAGCTAAAGGCGTACGTGACGTCGCGCTGGCCGGCGTGGCCCGTCACCAGATACGCCCTGGACGTCGAAGCGATCACCACCCGGAAGAAGCCGAACCTCATTCTCAATGTGGACGGTATAATTGCCGCGGCCATGGTCGATATGTTCCGGCATTGTCAACTTTTCACACAGTGAGTACATCTATACTAATATATATATTTTTAATGATATAGGAGGATCACCTGATGGTAGCTGATACCCCCCAATCTAAACAAGATGCGCGGTCGACCTATTTCGGCTTTGGATATTCGGAAATCCACAGACTGAAACCGAAACGCGATTGAGCTTCACGACTTTATCATCTGTGGACCGGGGTTCGTGACCGGGCGAAACTTCGATAATCCTACCGCCCATTTAATATCGAGATTTTCAGACGAAGACCAGCATATTTCAGAAAAATTTTAAATTAAAAATTAGAAAATCGAAATAACACTTAACGGTTTAAAACGTATATTAAATACTGTCTATAGTTTCGGAGTAGTACACATTTAAATAAACACTTTAACGGTTTAAAACGCGATATATTAGTTAAACTTATTAAAAATGATTTTTAACTTCGGCCCGACGTTTCGGATGCTTTGCAGCAGCCGTGGTCACGGGGAGATTAGTTTAACTTATATCTCGCTTTTTAAACCGTCAAGTGTTTTATTTAAATGTGTACTACTCGCGTTAACTATAGATAGTGTTTAAGTTAGAAAATGTTGGACTTGGTGGGGATCGAACCTGACACTTAGACCATTAGACCTGATACTCTATATGACGGCCTCGTTGCTGAAGAGTGCGTTTGTTTGAACAAGCTAATCTCAGGAGCTACTGGTTCCAATTGATAAAAGTTCTGTGTCGGTTAGAGCATTTATCAAGGAAGGAGGATATAAATATAGCATGCGACCAATAGGAGCGAAGGGACATAGGGAAATGTGGGAGAAACGGGGAAAATTATTCATGTACACAAAAATTATGTATGAAAGAATTAATCCTCTTATAATAATTTAATGGCAACCGTGATTTTTTAGAATCTTCATATTAATTACCGTGATGTAGACGTTATTTTATTTAAAACATAAATAAACGAATATTTTTACCAGAAATCAATTAAAAATAATGGCGGCCAAATTTCGATAGGCACCCTAGTAATTATATACTCTCTTAATTATAAAATAAACATAAAAATTTGGTTTTAAACAAAAAGTCGATGAGCACACCAATCCCGCAGCGGGATCTCGTACCACTAGTTCCGACATAGGCCTGTATAGTACTTATCTTAAATAATGCGCGTAATTACAGTAATGAGTACATTTCAGAACTTTAAAACCAATGAAGAAGTTGACGAACTAATAACAATAGTTATTTTTAATTGTAAAGTATTTTTTTTCACTAAACACCTCATTTCATGCCAGTCAGAGATTAAAATTAAACCTCTGTTAAGCTTCGACTTTGGTCGCCATGTTGTGGAGTAGATCGTTCGATTTTTGAATTACACGACTAACATGATTTTATATAGTAATTTATTTGGCTAAATACGACAATTAAAGATTTTCATACAACTATTGCCATCCGCTGCTCGACCAGTACAGCAAGTTCGATTTATCTCGAAGATAGTCAAAATAATTCTTTAACTTCCAAGCGTTGTTTGGAAAAAATAATTACAATTCAATTACTCAATACATGTTTCCACTTACAGAGAGGAGGGTAACAACTACATCCATATGGGCACAATCAACGCGCTGTTCGTGCTGGGCAGGACTATCGGTCACATCGGACACTATCTCGACCAGAAGAGGATGAAACAGCCACTGTACAGACACCCATGGGACGACATCACATATATGTCCCCTCTGAACTAAGTTGGGTCTTATAGAATACGCTAACCGGCGGAGCTATTTGCAAGCGTAGATTTCTCATAGTTTTACTGTTTATTATAGATAGCACTTGACTATAGGTTTGTGTGATCCGTTTGTGGGGTAATAGATGGCGTTGAAAGCAATTCTATTAACGTATAAAAAGTGTTTTTTAGTTGCTGCTTAGATTTTTATTGCGAAACTTTCTTATATTGCTAAATTATTAAGTTGGCTCTTTATAAAAAAAAATTGATTATAAACCCTATTTTTTTTTGCTCAGCGGGTAAAAAAACAATTATTACTTTTAAATTCTTTGCCTAATTAGGTTTCTTTAGGCAGACTTAATTCAACGTCATCTATTGGAGATCATGCATAATCTGTGGTTGAATTTGACACAACACAGATAATGTTTAACATTCCTATCGCGTCATTACATTCCTCGCATTCAGAATAGCGAGACGATAATTGTTGAATTTGTTGACAGATAATATTTTTATAGCTTCACTGATATCTCGATTTTATTAATATAGACTATAATAAGACACTGACATTCTAGATGTACGTAGAGAATTAAATTATAGATAAATTATTTTGCTTGTATGGGTTGGCGGGTTTTCGTGACGGGGCCAGATATATATTAAATGGAAGATTTTCTTTTATATATTGCACAGAGTAATATGGCCTAAAATACTTCGAAAATAAATTATTTTTTTTAAATACTAAACCTAATAACTGAATACTGTGAAGAATCTTTGTATCGTCTCTTTCAAAGTCTTAAAGACACTAGTGGAAAGAGGCATTGAGATCTAAGTGGATGAAATTTGAGGGTGGTCTTCAAGTTTTAAAAGCTGTTGGACATCTAATTTCGAGTTGACAAAAGCGCCATCTAGTATATGCCTGGCCTAAAGTATCTGCAGTGCTTCGTGCATCGAATAGATTTTATATAAATGGAGTTAAATTAAAAAAAATTGTGCACAAAATATATAAAATAGCGACGCACTTTGGTGTTGAAGTAAAATAATGAAGAACAAATTAAGTACACTTACGAAAATAGGGGTTTATGAAATGAAACAGTTTTAACCGCTTAAAACGTCAACTTTTCTTTGAACATAAATATCTACAAATTCAAGATTTAAAAAATAGCATACAACACGTATGCTATTTTTTATATCTCTTTACCAATATGTATGTACTTCACGTATTGTAATTTTTTTATCTCAAAAATATGTCTGTTTTGTAGCGAAAACTATACCTGTCTTTCCAGTGTAACGTTTATTCATAATAATTATTTTTTTATATACAATTAATCGCGGCCGTAGTTGTAAGTCGTAAATTGTTTATTTATTGGTATATTTGTGAAAATGGTTGGTAGGTATATGTGTAAATATTTTCTTTGATTATATTTTTATTTGCTGTACGATTGGTTTTATTTAATCATAAAAAAGTCCAAGTCAAACTTTTGTCTAAATAAAGAAGTTCCGCAATCTCGCGGCACCCCTTCCCTTATGGCGACGGTCTTTGGTCCGTGTCCACCTGGGTGTGTTAGCGTAGCATTTAGGCCTAGGAGGCAAGGCTAGCTGGCTCCACATCGGGGCTGCCGCTTGAGCAGTCGTTAGACGTGTCAGCTTAACACAGCCGTACCCAGGGAGGCATTTTCCGACAGTAAAAAAAAAGGCTAATAATCAACGGGTCCAATGTGGTGGGTTTCCAAATATCCAAAGCCAAAATAAGTCGACAGCGCATTTCTTTTAGATGCTATAGAGGTATATCACCCACCATTAAGTAACTGCTTGTCTTCTTTTTCATTAAAATAATGGCTATCCATGAAACAGACCGGGCTTGTCTGATCTCATGCGAAAAAGAGAAAACAAAATATTTTGTAAATAATTTATATAATCCAGCGTTTATGTACAATCAACGAACAAAAATACATCTTCTAATCGAGATATTTAAAACATAAATAAATGTCCAATAAAAAAAATGCGTTACCTCAATCACAGTCTTATGTATTGCCGAAAGACACCACTTTGTAATAATAAATAAAAACCGATAGAATTATTGTCTGTAGTTAACGCGAGTGGTACACATCAGATAATACCTTCAACGGTTTAAAACGTGAAATATACGAGTGAATTAATTTTGTAACCACTAAATCAATTTAACCTATATATTTCGGGTATTAAACCGTTAAAAATGTTTTACTTACAACCCAACAGAATTCGTAATATTATTTAAATAAAACACTGACGGTTTAAAACGCGAAATATATTGAGTTATTTAAAAAATATGTTAACTACGGCGCGTCGTTTCGAATGCCTTGCAGCAGCCGAGGCCATGGGAAGACCTGGGCCATTGTTAAAATAAGTTAACTAATATATTTTGCGTTTTAAACCGTTAAGTGTTTTATTTAAATAATATAACTAATTCTTTCATACTAAGTATATCGCAAAATTACATTAATTGATTCGGTGGTTACGGAGCACAAAGTCACTTGTATATTTCACGTTTCAAACCGTTAAAGTGCTCTATTTAAGATATAAATATAAAACTAATGTCATTATTTTAGTATTGCAGGTCAGACCAGTCCTACTGATCAGCTTTCATATTGATCGCTTTAGTAGCGTTCTCGAACTCGGTGAGGGATATCCCATGGTTTGACAACATGTGACTCTTCATACTGCACTTCTGCACAAAGGCCAAACCGCACAAACCACATTTGAACCGTCTATCATTATTATGTATCCGCATATGCTCCCTCAAGGTCTTCTTCCTGGCATATGCCTTATGGCACACCGTACAACTGAACACCCTCTCCCCGTTATGCCTGATCATATGTTCATCTAGCGACTGCTTGATGAAGAACCCCTGACCACAGTCCGGGCATATGTGATTCCGTTCCATCAAATGCACTTTCTTTATATGAGAAGTCAGCTTCGACTTCAATATGAACGATTTATCACACACATTACACTTATATGTGGCCGCTGATATGTTATGCTCGGCAAACATATGCCTATTCCGTTGGTAGTAACTGTTGAATGTCTTCTCACAGCGGGGGCAGTTAGTCGTGTATCTAGCACTGGAGTTGTGCGTGTACTTCTCATGGCATTTCTTCCTAACGCCGGTAGTGAACACTTTATCGCAGTACGAACATTTAAAACTACCCTCATCGTGCGTTCGCTTATGGTTCTTCAGCCGGTGTTTATTTATGAAGCCCATATCGCAAATTTCACATATATAATTCCGGTAGTGCCCGTTCATGTGTTGTAACAACATTTTGAATGTCTCAAATGTCGAATTGCACAACGCGCAGTTCAGTATCTCGCCGTCCGTTAGTTTGAATTCGAAAATGTAGTCGTAGAGATCCGGGAAGAACTTTTCACTGTGTTCGGAGGTCAAATGTTTTTTGAGGGTAGATATGTTTTGCATGCTCCTGCTGCATATGCTGCAATGTAGATCTGTTATGTCTATTTTGAGTGCTAGATTGCTTTTGTCCAACCGCTTCTCGCTGAAGTTAAGCTTTGGGTGGTGTTCCTGTATGTGGGAGCGTAGTTCGTTTAGATTTGCGCAGGTCGTTTTGCAAGAGGCGCAGATGATGCCGCTTAAGGTTTTGTTGAAGAAGGGTGTGCAATTTGAATATTGCATTATTTTCTTCACGTTGTATACATGTTTCGCGTTGTCTGAATATATCTCGGAGGCGTCTTGCTTCTTCATGCTAAACATTTTCAGTGGCAAGTCATCGCAATCTAAAAAAGCAAATTAAACTTATCAATATAGTCAGTAGTTTACGCGAGTAGTACATATTTAAATAAAACACTTTTAAGGGTTTAAAACGCGAACTATATTTGTAGCAGTTAGTTAGATTAAAAGCAACCAAAGCGTCGGGTCACCAACGTCGGGCTAAGATAAATTGCATATAAGTTACTCAATATAAATCGCGTTTTTAATTGTTATAAGGTGTTTTACTCACTGCAGTAAATCTGTTTATTATTTAAAATCGCGTTACTTTATTTTCCCAATGTTATACTATTGAAGACTTTAATATTTTTCACATGTTATTGCACATGATGGCACTTTATAAATTAAAAATCGATTATTTATATCAAGAGGTTTCGATTCGATCGAAAAGATTCGTAAGATATATATTAGTTAAACTTATTTGATAATTATTTAAACTACGGCCCGACGTTTTGGATGTTTGGCAGCATCCGTGGTGACGGTTAGACTAAGAATTGTCTGACGTCAAAGTAAAAACTGCTACGCTAGCGCCATCTGTTCCGTCGGAGTTGGTATTTGGTGAAACTCCCATCTAGATTTGCTGCTGAAAAGCATTCGAAGCGTCGAGCCGTATATAAAATAATTTTAAATATGTTTAATAATTATCGCGTTTTAAACCGTTAAAGTGTTTTATTTATTGCATTATTATTTGTATTAGTGTAAGTCTTACCATCATCTTGTATTACATGTTTCTTGTGTTTCCGTTTTCGCTTAACCGTCATATCTTTTAGACCTAATATTTCCGCTAATTTTGAATCCGTATCTATTGCTGGTAAAGAATCGCTATTCATATCTAAAAAAAGGACATTAATTTATGTATTTTGAGTAAATAATATATACGAGACCGCTAGAGGCAGAGTGGCCTAAGTGCAATTATATGACTTCATATTTATTATTTTCATAGTCTAAAAATGTTAATCTACAAGAGCACAGTTTAACATAATTCTTACGCAAATAATAGTACAAATCCATTTTCGCCTAAGTTACTTGGGCATTTTTATTTTCCTCCTTATTGAAAATCGTGTTTTTTTTTTGTTATTAGGCCACTCTGCCTCTAGCAGCCTAATATTATGTTTGAAAACATTCATATTTTTCACATGTTGCACATAAAGGCACTATATAATTTAAAAATCGAAAATAAATTGAAAAAATTTTCAACTCGGGCAGGACTTGAACCGGCATCGTCAGCTTCAATGATTTCTTAAGCTGCAAAGCATAAGACATTGAACCTTAATATGCAAGTGTTAAGGTTGAAATTACACTGCGCGAGAGGTGCATGTATCAATAAGTTGAAAAAATTAGACGATGAGGTGTAGGACTCGGTAGCTCAATTGGTAGAGCAACAGCACGGAAAGCTGACGATGCCGGTTCAAGTCCTGCCCGAGTCGAAATTTTTTTCAATATATTTTCGATTTTTAAATTATATAGCCTAATATTATTTATCACACGCATTTTACTAGAATGTGGCTTCGTAACTTTGTCTGATGGTTGGAATATCGAAATTCCGTCCAGGGAACGATCCACCGTCCACAGATGGAAAAGCCGTGAAGTTTAATCGCCTTTCGGTTCCTTCCGAATATCCAAACAAACCGGCCTACGACAGAGGGTATTGTTTGGATGGTATATGGCTAGGATATTTCACTTACCACCAAGTGTAACAGGTGTCCAAACAGAATTTGTGTGTACACAGTTGTGTAAGAAAATATTTTGGATATATTTAATATGTATTTGACCGCCTATTGCCTAGCAAGAAATTGTTACGGTCGGGTAGGGCACATAAGTCCGATCAACTACTTGCCTGTTAAGGAACGTGCTCGAACGTGCCCATGAGGGGGCAACGGGATGTTATGACTCTCACTCTCATGTAAGAAAAAAATTAGTTTCCTTAATTTGATCAAATGGATTTTGGTATTGGCAAATATTTTTTACAGTGAGTACAAAGCACAGTTAATCAATCTGTCGATATACTGTACTGTACGTAATAAATAATGTTACGTTAACTAACATTCATTAAAATTTTTTTATTGAATTTTCCAATGAATAAATACCTTTAAATACCAGTTAAATAAACGTTCAACTTACCAAAGAAGAAAACATCTTGATCGCCATCTTCCAACAACTCTTCTTTTACTTTGGGAATTTCTTCTTCTGAAATTTTATATAAAATAAATAAGTACTTATTATTTTCTCTATCTATTATAACATCTATGGTATAACCTCATCAATATCAGTTTTGTAGTTTTAAATATTGAAGCGTATATAAGGGCAGAAAAAGCAAATTTGTGTAATGTAGTATTATCACTAACAACTATTGTAAAACAAGAAATTAAAATAATATACTGTCTGTAGTTTAAGCGAGTAGTACATACTTAAATAAAACACTTTAACGGCTTAAAACGCGATATATTTTAGTTAAACTTTTTTGAGAATTATTTCTAACTACTACTACGGCCCAACGTTTCGGATTTCCAGCAGCCGTGACCATGGGGAAACTAAAATATATCGCGTTTTAAACTGTTAAAGTGTTTAGCTTAAATTAAATTTATTATAATATTTGGTTTGAGCCTGTGACAGTCATTAAAGCATTAAAGACACTTACTTTTCAAATCGTCTACTGGTCTTCTATATTGGAATTCCTTCTGACATCGAATCACCTGGTGTTTGAAGTCAAACGCATCTCGGAGACGCAAGACACAAGATTCGCATATGCCGTTGTCACTATCTTTTGTATCGGTTGGAAGCTGAAATTAAATAATATAAAACATCACAATAATTTATCACTACAGTTCACCTTATAAAGAATTGATAATACAAAATTAATTATTTTTGGTATATATTAGCATATATACTATGCTAAAAGAAAAGCAGAAAATACAAGGAAGTCCTGTTTTCCATTGTTTGACATGGGGGTAACACATTTCATGTTCGATCCACTATATATGTATATTTATATTTATATATACACCCAGGGTGTCTATTACTGAATGCAATACCAGGTAGCGTGTTTAGCCATAAGCTTACAAGGGCATAAAATAGGCTAGATTTTAAAAAGTATTAAAGAAACTTTTAGCAGTTAGAAATTTAAAAAAAAACAATAGACTATATAGATAGAGACTATATATATATATATATATATATATATAGAGAGAGAGAGATTTAAAAACTGGAATTATCAAGTATGCAAATGTAAATATGAACCTCTAGCAGACTAATTAACATTAGAACGTACTTAAAATACAAAATAATCTAATAACTGTTTGTCTAAAAATAATTAATTAAACAAAATTAACTCAAGACGTATTAAGACAATAATACGATTTATTTTTTTATCTCTTCGGAAGCTCTACGGAAACCAAGAAGAGAAAAATAAATTTGTAAAGCAGCGCAAGAAATAATAATAAAACTTAACGTTTTAATATTTTTTTATAGTAACGATAAAATTTAATAATTCATCAACTTACGTGAATACGTACTTACACTTACGTGAATACTTACGTGAATTTCAAAACAATCTTTTAGCATATCGGCATAAATTTCATTGTTCCCGCAGAATATGTACGTTGTTTTCAGTTCTTTATCAGGAGGTCGGGCTAAACAGCACCGGCATAGTGAACTAGCGTCCATTACTATATATTAACAACACTGATGGCGGAGTTACACACACAAACTATAATAAAGCATTAAAAATTCCCGCAAAAATAATTAACGTAAATAAAAAGTACTCCAATTGTGTATTAAATAATTGCTCTAAATACGAAGTGTTAGCACAAGTTGACAGTTGTGAAATGTCATTAGAGAATTTGACGTATGTGACTCAGTGTTGCTATGTCTCTGCGTCTTTTAACGATGTTAAGCATACATTTATTTATTTTAACGTTGGATTAGTATTAACATTATAATATTAAGAAGTATTTTTTACTGAATTAGACAGTCCGCATTCTATTTAAACGCTTCATTTGGTATTCTAAAACATATCTCAAACTCTTACCGTCCTGCATCTATGTAGTAAGGTCAAAAGGCAAATAACCGATTTTTATGCATTGAATATCTAATGTCTTTTATAATTTATTTCTTTTACTCAAGAAACTAAGGTAAAAAAGTTAATTACCGTTCAAAACGAAATAAGTAAATTTTAGACACTGTGATTATCTGCAAAGAGATTTTACCGGTTCGGATGAACAAAGCTCTAATATAATTTAATTCTGTATTCATTTCTTCTTTTTTTAAATAATTTAGTATTCATCGTTTAATAACACCTATATACATTTTTTATTGATTATATCGATAGAAGACCGGGTTGTGAGTTACCTATACACCTACAAAACTTGAAGTGGTTCACAGTTAGAATGAAAAATACACTACATTGGGTCATGCCACCGCCAAAAAAATATGGTTTACTAAACTTACATATTCCTCACGCATGTCATCAGCAAATAAGCTTAAATAGCTACGGAATTTTAACAAGCCTAATAATCTCTGGGTATAGAAGACTCGTAGGCTGGTCGAGTCATAAGATTAATTTTATATGTTTTTAAGCTCCTTAGGTGATAAGTCGCTGGTATGATACTGATTTTATGAAATGTCATGAATTAAAAATGTATTGAAATGCAAAGAGCAAACTCAAAAAACTTGAACTATTTATAAAACGCACATGGCAATACTGCTCCATCAGTCCATCACTCTTACAACTTGAAAGAAATAGAAAGCGGAAAATGGCGGATCTCCGACTGGGCTACGCGGAACGTACGCCAATAATAAATTACTCATGTAGACTGTAGTTTTAGTGTTTTTAAGTTTTAAGTGATATAAACAATGGAATTGGATTTGAAGGATGGCATGTGTCGTTGTTGTGCTTCGGAGGGGTCCTATAAGGACTTCACGGCGTCTTACCAATGGATGGGTGTTGAAGAAGTGTATTCCGACATGTTGAAAGATTGCTTTGATATTACGGTAAGCCGTATAACTCGTACATAGTTACTTTTCAATGGACATCGAATAATTCAATACGTTCGTATTGTTAGCATTGTCAACATTGCATCGGTAGGCGATCGCGTTTTGTTTATTTTTTATCGATCCCAAGAGCGTCGGTGTTTTTTTTTGTAGCTCCTTTCATGAATCCATGGATTATCCCAGTCTGAGTTTCCTTTGTCTTACATATTTTCTAGTTATTATAGATACACGATTTCCAATATTATGTCATTATTGGTACTTTAAAATTTCTTCCACAAAAGATTAGCTGATGCTGATGTGAAAGAAGAAGTTTTTTCAAGTACTTCAAATAATTCAACATTCTTTGCTTATTAATCTTAGTCTACATAATTTATTTTAGGTTTAATACATCAGTTCTTACTATTCTTAATTTTTTGCATTAAAAGCTGTAGTCTAGCTTATTTGGTTAGAATAATCTTTACTGTAACATTTAACTATGTTGACCTAAATTACCACAGTCATTAACATCAATCTTTATTTTTTAATTTTGTAAGACAACCCAAAGACAACAAGTGGAACCAAATTCTAATTTTTATTTCTTAACAAGACAATGAAGTAAATTAGAAATATATCTCGAAAATCTAGTCGGGAAATACAACAATAAAATCATAAATGTTTTTCAATATAAAAAGATAATAATTTATATAATGCCACCATGTAAAAATAAAGGTTTTCAAAGAAATTTATTATTTTTGAGCTCTACAATTAAACCAATAATCTGTTACCTATTTTTGGATATAATATATGAATGAAATTGTTTTTATGTGTTTAACAATTATGAAAAATTGACAAAGTTTTACCATAATCTTGTTAACATTCAATTACACAAAAGACTAATATAATTATGGTGATAATTGGGAATCTCCATGAGAGTCAGCCATTTGTGATGGTATGTTGAAATAAAACACTTTAATGGTTTAAAGCGCGATATATATTAGTTAAACTTATTTTTACCACCACGGCTGAAGTTTAAAATAATTTTAAAAAAATTTTAACTAATATATATCGCTTTAATGTTATAGTGTTTTATTTAAATGTGTACTACTCGCATAAACTATAGACAGTATGGTGAATGTTGGAAACCGATTCTTAACTATGAAGGCCAACTAGTGTTACAAAATGACCAAAGAAAGCCTTTATTAGCTTCTAAGCTTTTACTGAAATATATGTCTGTTTTAACATCTACCTGTAATTATTTATTATAACTAAAACCTAAAGATAAGTGTTATTTAAGCAATAGTAATACTAGTGTAACTTGTAAAATGTCTGATTTTGTCATAGTTCAGGTCAGAACAGAAGCTATGTAATTTATTAATGAATTCTGAAAGTACTGAATAAAGTTTCGTTCAAATAACTGCATTTGGGTATAGTGCAATTATAGAGACATATACATATTTTTATCTTTCTAAGTCAAGTGTTTCAATTGTGGTAGCTATTTAAAAACTTGAAGGGTTTGTTTAAATAAAACACTTAACGGTATTAAACCACAAAATGTATAAGTTAAACTTTACAATTTATTTTCGAAGATTTAGCCGCCGTCTCAGGTGGTTTGCGGCAGTTGCGGTCATGGGGGACTGTTTGTAACTAAGTTTAACTAATCCATTACAAGTTTTTATAGCGTTAAAAGTGTTTTATTACGTTTTATTTAGTACACAGTTAACTACTCGCGTAAACTACAGACAATAATCATTCCATTGGTTGTTTTACACATCTGTAACATCTGGAGTTGAAATGGGCGTCATAAATAAAAAAATGCGTGTAGGTCACAATTGCAACGTTCTTTTTGTCTAAACTTCTAAATTAACATGCAAGTATAAAGATGTTATACATTAATAGTTTATACAACGAAGTAATTATAACCTAGCTATCCCCAAATATAGGCTCCATGAAATATCGAATTCATTTGTCAATATGTATAATACATTGCCAGTTGAGTTTTCAAATTTATCAATAAATAAATTGTTAAAAAGTTATAAAATTTAGATGGTCTCAAAAGGCGTATTATTGTATGAACGATTTCTTTAATGTCAAGACAGCCTGGCATTAATATGAATTGCTCCTTAGGTTAATAAATTCACAATAATGTAAAAGCCGGCCTGAGTTTCTTGGGTTCGTACTTCTCATTTATGTTGTTCTTTGGACCACTCTGTAGAATCACGACAAACTGATAGACAAACAAAAGAATTTTGACAAATCTAAATAATTTTCGAAATTTTAAAGAGAAAAAAGTATATTCTATTTTATTTTACAATAAGTATATATTTGCTAGTGGTTAAAAAAGGAAAGGTGCAGTTTTATTTAAAATAGCTTAAGTAATAATGTTTTATGCACTATAATTTCATATTACTTTTTTTTCTAGCTTTCCACATCAAACATGAATAATGGCGGTATATGTGAAGTCTGCATCACACAACTCCGGAATGCATTTAACTTTAAGAAACAAGTGCTTAACACAGAGGAACAATTTAAGAAATTACAAGAAAATCTTCTAAATTGTGAGTATTCATAATTTACATGCAGAATAGAATATGTAAAATCCACTGTGTCTTCTCTGTTCATTGCCTTACAAAGAGTGTGTAAGTTTGAATTTCTGGTACCCGATACCTTCTTTTAGTTGAAGCCAATCTCTTACTCCCTAGTATATTTATAATGGCTAGTAAAAATGAAAGAAAAAAGCAGTTTTAAGTGGGGAAAATAGAATAAACGCCTATCATTTGCCAATGCCAATGACACAAAATAATTAAAAATAAATACATAAAAATACTCTTAAGAAACTTATATAACTGCTTAAGATATAATACATTTGTTTAAATTTCATAGACCTTTATAGAGTGAGATAAAGATATGGCCACCTCCATGCTCTTCCAGAATTTTTTAGCTTAGTCTTTCCACTTCGGTTCCAGCAGTATTAACTAAATCAATCATCTTATTTCAATGCTGGTCTTCCTCTTTTCTTTCTTCCATTATCAATTTTGTTATTGTATTTATAAATGTATGTATACAGTTGAAAATACATGATCTACTTAACAAAGTACTCTTTCATTCAAATAAGGAAAAGCTTCCTTAACAAAATTTATGTGATCATGTACCGTATGTAAGCCATCTCTCGTGACGGCGACACATCAGAAACCATTTCTGCTTAATGACATCCAATCGGCTCAAAAAATTTGCAGTTTAAGTTTATGCTGCATTTATCTACTTTGTATACAAATATATATTATATTTCTTTATGTAGAAATCTCGTGTAAATCATATAATATATCTCAAACTTGATTACAGCTGACATAGTGAAGATCGAAGAAGTACAAGCTGATGTAGATGATACATTTGAAGCTGATGATGACAATATGGATGCAGACTTTTCTGGTTCAGGTAGGTTCACACCTTTTTTTTTACTAGCGAGCTTTTACGCACTGAGTGTGGAACTTTATCCACTCTGACTGCGTTGTAACAAAGACGTAGATGGTAAAAAATAATCTCAAGTGGCCGCCATTGCCCCAAAAAATAGGGTCTCTGACTGTGCCATGTATTTCGGAGACCCAGAGGATATTATACATCAGAATTTTCAAATGGGATGATTTCCAAGTTGGTAATTTCTCTCTCCTCTAATCTCCAATGGGGAATCGGATGTACAGCGAAGCGTTCACTCTCGCTACGCTTACTTTTTGCATCATGACCCGTTTCCGAATTCGGGTCATGGCACCCAAGTCTCACTTGACACCATTGGATGATGTCTAGCTGGTCTAGAAGAAGTAATTTCACACCTGCAATTTTTTTTATCCTTTACCCAAATGGTGCAAACGGAATCTCTTAAAGATTTGAGTATCTCTGTCTAGCTTGTATCAGAACAAACTATATCTAGAGAGGTACTTGTATACACATATTAACAAAAAATACCAAAGTTTTTCTCTCTTTACTCAATATTTTTAGTTAACACAAATGGCATTATATGAGTTTGAAATAACTAAACAAAGATTACAATATTAAATTAGTGTACCAAATCAATAGTACAAAATTTGACCGGTGTTATTTTTGATCAGGTAAATAAATTGGTTTTGGTCAGGCAGAACTGGTTCATCGTGTATTTTTCGCAGCCCTAAGTAATCATTTATATAACAGAATTTGTTTGCCCCGTACAGCTTTATGTATGTAGCCTATAAATACTTTTAAACAATTAACATTAAATAAGCAATGACGTAACTATTTATAAAAAAAACTCAAGACAGATATCCCAATGTAATGGGGCAATGGATTGATATTATATAATAAATTTTATGCGTCAGATGAGTTTACAAGTATGGGACTAACTAACAAACTGTCCTTTTCAGAATACGATTTGCCCATAAAATTAATAAAAAAGGAAAAATACGAAGAATCAAAGCCTAAGAAACGAACCCGAGCTTCCACCTCCAAGTCTAAGAAAAACAGCGAAGAATCTGGCGAAACGTCGGCCAAACGTAAGTGGCTTGTCATTTTATCTGGCCAAAAGGTTTTGTTTTTATGTGGATGCGATCGAGATATTAAAAATGAGGGTAGTCTGTAGCAGTTGGTTTTAGATGTGAAACTTGACGTCTAATTCTACTAAACTTGTTAAACTTTGTATAACATGTAATGTAATACTCCTACCCTCAATCAACTGATTAAACTTAAAGTATTGGAGGGTAGTTTTGATGCTAATTTTTTTTCATATTTTTATGTTTACGAGAATAGCGTTATTATGAATGTCATCAATCAAAGTAAAATCCAACCTAAATACAAAACCATTTGGTTCTATTTACAAAGTTATGAAAGACTTGTGATATCTAGAATATTTTTAGAGCATCAAGAATTTTACAAGGAGAGCTAGATAGGAAAACCCCATTTTTACTACATCTTTATAAATTTAAACTGTCCACGACATCGGTCGTGTCTCGTTCTCGCGACCCGTCGTTCGGGTTCTTGCATTTTTTTAGATCATTTAAAAAAATATTCATTCTTTCATACATATTTTTTGGGTTTCTAAAACCGTTTTACCGGCGTACGTATCGGAAACCTACAGAGATGAACACATTTCCCGCTGTCTCTTCGCGCATATTAGTCACAGCACATGTTTTATGGCCCACCTCGATAAGTGCTCTAACTAACACAAAATAACTTTGCAATTCGAACCAGTAGTTCTTTGAGATTAGCGCGTTCAAACAGACCTATCAGCTTTATTAGTTTAGATTTCAATATGAACATTTTAAAAACAAGTAAGTATATATTTAAATACTGTCTATAGGTTACGCGAGTAGTAATTTATCATTTAAATAAATCACTTTAACGGTTTAAAACGCGATATATTAGTTAAACTTATTTGAAAATGATTATGTCTCCCCGTGACCACGGCTGCTGCAAAGCATCCGAAACGTCGGGCCGAAGTTAAAAATCATTTTCAAATAAGTTTAACTAATATATCGCGTTTTAAACCGTTAAAGTGTTGTATTTAAAAGTATTCATAGAAGAGGTTCTATAATACACATAATATGATTTCGGGTGATTTTCTTGAAATGTTCAGTTCTTCTACTTAATAATTTTTTAATATAAGATAATGATATTTAAAAATGAAAAATCACAACTCTTCCACAATTTTCTTATATTTTCATAATGTATCAGCAACACCAGCTTATAAAGGGTACTTTTTGTTACCTAAAGTGATGTAAGTTTGTGTTGCTCTAAGTGTGTTAAATGCAGTGCAAAATTACAGTAGTTTTACAGTAACGTTGATAAACTTTTTAATTATTATTACTACATTTAAAGGACATGTCATAGTTGGTTACCAATTCTATGTTGTATGCAGTACAGTCCTTGTCGCATTATGAGGCAAAATAAAAGTTTAGATTCGAGTTTATAAAATGTGTTTGCATTTTTCCACCCAGACTTGTTTGTTTATCAAGTAGTTTGCAGCCAAAGAGTGTATGTATCGATGTTAGATTTTATTGTTACATTAATTTACCGTATGTAGTCTGTTGACTATAAATTACACTAGTCTCTTAAAAATTTAAGATCTTATTCTAGAGTCTTTAAATAAGATTATTTTAATACTTTTATCTACTGTAAATTTGCACTGTCAATCTTGCTTTTAGCTTTATAGGTAGATTTTGTATCTTGTCCTTACGCGAACACCTTTTAGGCTGTAGGTACGTAAATTTTAATACCTTCAAAACGTTTGACTTTCGAAAAATACCTTGCGGTGTGTTCAAATACATCAAACTAGTTAATTGGGGACGATAGCGCAAGGTAAGTCTCCTTTTATGGTATATTAAGTTTAGGCAGTGTCAGTTTTTCAAAACCGGTCAAGTGCGAGGCGTGTTTGCACTTGAACGGCTCCTTGACTAGGTAAACACAGTAGGCATATATCCCATAATTGTACACTTTACCTAATTTAAAGCGACATAAATAGAAATAGATCATTTGTGCAAATTAAGAGTCTAGAGAGGCCCAAGAGAAGGCGAAGCCTTGGCATTTGGGATCCCGTTTTTACCCCTTGGTTACGGAATCCTAAAAAGTAAAATCGATCAGGGTGTAATGGGAGGAGGTGGTGTTTGCTATGTTAAGTTAAAAATAGTGTCTCAAAAACCAAACCATATTTCGGTAAATCCTAACTTATAAATCGAGACTTTTAACACTTCGAAATATTACATACATTTTAAATTTATGTTACCTAAAAACATTGTCAAACATAACTTCGTTAAGCTCATGATGTACAGGTAATTTCTAACACCAAATGAAAGAAAAAAGCACCAGCATATTAAACCTAAGTCTTTTGAGTTTATCTTTATCGTCCATGCTCTTAGTTATGATAAACGGATAACGAAATCGAAACACCCGTGCCGTTCCTTCAACAGCACAAAGTAACCAAAGTATTAATACAAACGGACAATAGAGCGATAACAGATATGCCAAAGATTACTTGGCGAGTGGCAAAGAGCCCAGAGAAGACGTTACCGAAACGAGTGAATAGGAAGATGCAGATGAAGATAATTGAGATTGCTTCGTTTCTGTTATAGGAACGGACGGCGCCGCGTCCAACCGCAAGCGAAAGAATAAGACGTCAGAGGAAAGCGCCACGCCAGAGCGCATTGAGCACAGGGTTAATCTCACCACGATCCTACAGTTCTCGAACGCGACCCCATTCAGGAATAAAACCGTCCGCGGCTTCTCCTGCCTCTACTGCGCCAAAAACTTCACCGATATCCAAGACTTACGCGAGCACGCTTCCAATCAAAAGGAAAAAGACAAAATCAACACGATGCTAGACTACAAACTGAGCTACAATCCAATCAAATTAGATGTCACGAATTTGAAGTGTAGGTTGTGCGAACGGCCCATGAGGGACCTAAACGACCTCAAGGACCACCTAATCAACGAACACAACAAGAGGATACACAAGGACATAAAAGATATAATCCTTCCGTTCCGCCTGGAGTCGGGGCAGAATTACACCTGTGTGATCTGCTCGGTAGTTCACATATCTTTCAAAAACCTCTACCAACACATGAACAGTCACTACAGGAACTACTGCTGCAAGAAGTGTGGCACCGGCTACGTAACGATAGCGGCGTTGCGCAAGCACGACAAGACCCACTACCAGGGCAATTTCCCGTGCTCGCACTGCGACAAGGTGTTCATGTCACAAACGAAGAAGAGGAACCACGAGAAGGGCGTCCACACCGGCGGCTGGCGGCGCAACAAGTGCCCCCATTGCCCCGAAGTCTTCGTCAGTTACTACGACCGCAGCGAACACATGGTTAAAGTACACAACGAGCAACCCCTAATATTCCCCTGCAACGCGTGCAATAAGACTTACAAAAAGAAATTCGAGCTCAACAGGCATATAAAGAACCACCACCTACAGCAGAAAAACTACCTGTGCGACAAGTGTAACGCGAAGTTCGTCTCGAAACGCGGTCTCATCGACCACATGGCTAAGCACACCGGTCTAATCGATCACTGCTCGTGCGACATCTGCGGAAAAACCTTCCTCCGCCAACGGACGCTCAAGGAGCACCTCAAGCTGCACGCGAACAACAAGCGGTACCAGTGTGAGGTTTGCAAGAAGACGTTCATGCAGAAGTGCGGCCTCAAGAGCCACGTCAAACTGCACCAGGACGATCTGGACATTTTCAAGGAGTTCGACGATGTCAAGCACCTGATCGATAACCGGGAGATGACGCTGAAGGAGATCGCAGCGGAGAGTAAGAGGAAAGCGGAGGAGGAGAAGATTAAAGAAACGCTGTCGTAGCTAGAGTTTTGTACATAGGATATCTAGAATTCTAAATAGGCAATTGTTTATGTACAAGCTATTATTAGTATATGGAAGTTCCGACTGGGTTGAGTGCAAAGAAGTATTTTTAGAAATCTTTCTTTATTTACATCTCTTAATCTCAAGAAAAAAGGAGTGCCCACTCTCCATAGTGACTCAGGACAAATTGAAATTCCTTCTACGTTTTGTCTTACTTACTTGCTTACTAATGCAGCGGTCCAAAGTGGTTGGTTCTTGGCCTTCCGAATAAGAGAACGTCTTGTCTAGTTTAAGCAAAAAATCTTTTGATATATTGTAATGGTTTCGTTAATTTGAATGTTTCTATTGCTCGCATTTCTTTACTAAATGTTTATTCTCACGTCTTTTGTCTAGTATTGTGGTCCGAAATGGTGGTTCTTGAATATTTTTTATTAATTGACTATTAAAACGCTGAAATCTGAGGTATAGTAACTACGTACGACAATAGACTATAGATTAAACAACGTGATTCTTAAATATTTTTACAATAAACAGATAATAGTCGATAACCCGTTGTTTTTCTTTTAAAAGTGTGTCACGTTTTTTAATAACTAAAATTGTCATTCCGTTGTTTACAAGTATTACAATAAACTACTTACACAATATGCCAACTTTTTAATGCGTTACTGATACATAAAACTAAATAAATCACATTTAAGCCAGAATTCTAAACACAATTTAAGGTATTCAAAACTTATTTTTTTTGGATTATCCAGAAGAGTAAAAGGACTGAGTCGTTAATAGCACTCTATTCTTTTTATATATTATCCGTGAAGCAAGTAAAAGTAGAAGAGTATGTTAAAAGGGGGAACTCTTATGATCTTGGAAATACCTTCTCCATCTTTTACAGTATCATGTAACGATGACGTACAACAATCAGTTATAATGAACCCGCAGTGTGATATTTAATAGTGGCGCTGAACGGCCGAAAAGCTCAAAAGGAATTTTTCTTTTATAGGCCGCACCGGAGCACGAAAAATTCGAAAGAGGGCGTTAAAAGGAGAACGTGTATCAGCGCAGAGCGAAATTAACCAAATCGATTACCGCGAAAAGCATCTTTCCGAGATGCAAAAGCAATGGCATAATTTGAACGTTCTCCTCACGTGCTCCAATATAACGCCGTTCAAAGACAGGAACGACGCGGGTTATATATGCGCGTACTGTTATAAGACGTTCCCGGACCCGAACGAATTGCGCCGGCACACCCACGTCGACCACGATAAGGAAAAACCGTTTTACAAAGCCGGCTCCGGTATGAGCAACTTCGTGGCGTATTTTGATATCGTCGATCTCAAATGTACCCTCTGCGATAAACCTTTGGACTCCATCAGAGCCATGATCGACCACATTATTGGAGATCACAGTAAGAATTATTACACAGACGTGACGGACTACTTCCAACCCTTCAAACTGACCAGCACCCAGCAGATCAACTGCTGCCTCTGCAACGAGATCTTCCACAACATGAAGCTGATGACGCAGCACATGAACGAGCACTACAGAAACTTCATCTGCACCACCTGTGGCGCCGGCTTCGTCAACAGCTTTCGGCTCAATCGACACGAAACTACCCACCTCAAGAAGAAGACCAGCTATCCATGCCGGCAGTGCGGACAGGTATTCTCCGCAGAGTCTAAAAGAAAGGCCCACGTTAACACGGAACACAAGGGCATAGCCGGAGATAGCGTGTGCCAAATATGCAAAGCGAGATTCAAAAACTACTACCACAAAACAAGACACATGTCCCAAGTCCACAATGTCGAAGGCATCAAGTGCGACATATGCGAGAGGAGGTTCAATCTCAGATCGAATTTGGTGATGCATATGCGGACAGTGCATTTAAAAGAGCGGCCGTACGCATGCTCAGTTTGCAGCATGGCTTTCTCCATAAAGCGACACATGCTCGGCCACTACTTGGCCACGCATACAAACGAAAGGAAATTCAAATGTGATATTTGTAGTAAGGCATATGCAACGCAGAGTAGTAAGCGAAAGCATATGAAAAAGAATCATGGTTTAAGTAAGGCGCCTATGCTCTGTGATTTGAACAAGTGAGACGCACGAGTCATTCCGTTTAATATATATGTTGTGATGTGTCGGTGTCCTATTTATACAAAAATATGTAGTTACTTTATAGAAACTTATTCTCTGTTGTCAAGGAGTGTAAAATAAATCGAGTTGAAGATATTTCTTATTTTCTTTAAATTGTATTTAAAATATATGTAAATATCCGATCAACATCTATATAATACAAACAAACATAATTAAAATAACAATTCCGTTAAAATAAATGAATAACAAAATGCAATCACTAAAAATGAAAAGTTACAAATACACTAAGAAATTTACAATGTTATATAATATTTTATGTGAACCTTACAATTTCAGTATTAAAACGGATAAAAATTGCTGATTCCTATCTACGTAACGTTTTACCTCCGTAGTAAATACGAGAACCTAACATGATACCGCAAAAAAGGACTCTTTCTCTTTTCCATAAGAAACACCGGACGAAGACAGAAAATATTAATAATCAGCGCTTTTCTTTGTAGGTGACGCGACGACAAGCGATAACGAAATAGAGTTAAATGACAATACTAGTTCGAGTATATTTGAACCGGTTATTAACATGAAAATTGACGAATTGGCGGCTTCACATTCAGACGATGAAGACAGTAAGCCGCTCAAACATCTCCAAATTGATTACGATGATAAACTCGAGGAAGAGATCCCGGGAAACCAGTGTGTAAGTGTATTCGTCGATTTGAGCACCAGGAGGTCTAGAGCTGCATCAGCGAAGGAGATGAAACAGCACCTCGTCAATATAAGAACGATACTACTCAATACGAACGCGACGCCGATAAGATACCACGACGGAACCGCGTATATATGCGCGGTATGTCCAGAGCAATACCCGACGGTGCTAGACCTAAAGAACCACGTGCTAGAAGAACACGACAATGTCGATAAAGCGACCTTCTTGGAAAAATCGCGTCTCACCACATACGTGGCTAAACTGGACATCACTGACCTCCAATGCAATATATGCAGACAGAAAATCGACAGCAATCTAACTTCACTCCTCCACCACTTAAAGGACGTCCATCAGAAACCAATGCACTTGGATATACCGAATCACATCCTACCGTTTAAATTTAACGGAAAAGACTTCGACTGTGTCGAGTGCACGAAGACCTATGAGCATTTCAAGCTGATTCAGGAGCACATGAGCTCGCACTATCGCAATTACGTGTGCGACATATGCGACGCTCCATTCGTCAACAAGCGCAACATGCAGAGTCACAGGATCAGGCACAAGAAGGGAGAGTTTCCATGCTCCCATTGCTCGAAGATATTCGAAACGAAGAGAAAGAAGTTGGATCATGAGAAGTTTGTTCACGGAGGGGACTGGAAGCGGAACAAGTGTCCGCACTGTCAGGCGAAGTTCACCAATTATAATAACAAGCGTGCGCATATGGTGAAGGAGCACGGGGCTGAGCCACCTCTGATTAAATGCTTTGTTTGCGACAAAATATTTTCTACGAGAGCGGCGTTGTCGTTGCATAAAAAGGAGAATACACATTAGGAAATAGGTTAGTTTAAAAAAAAAACCTAATCGTCTAAAACGCGACATAAGTTGTTAATTTTTAGCTACTGAACTGGAGGTAGTTTAGTAAAAATAACTTATCAAATATCTTTTGCGATGTAAAACGTTAAAAGCGTTTATATGTATTACTCGCGTAATATTTAATAAAATGCTATAAATAATATATACTATTCTTTTATAGAACGTTCTAAAAAAAACAAGAATAACAGTATTTTACGTTCAAAAATAATATTACTACCGCTGGATAAACAATTATAAATAACGGTATGTTTTTCTTTGTAGGTGTACAACGTAAAAAGAACACCGTCAAAGCCGAATCCTCTTCCATACTATTAAATACTAACGAATCTAAACCGAAAGTACAAGAGAGGGATATCAAAAAACATCGTTTTAATTTAAAACAAATACTGCAGTACTCGAACGCCACGCCCATCCGCTCTTATAGAGGCATAGGGTACGTTTGTTGCTTCTGCCAAACGCAATTCCCGGAGACCTCAAAATTAAAACAACACACACTAGACGAACACACGCGAAAGATGGAGCTAGACATCAAAAATGGACGCATGATGTTCTCGTTTATCGTTAAATTGGATATCACAGCGTTACAATGCACTATATGCTCTCAAAACATTGAAAATCTCGAGCGTTTAACGTCACACCTTATTGATCGTCACGACAAAAAGTTCTACACCGATATCAAAAGTCACATGGTACCCTTCAAATTCGAGTCTGACACCCTGCGCTGTGTCACGTGCCAGCAAGTATTCAACAAGTTCAAATGCCTCCTAGAGCATATGAACACCCATTACCGAAATTACATATGCGACCAGTGCGAAGCTGGCTACGTCAATCGGGCGATGCTCAAAAACCACTTGGCCTGCCACGAAGTAGGCTCCTTCACGTGCGACTGGTGTTCAAAGGTGTTCACGAACTCGCGCAAGAAAAGAATGCACGAGAAGAACGTGCACGTACATTGCGGGAAGGTAAACAGGTGCGGCTACTGCGGCGAGATGTTCACAAGCCACAGATTAAAAGAGAAGCACATGATGACCGTGCACGGTGCCAAGATAGCGGGCGTAACGTGCCAGGCGTGCAACAAAACCTTTGCCACCCAGAACGGACTGAGAATCCACACGAAACGCGACCATTTGGTGGAGAGGCGGTTCGCGTGCGCTTATTGCGATATGAGATTCTTTTTGAACGCGGAGCTGCAAGACCATACAGTCAAGCATACAGGTTTTAGGACATTTGAGTGTGACGTGTGCCATAAGACGTACGGACGTCAGAAGACCTTGCGCGAGCATATGCGTATACATAAGGACGATAGGAGGTTCAAATGTGAGCATTGCGGGCAAGCGTTCGTACAGAAGTGTAGTTGGCGCGGTCACATGCGATCGAAGCATGGCGAAGATGCATAGTGTGTTGAGAGAACACTTGGAGAGATTAATATAATTTTCAAATAAAATATTGCTTTTTTTACATATTGTTTTTCTTTTATGTAATAATTATTGAATATCGCTATTGGAACCTTAGATGATGTCTCAACATAATATCATGTCTGTATGATTTTTTACTGATAAGCTAGTAGAAGGAATGAATCACACAATAACATCACGACGATGAATTTCATTTAGAGGGAAGACAAAAGTAGACTATTTTGTTTAAACACCTGACGAGACTGACACTTCGGCATAAAAATGTCGAAACAAAAAATGAGGCTGTAGGTTTAATGAATACATTTTTTAATTTCATAAATTTATATAATTCAAAAGAAATATAGTAGGTACTTTAATAAGACGCGTATCCAAAAATAACCAATATTATTTTGTCATGGTTTACCTTTTGGGTAAAATTATTGTTCTATTTACTTGGAAACTTATCTCTGACACACTGACAATTAAGTGTCAATTACCGAAGGAAGTAATGAAGAACGACAGCCCTCATGCCATGCAGTGTCTGAATGTCAGTAAAATCAGTATTTTGTTTTTATAGGTAAGCGACCGCGAGTTAAAATCGAAACCGACACGGATACAGTTAAAACAGAGAAGAAGCAAATAACAAGAATGAATACGAAAAGTAAGCTCCTAATGAACAAACACTTGCATAACGTTGAGGAGGTACTGAGATGCTCTAACGCCACCCCGTTCCGCGGTTACGAAGGCCAGGGCTACAGATGCTGTTATTGCACCCAACAGTGCATGAAACCGGGGGACCTTAAAGCCCACACCGCACTCACGCACGAAGGCATAAAGAAAGCCTACTTCGGTTACGCGCATATAGAAAAATTCAATATTAAACTTGACATAACCGACCTTCATTGTACTCTATGCGGCAGTACCATCGACAATATAGAAGCGCTCGTGAACCATCTAATCAACGATCACAATAAACTAATACACACTGATATTAAAAGTCACATTATACCCTTCAAATTTGACGGCGGGGAGGGTTTACGTTGCTTCATATGTTCGAATAGATTCAACGCTTTCAAAGCCCTTCTTGAACATATGAAGTTGCACATACGGAACTTTGTCTGCCAAGTGTGCGACGCTGGCTTCATCAACCGGAGCCAGCTGCGCTACCACTTCCAGACTCACAAGACTGGCACCTTCAAGTGCGACCATTGCGAGAAGGTGTTCAGCACTTCGCTCAAGTGCAAGAGTCACATGCGGAGCGTTCACGAGAAGAGCGTCATAAACAAATGCGGATTCTGCGAAGCCACCTTCGTTTCGTATCGGCATAAACAGAAGCATCAGCTGGAGGAGCACGGCGTGGACTGTCAGGTCAAGTGCGAAGCGTGCGGGCGGTCGTTCCAGAGCCAAGGCTCCTACAGGAAGCACCTAAGAGCGAATCACCTGATGGAACGAAGATTCGAGTGCACGTTTTGTGATCTAAAATTCTTCACTGTAACTGGCCTGAATCGGCATATGGTTAAACATACTGGAGCACGGGATTTCAAATGCGATGTATGCCACAAGGCGTTCGGCCGAAGGAATACCTTACGAGAACATATGCGCATACACACCGACGATAGACGGTTCAAGTGCGAATACTGCGGTCTCGCGTTCGTTCAGAAGTGCAGCTGGCGTGGTCATATGCGCTCGAGGCATGGAGAGGAGGTTTAAACAATTATCGACATTAACCCGAGGCATTTACTTGTTGAATTATTTAGCTCATTGACAACATAGTTGGCGGATACTTACGGTATTGTTATTGTGTTTATAAAACTAAATTATACAGAATTCTACATACAATGTATAAATATGAGAATAAATATTTATCAATAGTACAATCTTTTTTTGCATTCCTCGTTCGCGATCGAATACGCTAACGAAAGCAGAATGATCCCTTGGGTAGGTTTGCTTCTTTCGTCTGTGGTTTGATTTAGTGCTATAAGAACCGTTGCACGTTAGCGAAGTTTATATTGTAAATAAGTGTTCTAACATAAGAAACAAAGAAGACATTGATTAGTACTTGGCATGCAGCACCTCGTTTGAAACATAGTATAATTATCTAGAAAATGTCTAAATGAATATAAAAGCATACGTTTTCTTTATAGGTATACACGCGGATATATCTATAAAACTGGAAAGAATAGATTCGGATATAGAGCAAACGGAAGAGACTGACGACCAATGGAACCCGTATACGCTATTCACGACTGCTACCGCGGAGACGGAGAAGATCAGTCTGAACGAGGAATTGAATAAACATTGGATTAATCTACGCGAGATACTTAAGTGGTCGAACGCCACGCCCATAAGGAGCTACGGCGGCAGAGGATACTTGTGTTGCTACTGTTCCGAACAGTTTCTGGACCCAAGGGATTTGAAGGCTCATACGTCGCAATACCACGAGGGAATCGACGACGCCTGCTTCACGAAAAAGACTCACCTAAACGGCTACTGTATAAAACTCGACATAACCAACCTCTGCTGTAACATATGCGGAGAGGAGATCGATGATGTGGAAATCCTCTTGGACCACCTCTCTAACGACCACGATAGAACCATTTTTACAGACATCAAGAGTCTCATTGTGCCGTTCAAATTCAGGAACGAAGAGCTACAATGCTATATTTGCAATGAGAAGTTTGGTGCGTTCAAAGTGCTGCTGGCTCATATGAACGTGCACATACGGAACTTCGTCTGTGAGGTGTGCGACGCCGGTTTCGTGAACATCAAACAGCTGCGAGGTCACGCAGAGAGCCACAAGACGGGTACCTACAAATGTGAAGTGTGCGGGAAGATCTTCTCAACGATCAGGGCCTGTTCGTTCCACGTGAACCGCGTGCATAGGAACTCATTTGTCAACAAATGCGGATACTGCTCTCAAGTCTTCAAAGAGTGTCGGCAGAAGCAGAAGCACCAGCTCGAGGTGCACGGCATCGGTGCGGTCATGAACTGCGAGTATTGCGATAGGACCTTCAAAACGCAGAGCACGTACCGTATCCACGTGAACAGGGATCACTTGAAAGTGCGGAAGTTTTCCTGCACGATGTGCGAGAGGAGGTTCTTCAAGGTTAGCGATCTGCACGACCACATGGTGAGGCACACCGGCGAGAGGATTTTCAAGTGCGAAGTGTGCCAGAAGGCGTTTGCGCGTCGGAAGACGTTGCGCGAACACAATCGCATACACCTCAACGATAAGCGGTTTAAGTGCGAACACTGCGGTCAGGGTTTCGTGCAGAAGTGCAACTGGCGAACCCACATGCGAACTAAACATGGAGAAATTAAAACTTAGATTGACGCTTAGTTGTATTCCGACATTCCGCATGATTTAAATGAATCACTTTAACGGTTTATAGTGCACAATGTATTAGTTAACATTATTTTAACCACGGTCCGACGTTTCAGATACTTTGCCGTGGTCACGGGGGCTAAAGATGGAAGGTGTCTCTAATGTCTAAGTAAAAACTGCTACGCTATACGAAACGTCGGGCCGTAGTTAAGATAGATTTTAATAAGTTAAACTTCGCATTTTAAACCGTTAGTGGTTTATTTTTATGTGTACTACTCGCGTAAACTACAGACAGTATTTAATTCCCCATAATGTTTCAAGTACGTCTAGTGTGTCATAACCACGATAGTATTAAGGAAAACAATTTTAACTGTTTCAAACGTGAACTGTTTTAGCTTATCGATTTTTAACTACGACTTAAGCAGCTGTGGGCGCGGGTAGTGACGTTATATCCAAAAAAATCATGGGGTACCACTTGCATAAACTACCGATACAATAATGATATATTAAGCACATCTAGTTTAATTTGTGTTCTTGAATATTATTATAAAATAAAAATAGCTAGCTATCATTTGAGTGAAATGCAACTGGTTTTTGATTTTAAATGCTGTTAACGTCTATCTTTAGCCTTAAATTTCCATCAATCGATGTCAAGAAATGACTATAAGAATGAATAATTTTTAGGCTCGCATAACTACAAAAAGTTAACCAGTCTCAGAATAAACGAACAACGAATATATTTTAAATTATTTCTCACGCTTAAATTTCGTTTAAACGATAAAAACCCCAATGTACACTTATAGCAATGACAGTTTAGTTAATTTCTTTATAGGTGAACAACGGGAAGGTAGCCTTAATAGTGAACATCACGACTCGATAGGAGGTACAGAATTGCCAACATTAAAAAAACATTTAAATAACATTGGTGTAATAATGAAGTGGTCTAATGCCACGCCGATTAGATGTCACACTGACAAAGGTTACGCTTGCTGCTTTTGTGATCAACAGTTCCTAGATCCGGCAGACTTGAAGGACCATACGACACAGATCCATAGAGGAAACACGGCGATCACCAAAAAATCTGACCTGACCGGGTACCACGTCAAACTCGATATAACAGGCTTGCGATGCGCGTGCGCCGAATATTTTGACACCTTGGAAGCGTTTATCGAGCACCTATTGACGGAGCATAAAGTCAAGTATTACACGAGGATAAAGAACCACATCGTTCCATTCAAATTTGACACGGAGGAGCTCAGGTGCTACATTTGTTCCAACAAGTTCTGCACCTTCAAAATGCTCCTCTGCCATATGAACATACACATAAGGAATTACGTATGCACTATATGCGACGCTGGCTTCGTTTACGTCAAGCAATTGAAGAACCACAGCGGAATCCATAAGACAGGGTCTTTCAAGTGCGGCCACTGTGAGAAGTCGTTTACGACGCTGCAAAAGTGCCGCTACCACACAGACTACGTGCACAAGCCGAGGTGCGCGAACAAATGCGGTTTCTGTGGGGAATCGTTCAGGCTGCATTCCCAGAAGAAAACACACCAGAGGAAAGAGCATGGGATCCTTTCGGAAAATAGATGTACGGCGTGCGATCGTTCGTTTTCCACTCAGCGGAACTATCGCATCCATATGCAAAGAGACCACCTGATGGAGAGGCGGCACGGGTGTAAACAGTGCGACATGAGGTTCTACACCACGTCGCAGTTGAAAGACCATATGGTGAAACATAATATCGGTCTTCGCGTGTTTCAATGCGATGTATGTTTGAAGTCTTACGGTAGGAAGACGACGCTCAAAGAGCATTTGCGGATCCACGCGGACGATAGGCGATATAAGTGCGATTTGTGCGGGCAGGCGTTTGTCCAGAAGTGTAGCTGGAGGGGGCATATGTCTTCCAAACATGGGATAGTACAGCCGAAAGTTTAGCGATAAACGAGGTTATATCCTCTAACATAAAAAAATTGTTTCGACACATCTTCATTTTTAAATAAAACACTTAAACGGTTAAAAACGCGATATATTAGTTAAACTTATTTGAAAAATGATTTTTAATTTAAATAAAACACTTTAACGGTTTAAAACGCGATATATTAGTTAAACTTATTTGAAAATGATTTTTAATTTAAATAAAACACTTTAACGGTTTAAAACGCGATATATTAGTTAAACATATTTGAAAATGATTTTTAACTTCGGCCCGACGTTTCGGATGCTTTGCAGCAGCCGTGGTCACGGGGAGACGTTTAACTAATATATCGCGTTTTAAACCGTTAAAGTGTTTTATTTAAATGTGTACTACTCGCGTAAACTATAGACAGTATCTAAATGATTTTTAACTTCGGCCCGACATTTCGGTCTCCCCGTGACCACGGCTGCTGCAAAGCATCCGAAACATCGGGCCGAAGTTAAAAATGTGTACTACTCGCGTAAACTATAGACAGTATCTTCACTTTTGTTATACAGATCACAATTACTCAAATATGTTGGAATTTCTTTATAATTTAAATTAAGAGCGTGTTACTCATTGCATGTGATTGCAAAGACTTAGGTATGTGTTATGTTGTCCGTCTGTATGTTCAGACACACAGTTGAGTTAAGCTTTTAGGTAGGCCACTGAAAAAGTATATTATAAATAATTATTCGAATTGGATCAGCAGTTGCGGAGATTAGCGCATTCAACGATACAAAACTTCTTAGGATACGAAAAAAAATATTTGTAAGAAGATAACTCTATGAAATGTTTGCGATTGAGTGCCAATTTAAGTATCTCTCGTGTTTTTTTGTTGGCTGAATATAGTCGAAATAAACCACCACAATTCTCGATAAGCTTTAGTTTAAGATTCTGTAAATATTACTGCCATACAATGTTTGTTAGTGTAGCACAATTTAGTAGTCGAAATACTGAAAAATACTAATTCTGGAATATGGCAGTTGTTCTACCGCTGATGGGGTAAAGTTTCGAAGGTAATTGAAAAATGGTACTCGGCCTTTCCCCATCACTGAATCATCAGCTCTGTATCTGTTTTCGCTTAATATGAGTAACGCTCTCATGATACCATCTACTCGCGAACCATTTTGGAGGCTAAATTTTTCAAAAATGGAAGTAACTGCAAAATGGCCATGGAAGCTTTAAGTGTAGTTTAAAAGCCACAAAAGATTTTTATAACGCTACGGTATGCAATCTTCTCTTTGAAAGTATAACTTTTTTTTAGCCAGCAAATTTGCATCTATTATAAATAGTTACTCTCGAAAAGCTATATATTGCAAGCTTTGTAGAGAATATACCAGCACAATATATTCGCCGGTAGGACAACTGCTTTGTTCGTATAATGTCGAAGCCATCTTCTATGACTTTCAATTATTTATTTGATGTCACTGTAATATGCCGGAATAAGAGAAGTAAATAAATTGCAAATTCAGATATGGTTTTTTATTTATTGTATTATTATTTAATTCTATAATAATATGAAATATATATATGTTGACAATTGAGATTCGCGCTTTCATATATTTCTTTGGTATTGTTTAGCCTTTTTTACCTTTAGATCCTAAACATAATATACTAAGAAACAAATGGCTGTTAAGTTGTAATCCTATTATAAAGAAGATTTAAAGTATTAGCTCATTTTAAACTCTTGCTTTTAAATAAAACACTTTAACGGTTTAAAACGCGATAAACTTATTTAAAAATGATTTTTAACTTCGGCCCGACGTTACGGATGCTTTGCAGCAGACGTGGTCACGGGGAGAGAAGTGTTTTATTTAAATGTGTACTACTCGCGTAAACTATAGACAGTATTTCTCTTCTTGCTTATTAATTTATGAAAAAAAAAATCTCTCTTTAAAAACTTAACTTAAACATTAAAAACTATGATATATCCACATGGCGGTCTAACCTAAAATAAAACGTACTTTAAAAATAACTGCCTTCGTTTACGTTATTATTATTTATTGTTACTGGGGCCTATCTATTATTATAGATTGATAGTCAAAGGACGTTTACTTGATTTTTCACTATTAACGAAAATCTCTATCAATCGGACCAAAGTAAGCCTGATTTGTAATCCAAAACTAAATTTTGATTTTGTAAAAGCAATTATATTTTGCGGAAGAAACGCGTGGCATTAATCTAACCTTTCCTTTGTAGGTATGCTTCATAGCCACAAAAATGTAGACAATGACGAAACGGCTGACGCTCATGAGAAAAAGAGGGCCAAGAATAGAAGTGAGATTGGCGAAGAGTTGAGAAAGCACCGCTTCAATTTAGAGCAAATACTAAGGAATTCCAACATCACACCGATCAGATGCCATCGCGGTTATGGTTACGTGTGTTGCTTTTGCGCTAAAGAATTTCCCCAACCAGCTGACTTGAAAACTCATACGCTTCAAGTTCACAGTGAAAAGGAGAAAGCTCGCCTGTTAGATGGCTTCCTGTACAAATTCCATGCTAAACTCGATATTACAGGCCTCGAATGTTCTATTTGCGCCAACACTATTGATACTCTAGAGGAATTCATCAACCATTTACATAAAATCCACGACATCAAGATGCACATGGATATAAAAAATCAGTTATTCCCATTCAAGTTTGATAATGACGAACTGAAGTGCTGCATATGTCACAACAAATATCAGAAGTTTAAATCGCTCCTAGAGCATATGAACGTGCATTACAGGAATTTTATCTGTCCGGATTGTAACGCTGGCTTCATCAACCGTTCCATCCTCGCTGAACATTCTAAAAAGCATATGCTCGGCGTCTTCGCTTGCGGCATATGCTCAAAAGTTTTTGACACGCTGAGAAAGAAACAGTCGCACGAGAAGTTCGTGCACGATGACAAGAAACTCCCCAATAAGTGTGGTCACTGCGGCGAGAAGTTCAAGGACTACAGGAAGAAGGAGGAGCATCTGGTGTCGGTCCACGGTGTTGTCCATAAACGACCGGAATGCGAGGCCTGCAGTCGGTCATTCAAGAACCAGAAGGACTACAACCTTCATATACGACGGCTGCATCTGATGGATAAACGGCATAAGTGTCCCAATTGCGACATGGCTTTTTTTACCACAGGTGAACTGAAGAGTCACGTGGTGAAACATACGGGGGCGAAGGGTTTCCAGTGCGCGGTGTGCCACAAATCTTACGGTCGGAGGAAGACTTTGATAGAACATATGCGGATACACAATAATGATAAGAGATTCAAGTGTGAGCGTTGTGGGGTGGCGTTTGTTCAGAAGTGTCGTTGGCGCGGGCACATGTGGACGAAACACGAAGAACACGTGTAATTTTGAATCGGTGATACATAAATCAAGTCAACATTACCTACATTTTTATAACTAATAACTCTTAAGAAGGAATATAAATACAATATACTGGTTATCGTATCTTTGAACGTCCTCAGTATACATACAGAGAAATTAAAGATTTACTTTGATGTTATTTCTGTTTACATATAACGTTAAATTAAATAAATTAAAAGATCGTCTATGCTGTTTAATTTAATATTACTAAACATTTACTATACAGAGGCGGCTCGTAGGCATGTTTCCTTAATATTGATTTTTCGCTCTGATGCTGTTGCTGAGGATAATTATATTTATTAATTATGATTATCGTCGATTAGGTATATTATATATTAGATTCTGATAGGTACTCGGCAATAATAAATCAATTTAGTTACAAATATATATATATAATAATATATATTTGTAACAGTACAAATGATTAGTATAAAGATAAATGATGATGTTTTATTAAACAATTAGTGCAGCGTTAAAAGCAAGTAATAACTATATTAATTTATAAGCGCCTAAAGAATTACCGTAAATTTAACAGAAAAAAAAATATTTCTTGCGACACGTAGTTTAGGTGTAATACAATAGAATACCGCCGATAAGCTAACTATGAAAAGAAAATTTAAAAACATCAAGATTGTAATAGTGACGTTTTCTTTATAGGTAAAAAGAAAAGTGACCCAAAATTGCAGCTAGACAGAGACAATGCGAGAGAAATAGAAGAGAACGATACTGAGATACCGAAATTTAAACACGGTCAGGAGTTAGAGAAACACAGACGGAACATTCGAGAGATAATCACCTGGTCCAATGCGACGCCGATTCGCAGTAGGGGGGGTATCGGATACGCCTGCTGTTTTTGTGCCGATCAGTACCCAGACCCGGCGGATCTGAAGAGGCACACGATCGAAAACCACGACGACAAAACCAAAAGCACCTTCATGAAGGGCAAAGACATGTACAGCTACTTCGTGAAACTGGACATAACGTCTTTAACTTGCAACATATGCTTCCGTAACATGGACACTCTTGAAAGCATCATGGTCCATTTGAAAACTGACCACGACAAGAGTATAAACACTGATATTAAGAACCAAATCCTACCGTTCAAGTTTGATAGCGAAACGCTCAGGTGCTTCATCTGTCTGAACGTCTTTAACAAATTCAAAGCGCTCCAGGAGCATATGCACACGCATTACAGGAATTTCATATGCGACGTGTGTGACGCTGGCTTCGTGAATCGGCATATTCTCCTCTGTCATCGAGAGGCTCATAAGACCGGCACGTTCGCATGCGACCAGTGCACGGAGGTGTTTGAGACTGTGCGCAAAATGAAACAGCACGTAAGAAAGATACACAACGGTCTCACGATGCCGCACAAGTGTGGTTACTGCAGTGAGAGGTTTAAAGAGAACTTTCATAAGTACGAGCACCTTGCAAAGGTACATGGTGTGGTGGGTCCAGCTATTAAATGCCAGGCGTGTGATAGGACCTTCACCACACAGCAGACGTGGTTGCTGCACACGAAGAAGTATCACCTGATGCAAAAGCAACATAAGTGCTCCTATTGCGATAAAGCCTTCTTTGGGAAGAGGGAGTTGAACGATCATATAGTGAAACACACTGGGACTAGAGAGTATCGTTGTGAAGTATGCTTTAAGTGCTATGGACGAATGAAAACTCTTAAGGAGCATATGCGGAGGTTACACTCGCAGTGTCAAAGATAATTTCTTAGTAGATTATAATTTATATACGTTATTACACGATCTTAAGTTTTTTAATAAACATCTATTTATAACTTAGGGACGTTTTATTTTGTATGAAAATACGCTTCTATAGTAAAGGTCTAAACGTCACATAAACCAGATATTTACTTGCCCTATAACACTATCATGTAAATAAATTACAAGATACATACTAGGTGTATGTACTGTTTCGATAAATAAGAAACATAACCACGAAAAATTATTTCGCACCTCGTTTTAAGTCCGTACAGGCGAGTACTTTTCTCATTAATAATCTGTGGTGTGTCACCGCATCGAAAATATTAATTGCGTTTTATCTTTGTAGGTGTTCGTACGATTAAGGTCGAACGTGGAGTAAGGGAACCAAAAGCGAACGTGAAGATTGCTCAGCGCTCTATAACAACGAACGAGGCTAAGAAAAACCAAGCGAATTTAAGGCACATTCTTTTGAATTCTAACGCTAACCCCATAAGGACCAAAGACAGCCTCGGATACGTGTGTGGCTTTTGTCCGGAACAGTTCTTGGAGCCAACTGACCTCAAGAAGCATTTCCTCAACGAGCATAAAGACGAGAGGTTCATCAAATTCATGTCCACCAGACTCTTTGAACATGTCGTCAAGCTAGATATCACGTACTTAAACTGCGCGCTGTGCAAAAGAGACCTTTCTAATTTAGACGAACTACTATCCCACCTGAAACAACAACACGCAAAAGACGTCCATACGGACATAAAATGCCCCATCCTCCCCTTCAAATTCGACTCGACAGAACTCCGCTGCGCCGTCTGCTCCACGGAGTACACCAATTTCAAGTTGCTCCAGGAGCATATGAACAGCCACTTCGGTAAATTTACTTGTGACGTATGCGGGCATCGATTCATGACCGAGAAACTGCTGCTGAGTCATGAGAGACGGCACAAGACGGGTGAATACAAGTGCGACCAGTGCGAGAAGGTATTCATCAATTCGGGTAGGCTCCGAGAGCACAAGAACCGGGCGCACTTCGGTATGGCAAAACGGAATAAGTGCCAAATATGCCTGGAGAAGTTTATGGACTATTGGAAGAAGGTAGATCATATGGTGCAAGCCCACGGCGCGCAGCCAGTAGTGCTGAACTGCCAAGCGTGTAACAGAGTCTTTCATAACCAACGAGCTCTATCTAGGCACACGAAGAAGGACCACCTGATGGAGAGAAGGCACAAGTGTGAGGAGTGCGACATGACGTTCTTCTCCACGAGCTGTTTAAAACGACACATGACGAAGCACACTGGTTCGAGGGACTATCAGTGCGATATATGCTTCAAGGCGTACGGCAGAAAGACTACTTTGAGGGAGCACATGAGGATACACGCTGATGATAGGCGCTTTGCGTGCGGGCATTGTGGGCAGGCGTTTGTCCAGAAGTGCAGTTGGCGCAGTCACATGAGGTCCAAACATGGCGAAGAACATTAGGTTGATTAGTGTGTTTACTTGTCGGTTTTTGTAAATACTTTGGTGAATAAAGCTGTGTAACATTGTGCTATCAATTTTACTATAACAAACCAAATACGTTCTTTGGAGACAATTACTACTACTGATAACTTATGAAGAATTATGTTAACAGTTTTCGGTCACTGTTCTCTCTTAGATTGACATTTAGGCTAAAAAATATAAACAACTTCAGTCATAAAATTGCAGGTAGGCCGCTCTAGCTCTACCGGCCTCAATTTATTTACCGGCATCAATAACCGTTTCGTGCCGTACCGTATTGTTGCTCTTACCATTTAATTACCGTGTCCAACACGTTATCGTCGAATTAAACTGTCATTTATACATTTTCAATCCAAATTGATTTTTGTTCATATACCATCATATTTAAGTATACAAAGGGTTAGGGTCATTCGTCATATTAAATAATTAATATTTGTTTAAATAAAACACTTTAACGGTTTAAAACGCGATATATTAGTTAAACTTATTTGAAAAGCTAAAAATCAGTCAATCAGGGCCGAAGTTAAAAATCATTTTCAAATAAGATTAACTAATATATCGCGTTTTAAACCGTTAAAGTGTTTTATTTAAATGTGTACTACTCGCGTAAACTATAGACAGTATTTAATTATTATTTAGTTTAGAGATAAATAGTATATTTCATGGTAGCTATTTAGTAAGTGTTGTTTAATTATACCACCATTAAATAAAACATTCGTAACTTATATAAATCGAATTCATACTAGATCGTTCATTAGTTAGTCTATAAATTACACAAGCAATACGAATATATACATTTAAAAAGCAACATGTAACTGTTTAATACGTAAAAAAACTTTTATCTATTGTATTTACTACACATAAAAAAAACGGTATAAAACGCGAAAAATATTGGACCGTTCATCTATATAAATAACTATTACTGTTATATATGAATCGCCATCGACAATAAATGAATTCAAATAGATGCACGTTTACTTAATGAAAGCAGTTTTTACATAAGTAGGTACAATGTTTTAAGTGTTGTATGTTGACTGTTTAGAACGTGAAATATTTAATTTAACTTTTTTCCTATGCCTCGGCATTTCAGATGCTTCAAAGAAGCTGGGTTTGGATTCTTAAAAAAATTGATAGCTAGTAAATTTCGCGTTTTAAACTGTCATAAAGCTTTATCCAAGTCTACAACTCGCGTAATCGCTGGTTTAATTTTAAACCGACCCGGAATGATAAAAATATTTATTGTTGTAGGTGACATCGAAAAAGGGAAGATATGTTTATTAAATTTAAGAAAATCTGATCCCATTATATTAAAGAGAGCGTGCGAAATAGACAAACATCTCCATAATATACGGGAAATACTTTTAAACTCCAACGCAACACCCATCCGTTGCAAGGGTGGCATCGGATACACATGTTGCTTCTGCGCAAAACAGTGGCCAGACCCAAAAGATCTTAAGCGACATACAATCAACCAGCACGACGAAGCAACCAAAGCGAATTTCATGCAACGCAAGGATATGCACGCGTATTTCGTGAAACTGGACATCACTGACTTGCAATGCAAGTGCGGGACGAACATCGACACTGTCGAGAAGTTCTTGGATCACCTAAAGCTAATCCATAGAAAGAACACCTTCAGAGACATCAAGAACCACATCTTCCCGTTCAAATTCGACCATGAGACCCTCAGATGCTGCATCTGTCTCAATATCTTCAACACGTTCAAAGCGCTCCAGGAGCATATGAACGTGCATTACAGGAACTATGTGTGCGAAGTGTGCGATGCTGGTTTCGTGAACAAGAACATACTATCGAGACACGGAGACGCCCACAAAACTGGTACCTTCAGATGCGAAGAGTGTCCAAAAATCTTCGATACGGCCCGCAAGAAACTTTTGCACGTGCGGTCTAAACATTCCGGTATCAAACTGCCGCACAAATGCGGGTACTGCAGCGAGAGGTTCAAGGAGGTCTGGAAGAAGCACAACCACCTGTATAAGGTGCATGGCGTTCGAGGTCCGGAGATAACTTGCCAGGCTTGCGACAAACATTTTCGGACGAAGAGCGCGTGGAGGCTGCACACGACGAGGGTCCATCTTATGCAGCGTCCGTATAAGTGTACGGACTGTGATATGGAGTTCTACGCTAAGCGAGAGCTGGACAGCCACACGGTGAAGCACACTGGCTCGAGGACGTTCCGGTGTGAAGTCTGTTTGAAGTCGTTTGGCAGACAGAAGACGTTGAAGGAGCACAAACGTCGAATACATAATAATGTTTAAACTATTTATTGAAAGTAATATATTATATGCTAATCTGGTTGTTTGTTTATTATTTTCAAATTTAAATACACTTTTAACGGTTTGAAACGAGAACTGTTAAACTTAGAATACATTAAACTACCCGATGGTTCGAATGCTTTGCAGCCCACACCTGTTGCACGGGGAGATTTTTATAGCCTACATACACTCCTCCTTTAAAAATACACTTTCATTTATTCAAATTTTTACAAACATAACTAATATAACAAAGGCGTGAACACATTCGATTTTTTTTCTGTACGCCCTCGTCTTGTAGTACATTATATAAATTAATACTAAGTATAATACAGATATATAACGGTTAAACGTATTGCCTAGCATTGCGTTTTGCGCGAGAGGTCCTGGGTTTCGAATCCCAGGGGAACGAAAAAGTTGTTCCGGTCGGGTAGGGCACAGAAGTCTGATCAATTACTTGCCTGTTAAAAAGAACTGTACAGTGAAACGGACATAGAAATGTGTTCGCCCCATGCCCCAGAAGGGGGAAACGGGATTTCACTTTATAATACAGATTACCACATACTAAAACCAGTTTTAATTATACTAAATTACACAAGAATTCGCATTATCAATATGTACAAACAAACAAGTAACAACATTTGGAGGGAGTAGATTTTTTTATTTGTTTTTAGTAAGGAATTCTTTAATACGATTCCATAATAATTTAAATAGTTCTGTTATAAACATTTTGGTAATTAGTAAGCTACTCTTTTACGATGAAATACTAAATTGGATATGCACATGTTTATAGTATGAACTCGTGAGTTATTACACATAATTGGTTTTTAAACCCTGCTAGCAGTGCGCGACTCCGTCCGCGTAGAATGCCTCGTTATTTTGGGTAGCCTGATGGCCAAATCTTTATAAATTATATCTTTTATCCACGACATACTTGTTACAAGGTAATCTTAAAATATAGACATACTAGCTGCGCCCGCGACTTCGTTCGCGTGGAATAGTGACTTGGGAGAGAATTTTTAATTATTTAGGCTGTATGTAATTGCGTATTTATTGCACCCAATCTATGTTGTAAGTGCATCACATCACTCCTACTCTAACTCCCACTCCTATTCTCAAAAAGCCAAAGAAGAAAGTTTCATTGTTCTATCTTCAAAAACCTCGAATTTTCATACAAACTTCCCCCCCCCCCCTTTAACCCCTTACAAACCCCTTTTCACAATAAAAAGTAGCCTATGTTCCTTCTCAGGGTCTAGACCATATGTGTACCAAATTTCATTCAAATCCGTTCCATAGTTTTGGCAAAGAGTAACAGACAGACAGACAGACAGAGTTACTTACGCATTTATAATATTAGTAAGGATACAACCGCTGACATCTTTTTAAATAATTTAAAGAGAAATTATTCTTTTGTACGAATTTTTTGGATATCTAGAACCTTGTCGTCTAACGAAATATTACTTTTCAAATTTGGAATTCTTACAGCTAGTAGCGCTAGTAAACATCAGGATGTCCTTCGAAAGTATAGCTTAATATCCGCTGAACTGCGATAGAGTGGGGTAGGTCCTATTAGCAAGAGGAGACCTGTGCCAGGTTGTAGGACACGAATAAATAAAAATATAACTATTGAAGAACTGAGTCATTGAGAATATTATAACATAAAGATGTATTATGCTCAGAGAAGAAACGCTCCTTCTTCATTCAAAGCTCCCGCTAACTATTTAATATAAAGATTACAATCTTAACGAGAACAATTTCATTTTAGGTACACTCTGGCCGACGAAGAAAGTGTTCATAAAAAATCCGCGGCCACCGGACCTGAAGAAGGAAATAATAATACCTAAAAAAACCCCCACTGTCAACGTAGTGACAAAGAAGAAGATTGAAATGGACAAACACTTAGATAACATACGAACGATTTTGATCAACTCGAACGCAACGCCGATCCGGTGCCGCGGCAGCTTCCTCTACACTTGCTGGTTTTGTGACAATCAATACGAGATCCCGGATCAGTTGAAAAGCCATACGCTAGAAACACACGACGACACTGTCAAAAAAACCTTCATGGACGGCGCCTCGATGATCACATACGTAGTAAAACTAGATATAACAGGTCTGCGGTGTAACTTATGCCGGCGGGACTTCCCCGAACTCCAAGACTTCATCAAACATTTGAGAGATCACGGCAAAAGCTACCACGACGATATCAAAACCCACATAGTACCGTTCCGCTTCGACGACAAGGATTTCAGATGTGTTATATGCAAGAATAGGTTTAACAATTTCAAAGTGTTGATCGAACATATGAACGCTCATTATAATAATTATATTTGTAATATTTGCGGTGCCGGGTTTATAAATAAGCGGACCTTACAGACGCACGGTTACAGACATAAGACTGGTACGTTTAACTGTTCGTTCTGTCCCAAAGTTTTCGATACCAGTATCAAGAAGAGAGACCACGAAAGAGGTGTTCATATATTACACAATAAGAGAAGTAAATGTGGATATTGCGGGGAACGGTTCACAGATTATACGAAGAAAAATGATCATTTGGTTAAAGTGCACGGGGCGACGCCTGTCGTACTTCAATGCCAAGCCTGCGATAAGACTTTTGGCAATCAAAGATCACTGACGATGCATACAAAATCCTACCATCTCTTACAGAGGAAGAAGCTAGATAAAACTGTGTAGCACAAGACTTCATATTGATCTCTTATGTTAAGGATAACTTTATAAATAAAAGGCTTATAATCAGAATTATTTGGTAATTATTGTTTTATTATTACAACTCAAGATTCGGACTAGTTTGGCTTGATCAATAATAATAATTAATTTATAATAAATTTGGTAAAGTGTAGAAGTGTCAAAATCTTCGTCTCCAAATATAAAAGCATGGCCTTCGGTAAATCTGAAACAACAGACGTAAAAACCTTGATTGTTCCAAGATATAAAGTTATATTAGTTCATATCTATGCAAATTGTTATTTCCATTCAATTAAGTAATAACCCTAAAACCTTTTTGCCAATGTCCCGAGTTCGCGACCTGGAGAAATCTATTTTATAATTAACTAGGCAAAGGTAAGTAAAAAATACGATTTAAACAGTTTAAAGTGCACTAAACACGTGTTAACTATAGAAATGCTTCATATATATAATATTATAAATGCGAAAGTAACTCTGTCTGTCTGTTTGTTACCCTTTCACGCCAAAACTACTGAACGGATTTGAATGAAATTTGGTATACAGATGGTCTAGACCCTGAGAAAGGACATTGTCTACTTTTTATTGCGAAAGGGAGTTTTAAGGGTCTAAAAGGGGGTGGGGGAGAAAAGTTGTATGGAAATTCGTAGTTTTGTGGGAGTGGGAGTGAGTGTAGGTATGAGTGTGGGAGTTAGAGCAGGAGTGATGCGAGGTGAGAGTGTTGCGGCAAAATAGCACTTACAACATAGATTGGCTGCTTTAAATGCGCCCTTACATATATTAATAAACAAACAAGTCACTATTCCACGCGGACGAAATCGCGGGCACAGCCAGCACTTCATAAATAATATTCACTTATCTTAAAAATATGTTATTTATAAGGATTAAGAAATAAAATGACGTTTAATTAAAACTTTACATTTCAATATGATTAACACATTGTTCTTTCTTCATAGGTAAGCTAAGAAGGAACGACAATCTAACATCGGAGAAAACCTTATTCAAACAGACTTTGTCCAACTTGAGGCAGATTATACTGTGTTCGAATGCAACGCCGATACGACGCAGCATCGGACGAAAATATCTTTGCTCCTTCTGTACAGAACGCTTTCCATCTCCAGCTGAATTGAAAGAACATAATCTAAACGAACACTTCAAAGATTTAGCCACGAAAGAGAGGAAAGTAATTGACGAAATCGTAAAGTGCATACCGAGGACTGGTAAATCAAAAACCAGCATTAAACTCGACATAACATCTTTTACCTGTACATTATGCGGTAGTCCTATCAACGATATTGCAGAGTTATATAAACATTTGAAATCTACCCACAATGGACTGTTACATACGGATATAAAGAACCTAATGATACAATTCAAATTTGACAGCGACCAGCTAAGCTGCTACGTTTGTTCGAAGGAATTCTCAGCTTTCTCCTGTTTAGTGGAACATATGAACACCCATGTTACTAACTACAAATGTAACGAGTGTCCTTCAGCGTTTGTCGTCTGGGATCGGTTGAAAGACCACCAGAAAAAGACACACAATGTGGGTAGTTTCAAATGTACCCTCTGCCTTAAAGTGTTCAAGACCAAAACGAAGCTGTATTTACATGGACGCAATGTTCACAAGAAGGGGGAGACGAAATGCAACCACTGCGGCGAGGCTTTCCCCACGCGATGGGAGAAACAGAAGCACGAATTGAAGCAACACGACGTGTCTGTCGCGATCTTCAAGAAGGTGAAGTGCGACGCCTGCGAGCGGGAGTTTAATAACGTCGGGTCATATAACGCGCATTTCCGAAGATTCCATTTAATGGAGAGGTCTCACAAATGCGACCGTTGCGATATGACGTTCTTCGAGTCGCGGGATTTGAAGCGGCACTTGGTGAAGCATGGTGAAGAGAAGAAGTTTGTGTGTGACTTCTGTTCGAAAGCTTTCAAGTGGAAAAGGATACTACGCGAACATTTGCGGATCCATACGGATGATAGGAGGTTTAAGTGTAAACGCTGCGGGCTGGGGTTCGTACAGAAGATAACCTGGCGTGGTCACATGCGAACGAAGCATGGAGAAATGGTATAGCGTATAAATACTTTTGCTAATTTAGAAGCTATACCACAGGTGCACAGACCGCGGCCTGCCGTTTGAATACTGGTGGCCCGCTGACAGCAAAAATAACACTCAAATTAATAAATTATTTTTCAATTTTAATACATTATTACCAATTCTTTATTGTCTTTAATTACCTATACTTCCGGCGTCCGCCATCAGTTTATGGTTTCCCCGAGTGGCCCACTGTCAACTGTGACATCACAACATGTTCTTCATAAGTCTGTGCATCACTTCGTCATAAGCAAAATTATAGTAAACCGAGACACTTATAAATGTTTAAAATATTAAAAAGAATTATACTATTAACAGTTTAAAACGCGGAAATAATAAATTTATTTAACATATTTAAAGTGTTTTATTTAGTACTAATTGAGCATTAACAACCCAAAAAGAAGTCTATAGCTTATTCACTGCTTACTAATTTTATTAGCATATAGCGGTAAATAAAAACACTGACGGTTTAAAACGTAAAATTTATAAATATATTTTCTACTATGACTGTCGGGCGTGATTTATTTAATGTGTACCAAATTCGGATAACCTTTAGTTAATTATTATTTAATACGTGAAATATTAGGCCTGTATACAAAGACGAGAGTCGAACCCGAATTAGATAGCGTACGGAACGATAAAATGGTCACAATTTTTAAATATTTCTTTTTATATTTAAGTGTTAAATTGTCTATTAGTATAGAATAAAGAGAACTTAAAATTTTATTTATTATTTTATTTCTTTGTACAAAGTATTACATACAGGTTGTTGGAAAACATTAATATTTTTCACATAATTATTGCACAGGATAGCATTGTAAAAATTAAAAACAAATTATAAATTCGACTCGGGCGGGAATTGAACCGGCACTCACAGCATTTCGTACGTGCTTTAACTTAGCTTATTTGGTTAGAGCAGCAGCACGGAACGCTGTAGATGCCGGATCAAGACCCGACCGAGTCAATTTTTTTAAAAATTTATAATCTTTTTTTTTTTATTTATACATATTGTTTTTATAATTTAAAAAGTATAACAGGCATAAATAACAATCTTATAATTAACGAAGTAACTCCTTACGTATTGCAAGCTTACAATAACCCTTCCTCTCCTCTCAAAACTGCTGGTTCACCACCACGTTTGACCTTACCAACAAGCAACAAACCTCCAAATAACATTTAAGATAAGAAAGAAAGGACTTTTATTTAAAACTTCTTTTCTATCTTTTTTGCCTAAATTCTTTAATAATTAGTTGATTTGTCTTGTCATATGTTAAATCCTGTCTCCCCTAATGGGGCATGGGGCGAACACATTTCTGTGTCCGTTTCTTTGATCTTTTTTTAAAGTAGTTGATCAGACTTCTATGCCCTGCCTGATCGACACCTTCTATTCATTCCCGGAGATTCGAGCCCACGACCTCTTGAGCATAACGCAATGCTAAGCAACACGTTAAACGTTAAGTTACAGAGGTGGAGCTGACTTCTTGGGATTTAAAATCATTCTGTGCCTTTTTATATTCTACTAAACACCATATTATTAAATGGTTTTTGGATTTATGTAATATGGGACTATTACATAAATGTGTGTGGCTAATAATTATTAACCCACCAGTCACCACCAGTCCCAACGTGTTTCTTTTCAATTTAAAATTTTGCTGAAACATATGGAACTTCATCAGAAAATATGAATGCGTGGTAGAAATATAAAATTCCGTCAGAGTCACGTACTACGGTCCACAGATGAAAAAACCGTGAATCGCATTTCGGATTCGGTCTGTGAGTTTCCCAATATCAGAGCCCAAATCATCGATTATCTTATTAACCTAACATGAATTAAACCACGTGCTTGTCTGTCTATCATTAACAAGTATCAACTTAAAAAAAAATAAGTTAAGTGGTTTTATTTTTATTTTTAAGGAAAAAAGGTAATCCGCCATTTTGTATCGGCGGCCATCTTGGGTTTATATGTTATTGATGTTATTATATTGTATTGTCATCTAAATTAAATGTGTGTACCAAATTTCAGATCAATCTTTCAGACAACGGGAAGGTGCTTAAATTTCAATTTCTAATTTTGTCCCAAATAATTCCGTACGGGTCGAGCTAAATAAAACCGTTTAAAAAGTCATATTCTTCTACAAACAATTTGTCCAAACCAAAGACTTGTGGTGTTTGTACCTATAACGTTTCCGCGTGTTTCTTCGTCATATGGTACTTCAAGCTCGTCTGCTGCACGAACGACTCTTCGCAAATCTGGCAGACGTGCTTCCTCACATCCAGGTGCATATAAATATGAGTCTTCAAGTTCTTCTTCCAGCGAAAACTCTTGTCGCAATAGTTACATTTGTAAGGCCTTAACGCCGTGTGAATTATCGAATGGTTTGACAACATCCGCTTGGACGCGAACTTCATATCGCAAACGCCGCATGTGAACTGCTTCTCGCCCATGTGGTAGATTTTCTGGTGGCGCAGAACCTGGTTGGGGAAGGCGAATTTCTTCCCGCAAGCCCCACACGTTGGCGCTGGTAATCCATGAGCTTGTTCCATGTGAAACGGGCGGTATTGCGTGGGTACTTTGATGTTGCAGAGGTGGCAACTGCGGAGTTTGGGCCGCATCTTGAGGTGGACAAACTTGTAGTGTTGGGAGAAGTGGTCGCGCTTTTTGAAGGTGCGGCCGCAGTCCACGCACTGGTAGGCGGGTAGACCGCCTTCGTCCACTATTTGGAATTTGTCTTCGCGCCAATCTGGAAAAGGATGTATGTTAAATACTGTCTCTAGTTTACGCGAAAAGTACACATTTAAAACTCTTTAACTAAAATGCACTCCCCGTGACCACAGCTGCTGCAAAGCATGCGAAACGACGGGCCGTAGTTAGAATAAGTTTAAGTAATATATATCGCGTTTTAAACAGTTAAAGTGATTTATTTAAAAGATTTATTTTCCTTAAAACGTATAGAATAGTTCTAGAATTTAATATGAGAGGTCTTCGGAACAAATCAATCGAATGTCAAGCGTGGGGTTAAAATCAGCGTTGCGCCTTCTATCAGGTATAACACAAGCTGAGTGGAGTCCCTTCATGTACAGCTGTTTTATTATTTATTTTATGTTTGTGTTATTTCTGTATGTGGTGCAAAAACAATATATAATAATAATAATCTCTAGATTAGATTAGATTATTATTATTATGTTTAGTAGGATTTTAGGTATATCTAATGATAAAAAAAAATGGAAATCTCGTTTTCCCCCATGGGGCAAACACATTTTTGTCGGTGTGTTAACTAATCGGTTCTTTTATCAAATTTCTCTGCTTTGCCAGACCGAAACAATCGATTGTATCCTTAGTTATTGTAATATTGTTACCAACTCACAAATTAAACAAATAAGCTTAACCGTTTTAAACGCGAGAAATGAAGGTAATTTATCGCTTTAATAATCAAGAGATCGAGTCTCATATATTTAGATTGTTAAACCGTTTAGTGATTAAAAGCATGTCTAGTAGTCTAGGGATCCTGGGTTTGATTTTGCACTTTTGGCTCACGGCGGCCGAACAGCCCGAAAAAAATTTATTAGCTTTACTATTGTTTCCAAATCGATTTAATTTCTATTTGTATATAAGAACGTATAGGCAGAAAAGAAAAGGCTTTTTTACCAAATATTGTTTAATTTGACATATATAATATACAAACCAACATTCTTATAATTTTAACATATATACAATTTATGTCTTACAATACGAATACTAGAAAGTTATATAAATGCGCTCATTTTAACTGTTACAAGGAAAACAAAAATAGCTCGACAGCGCACCTGAATTTGTTATAGAGCTATGTTAACGAGGCTTAAAACGCGAACTTATTTACAATTTATTTTACATACGGCCCGACGTTTCACGTTTTAAACCGTTAAGTGTTTTATTTAACTAATCCCTAGACTACAGACAACACTTAGTTGTTAATACAAATCTATCTATGAAGCATTGCGTAACGTAGTAATCACCAAAATAAAGTTGTAAACTGTAATCTAACGAGTAACTAATGTTCACAATATATCTGTCGTCTATAGTTTACGCGAGTAGTACACACTTAAATAAAACACTTTAACGGTTTAAAACGCGATATATTAGTTAAACTTATTTGGAAATAAGTTTAACTAATATATCGCGTTTTAAACCGTTAAAGTGTTTTATTTAAATATATCTGTCGACAGATTGTAATATTTATTTTGATCATTATCCAATTGATTTTAAAATTTACGTGACTCATTGTATTTAAAAATATCATTCTCATAAATCAGGCTATATACATAAGCCAAATTTGTGTCTACTTATTATATTTAAATAAATCATCTATAACAATTTAAAACGCGAGATGTAGAGTTAAACTTATCTATAAATTACTTCAACAACGGTTACAGGAGTCTAACCGTGACCACGGCTGCATCGGGCCGTAGTTATATAATTTTAACTAATACAAAAGTAAAGTTTATTAAAATGCGTGTAAACTACAGACAGTACTGTTTATTTTCGCTAACCTCAGTAATAATTAATAATAAAATAGGCGACAAGTATATAAACTAGCTGTGACTGCGTGTTCGTCCGCGCAGAATAGTTATTTTGGCCATCAGACGTCAGTCGCGTCCCGTCGTTCTTGCAAGTTAATCATTCTTTCATACATATTTCTTACAACGTTTTCACAGCACACGCAAGGGGAACTAACGATTTTCCCCAATTTTTTCCACATTTCCCACTGTCTCGTCCTACTGGCCGCCCCACGTTATATTTTATAGCATAAAGCCTTCCTCGATAAAAGTTTTCAATACGAACCAGTAGTTCCCGAGATTAGCGCGTTCAAACTCTTCGGCTTTATAATATTGGCATAGTTAATTGCACTGCATAATCAATACACTCTTCTTCTTCCATCACCGTTTCTTCTGATTCAAGTGCCCAGCGACATGCCTGCGCAGGTGCTTCTTCCATTTGAACGCCTCATCGCAAAAGTCACATTTGAAAGGTCGTTCCGTCGTATGCTTGATAACATGCTGCCTCAAGTTTGGCTTCGTCCCGAAGCTCATATCGCAAACGGGACAAACGTAGTTCCTCTCCCCCATGTGAAAGGTCTTCTGGTGTCTCACCACGAGGAAGGGGAACGCAAACTTTTTACCGCACGCGCCGCAAGATGGCGCCGGGATCCCGTGCGCTTCCTCCATGTGTTGCGCGCGCATATGCGCCCCCACCTTTTCCGGGCAGTAGTGGCATCCGTGCAACTTGGGCCTCAGCTTCAAATGCACGTGCCTGTAATGCTGCTTGATGGAATCCAGGCGTTTGTATGTTCTCGAGCAGGTCTTGCAGGTGTAAGTGTGCGAGCCGTCGTCCTCGCGGCGTATTGAGCATATTTGCTCGTCGGCGTCCGATAACCTGCCTAGAACAAAAGAGCTTCGTCACTTCTGTATCTTGATGTCTGCATATGCTAGATAGTCTTTGCACGCATCATCTGTGTCTCATGAATAATAATTCCACCGTTATAGTTGTTTGTGGTGTCTAAACGTGCGGTGATATATAAACATAATTCAGGTAATATTTCGTTTGAAACGGTTTATTTATGTAAAATTTAACAAACGAGATTAAATAATAATACTTATAGTCTACGAAAAAATAATCTTGGCTTAATAATATTTACTAGATCGCTTTTAACAAGTACATGTGTGTTTTTACAAGTCTCTGTACAAACTAACAAACTAGTACATATGAGTAATCGGGAAATGTGGGTATTTCAAAAATACGTTTCATGTAAATGATTGAATACTGTCTGTAGTTTACGTTTACACATTTAAATAAAACACTTCAACGGTTTAAAACGCGATATATATTAGTTAAAATAATTTTCAAATAAGTTTAACTAATAAATATCACGTTTTAAACCTTTTAAACCGTTTAAGTTTTAATTCAAGGATCGAACTGAAATAATTTTAATTTTATGTTAACAATTAAATTTCAGAAATTCAGAATTTTTTCTTTATCATAAAGATACGTAAATAATATAACGGTTCCTACAATATTACTATACGACTGTTGACAAAGAAGGACCCCAGATTATTATAAGAATTCCGTGGCGATTGCTGTCTGTCATAAAAGTTTTCAGTCTGTATTTTATAAGCATGTAGTTTCTTGTTACATCATGCCATGCCATGCCTATCCAACCAACTGTCTATGCTTCACCATATGCCGCGACCACTGCTTCCGCCACTTAAACCTCTCATCACAAACGTCACACTTATGCAACTTCTCAGCCAAATGCTTCACTCTGTGCTGATAAAGATTAACTTTAGACCCGAACTTCATATCACAAATCGGGCAGACAATATTCTTTTCGCCCATATGAAACGTTTTCTGATGGCAGATAACTTGGTGAGGGTAGGAGAACTTTCTGCCGCACGCGTTGCACGTGGGCGCCGGGACGCCATGTTGTTCTTCCATGTGTTTCGCGCGCAAATGCGCCTTCACCTTTTGCTCGCAGAAATGACAGCCCGTCATCTTGCTACCGAGTTTCAAATGGACCGTTCTGTGGTGCTGGCTGAAGAAACGTTTCTGTTTGAACCCTTTTCCGCACGCATTGCATTGGTACAATTGTCCGTTATCTTCTACTATTGTATAATCTTCTGTGTTGTTTGCGACGCCTAAAACAAAAATGGCTGCATCATTTCCTTGTCCCTTTGTGGAGAAGCGCTGACGTAGGTTTAATAACTATCATTGTTTTGCATGTGTGTGTATTTTTTTTTAATTTTTATAAAAAAAATCCTTTCAGTATCTATCTAGAGTTCGCAGTTACGTTCACATTTTCAGGTAGTTTCAACGTTAAGGGTGGGGATTAAATTATTCAAATCATTAAAGTTATTATTTTTATTAAAAGGTTTATTTTTTTTTAATAAATACAAAAAAAAATTGTCACAATATTACTTATTTAACGAATAAAATATAACTACCGCCATGAAGTCGAAAGAAATATACTCAAATATTGTCTGGAGTTTATAATTATAAATAAAACATTTATAACGGTTTAAAAAGTCGAATTTATTTTAAGTAGGCCCCATGTGTCCTCCCGTGACCATGGTCGCTGCAAAGCATCGGAAAGATACTATTAAACTAAGAGTTCTACTTTGCCTTGAACTTGTAACAAAACACTAATTAAAAAGTAAGTATAATTCATAATAACAAAGTGGGAGATATTTAATTTTAGTAGATCTCGTTTTTATAAAATATATACATTAATAAACAACTAGGTGTGACCCGACATTTCACATACTTTATACCAGACGTGGTCACGGGGTCACAGATAAAACTTCGTATTGTAATTTACAATAATTAACCGATATATTTCGCATTTGAGCCGTTAATTTTTAAAAGTATCTGTACGGCTTTTAAAAGACAAATAATAACTTTAATTTTAACATATAATTAAAAACATATTTGCCACAGATTCGTAAATATATAAATTCAAATTCAAAATTCCAACAATACATTCAACGTTCCGTTAAGATAACGTGAAATAAGAATAAAAAGCTCAAATAGACATTTTTAAATCTTTATGTCTAATCTGAGTGTCTCAGATCCCCACTGGACCTAACATGTTTGTAATAAATTTAGCATTTTTAAAAAACACTTTGGACTCCATCTGTAAATCTAGATATTAAATTTGTGGTAGGAACATCGAAATTTTGTCTTAGCCACGGAGCACCTGCCACCGATGAAAAAGTTTAATCGCTGTCTATAGTTTACGCGAGTAGTACACATTTAAATAAAACACTTTAACGGTTTAAAACGCGATATATTAGTTAAACTTATTTGGAAATGATTTTTAACTAATCTCCGCGTTTTGACCACGGTCTGCTTACAAGTTGCATCGCGTTTCGAAACAGTCGGGATCCGAAGCTAAATAGGCAACAAAAATCCTATTCCATGTCATATGTCTGGGGCACCTGCCATCAAGTCAACCTCGTTAGTCTTTATATCCTTAAAATTGCTACTTGTCGTGTATGCCTAGAACACTACGCGTAGTCTTTTTAATTCATATATTATTCCGTCTTTCAAACAGTTTCACCGTACCGTAAATTAGTTTTTTTTTTGGTTATAATTCGCTAAATTTTGTTAACTTACAAAAAAAAAAAAAAAAAACCCAAAAAGAGCCTCAAGACGTCTTTAGGATCTCTGTCTTGTTAGGTGAGTAAAAAGACAGCGCTCTTCAAACGCGTTCCTCTCTTATCGGTATGATCGTACAAGTTTTTACACCAAATATTTTACATAATTATGACATATTTGAGAAGTATAAAGTGTACATGTTATTCTCAAAATCTACTTAGATTGATAAAGTCCTGCCCGCGTCTTAGAGTTTAATAAATATTAGTCTTCAAACGAAAGTTGCGTAAGAGAAGCTATCAGAAAACGACCTCCGGATGGTACTTCGTCATGTGATAGTTCAGACTGGCCTTCTGAACGAACGCCTGACCGCAAACGGTGCAAACTTTCCTCCTATCCCCCGTGTGGATCCTCTCGTGCAATTCGAGGGTTGACTTCCTTACGAATGCCTTCTTGCAGAACCTGCACTGCAGGTCCTTGATCGTTTTATGTTTGAATTTGTGTTTGTACAACGATTCCCGGTTGAACGTCTCGTAATCACACAATGGACACTTACTCTTCACCCCCAACATATGGTACCCGTTTATGTGTTTCCTCAACTGCCTCCGGGAGTTAAATTTGATCGGGCAAGCGGCGCATTCGAATCTCTCGTCTATATCGTGCTCTTCGTATTTGTGCTTGACGAAGGCAGACGCTGTGAGCAGTTCCTGCCCACAGTGGCACTTGTAAGTCTTCTCCCTGTAGTGCTTCGTCCGGAGGTGGTGCTTTAACGAAGGGATCTTTGTGTATTTTATCTCGCAATGCGCGCACGCATAGGTTCCGTCTATCTTGATTATGTCACTGGGCTTGACCGTGCTCGCGCCTAGAAGAAAAATATTCCATTAATCACGTTTCTCTTCTATCTTCTTTCTTCTTTGTGGTACGTTCCGGTTTTGGTGCGAGGTCCCTTGGAGAAGGATTCTTATTTGAATTGATCAGCATTAACTGATTTTTGTCCTTGGTATAGATATTCTCCGTGTCAACGTAAAAAGTGACGCCAAACGTAGTCAATTTATATTTGTAGGCATTAATTCTCGACATTTAGTTAAACACAGTACAGTCACATTATTAACAATAAAAAAAGGCACAGACGCAAGTTTGTAAAATTTGGGTCTTATAAAAAAAAATTGATTAAATACTGTCTATAGTTTACGCGAGTAGTACCCATTTAAATAAAACACTTGAACGGTTTAAAACGCGATATATTAGTTATACTTATTTGAAAATGATTTTTAACTTCGGCCCGACGTTTCGGATGCTTTGCAGCAGCCGTGGTGACCATTCATCATTTTCAAATAAGTTTAACTAATATATCGCGTTTTAAACCGTTAAAGTGTTATATTTAAAAAAAAACATTGATTATAAAAATATATTTTAAACGACGTTCCAGAAATTGTTTCTCTTAAACTAATCTAAACAAGTTCAAGACTAAGAGAAATATATGATGAAAGATAGGCATGTTCGTAAAAACGATAATCAGGAAAAAACAAAAGCGATATAAGATATCAGCAAACTGTCAAAAATCCATAAAAATAACTTTAAGCTAAACGAAATTTATAATGCATATCATTGTTTTTCGGGCTGTTCGGCCGACGTGAGCGGCCTTCGACGTTTCGCCTTCACGCGGGACATCGAAGGAACATCATCAGGAGACGTTAACTCTCGAACAGCCCGAAAAACAATGATATGCTGAACGATGGCCGTAAAAGCCTTACTCGAAATTGAATAATATATGAAAAAAGCTTTGATTGATGAACTATTGTTCATGTAGGCCCGGGGCACGCCGTATTTGAGGTTAGACCAAGGGTCCCAAGTGGGGCATTGCGCTACGAAATATGACCCTGCATATATAATTCCAGTTTTATTTCTTTGGACATTTCGATTTACTTCGTTTAATTTATGAGGAATTTTACTTTCTCACAATACTTGCTGAAGGTAGTTTTTGTTTTTAGACATTTACTAAAGAATGTATACATTCACTTATTATTATTTAATAAGTCATTATATTCAGAATCTGGTAAGTATACTAATTCAACACAACTCTAATATGAAGGTAGTTAGGGGTAGTCTAGTAAGGTAATTAAAAAATCGAAAATAAATTGAAAAAAAAATTCGACTCGGGCAGGACTTGAACCGGCATCGTCAGCGTTCCGTGCTGTTGCTTTTGCTCTAGTAACGTAGTCACTTTGTATGCGCGGACGCAGCTGTTCGAATAAATGTACAAAGATAGTCAGTACTGAGTGCATTTCATGCTGTAAAATGTTTGTATTATTTATATTCTATTATTATTATCTAGTACTAACTCTCTTCTGTTCTCTTTTAGATGAGTAATAATAAATTCTCGCTAGCCCCAAGGTGTAGAACCCTAGAAAACACAGTCAACATATAAAACAAAATCTAAACCTACCTTCTTTCTGCTTCTCAGTCTTAACGGCTTCTTCCGATGGCGGTATCTTCTTTGTCTTCGTCTTTTTCTTCGGTTTAGGTTTGGCTTTCTTCTTCACTTTGGCTGTACCGGTTGCTGTGAGCATATTCCTTAGTATTCCGTCGACTTTTGTGGACCTCCGCCTCAGTTTGTTGAGTTGGTTCTTCTGCTCTTGCGTTGTGTCTGTGAAGAATTTAACCCATCATCACTTTAATAGTTCTGCTAAATTACAAGGCTCTACAGGGCTCCAGACGATTATCTTATGCTGGTGTTTGTATCAAAAGTTATTAGATTTAAGTGAAACACTACTAGGTTTTCCAACACAATATACATTAGTTAAATATATTAAAAGTATTTTAACTACGGCCCAACGTTTCGGAGGTGGTCACGGGGAGGTATATCGCGTTTTAAACCGTTAAAGTGTTTTATTTAAATGTGCCTCTATTCAGATTGAAAAAACAATCAACATCCACAACGTTCCGTGCTGTTTAAGCATTTAAGATGAAATTAAAAGGGACATAATACAACTCAATGTAACGGAAATGCTCTGATAAATTTCTTTCCAAGTAAAGGGGTATACGTCTAGAATCAACTCCCCGAGGAAATTGTCACGGCTCCTTCACTTAATACATTCAAAAACCTTTTAGACTCATTCTCCAATAAGTTATAATTTTCAGGCATTAGCTTAGGCTGCTAGTGAAATAAATAAATTTAAAACACTTCGTTTTTAAAAAAATTGGTACCCTGAAAAATAGTTTCCTTGTGTATACATTTAAATAAAACACTTTAACGGTTTAAAACGCGATATATTAGTTAGACTTATTTGAAAATGATTTTTAACTTCGGCCCGACGTTTCGGATGCTTTGCAGCAGCCGTGGTCACGGGGAGACAGTTAAAAATCATTTTTAAATAAGTTTAACCAATATATCGCGTTTTAAACCGTTAAAGTGTTTTATTTAAATGTGTACTACTCGCGTAAACTATAGACAGTGTTTCCTCGCGTATAGTTGAAATAAATTTGTACAGATAGAATCGAAAAGATGATTTCGGCTGTTCTGTACTCGCTCGTTATAATTTTAAATTCACTGAAAAAAATCAATGCTACCGATGATTCACATCCATGGTAGTCATTAAGTCAGTACACAGTAATCGTCTTAGGTTTTCTGTATGCGATTTCTGTAGAGGACAGATAAACATAGAGTTCGCTTAATGGAGGCTAAAACACCCATATAACAACTAAACGAGATGCGCTATCGTCCTATTTTTAGCTTACATACCCTCTCCGTCGCTGTCCTCCATTTTCATGTCAAAAGCAGTTTCCGAATCATTGCCCGCCTCGTTATCACTTAGTAAGCTTGGATCTGGAATGAAGGACCAAAAAATTAAACCCCAAAAAAACAGCATTTTTATTACATCAAAAGAATCGGTATAAAGAGATTTCAACATTATAATTGGAATTTTTATTTAGTTACAAGCTGTGTCAGTGACTTCCGCGTAGAATAGGTATTTTGCAAACCTCCTCTTCGTTTGAAAACATTAATCTTTCACATGTTATTGCACATGAAGGCACTATATAATTTAAGAATCGAAAAAATTCTCGACTCGGGCAGGACTTGAACCGGCATCGTCAGCTTTCCGTGCTGTTGCTCTACCAATTGAGCTACCGAGTCCTACACCGCATCGTCGAATTTTTTCAACTTATTGATACATGCACCTCTCGCGCGGTGTAATTTCAACCCTAACACTTGCGTACTAAGGTTCAATGTCTTATGCTTTGCAGCTTAAGAAATCATTTAAGATGAAATTACAAAGTTATAACGTTTGAAAACATTAATATTCTTCACATGTTATTGCACATGAAGGCACTATTTTTTTTTTCAGTTTATTATCGATTTTTAAATTATATAGAACCTCCACTTCGTCTGTTACCCGCGACGTCGGTCGCGTCCGGTCTTTCTTGCAAGTTAATCTTAAAAGATGGACATATGGTGTTGTAAACATTTTTTTGATAAACCATTGTATCATATTAGCAGCGTACGCATTAGAAACTCACAAAGATGAATTCGTTTTCTCCACATTTCCCGCTCTTTCTTCGCTTCCAATTAGTCACAGAACAATGTTTTATCCTATAAATGATCTTAACAATGCAAAAATAATTTTCCAATTCAAACCAACAGTTTCTAAGATTAGCGCGTTCAAACAAACAAACAAACTTTTCAGCTTTATATATTAGTATAGATTGATTTGTCTCAATAAAATTAAAGTGGAAATGGTATAAACTTTTCTAACCGACCTTCTTCTATGCTCTCTATTGGCTCACATTTTATTGATGTTGGAGCTGCCGCTGTAAAAAAATAGATTGATGTTACATAGTTTTATTGTACCATCGGTATATTATTCATTAATATTAAATACAAGGAATCCAGGTGTTAACTTTCATGAACCAAGACCATAATGCAACAGAAGTATTTAAATAAAACACTTAAACGATTTGAAACGTAATATATATTAGTTTTGAAAATTAATACTAATATATATCGCGTTTTAAACTGTTAAGTTTTCTATTTAAATGTGTACTACTCGCGTAAACTTCAGACAGTATACAACAAAAAAATGGTATATAAATCTTAGTCAAGTCATTGACAAGTGAAAGAAATATATATATTGATACCAAATAACTGCCTCTTGTTTTATTTTAATTTCTAATATTTTATTTAAATTATTCTACTTGGAGCATCAGGCAGACACATTTCTGTGGCTTTTAAATGACATTATATAAACTAATTTTCATTGATAAATAATTCATCATTTCCCTGGGATTTGTGACAAATAACACAAGAGAGGCAGAGTAGCCTAACTGCAAATTTATGACTCGAGTTCTACATATTTTCATAGTCCAAAAATGTTAACAATAGCACAGTGACCGAAAATTGTTAACATAATTCCTACACAAATTCATTTTCCAAGTTAATAGAGAATTTTCATTTCCCTCCTAATATTGAAAATCATGTTTTTTCTTAGTAAGCCACTCTGCCCCTAGCTCAATTGTAGGCACAACTTACCTTCAATCAAGTTATTCTGTAACATATCGTAGAATTTCTCTTCGCACCTTAACACTTGTATCTTAAACATATTTGCATTTTGCACTTTCGTCGCACAATCTTCACATATAGTATATGTCGCATTACAAAGGTCGCCTGGCACAGGGCTTATCTGAAAGTTTTAATTAATTATAAACATAAATTTTATTGAATTATTAGACAACTTTTTTAACAACAATAAAAGAATGTCAACGTAAACTGTAAAATGTAGATATGATGTATGGTATATGTAAATACATTTGAAGTTATTTGAAAGAATGCTTCAATTAGTAAAAAAACTATAGATAAAGAAGACAAGCAATTCACGGCAGGTTATTTTCTACCCATATCATGAAATTTTTTCAGGCTCAATAATGTATATAAAAAATATATATAAACAAAGATAGGTTTACTAATTTAATATTCTATAGGCACTGAGTGATAAGACTTTTGTAACTGAACAAAACAATCTATAATTGAACATAAGACCTCTTAAGTTTAACGCAACACTACGCAACAAGATGCACCACTTAGCTACAGAGCCTAGTTGTTGCCCTCAACTATAAAAGTTAAATGCAACCCAACAATGTAAATTAACATTTTTCTATTTGACATAGGAGAAATAAATTGTTTAAATAAGGCAAATTTATATTTGTTTTTCTTTTGTGCAATGCTTGACGTTCCATTAAATACTGGAATATAATAAAAGTTTAATATCAGTATAAATATTTCCTAATGCTTTATGGATATTATGGCAATTTCTATTGGGGACACCGGTATCGGGCCGGGTGATCAGTCCTCACTATCACCAGCTTATGCTATATTGACTATACCATAGGCATTTCTTTTTGTTTGAGCTACTTTCAAAAGAATTTATATGGAATACCTTTTAACTTTATTAGAATAATGGAGACATCTTACTAGAGTAACATACCATAGTTATACTCAACAAACTTCATTTATCATTAATATTTGAGATTAGACTTACATCAATATCAAAGCAACGGCTTAACATATCGCAATATATATCTTGTTGATCCATCACAGCCTTTGATAAATTTGTAAACTTCCCCTCGGCGTGACAGCATCTACACAAATCCTTTTCCAATTTCCAGATTCGTGGTTCTGACATTCTATATTTATTTACATCTAACGAATTACTATAACGCGATGTTTAATTATATATGAGTAAATAGTATATAACTTATAACAATTAACTCTGATTACTAGAATTCTATAAATGCATTCTTTAAAATATTGTAGCCAAATGCAAAATGCATTCCCGACTCCCAAATGTAAATAATGAAATAACTACCACAGATTTAAAAGCGAATGAATAAAAATGTCACAGATTAAAAAATAAAGAAGAAACTAATATTACTCGGACAAACAGATTATAATGAGAGATTCTAATCTTGAAAGTATTAAAAGTAATTTCTGGGTATATTTTAGTAATTATTTCCTATATATGATTGAAAAAAATAATTCAAAAGATTCTAATTTAACCACCCATTTGTATAGATTAGGTAATATATTTTAAGAATAAAAAAGAAATCTTAGAACCGAAAAAATTCTCATCGTTTTCGTAGTCTATACGTGCCACCAGCAAGAGGTTGTTGGTTGGTTGGTTGTGAAGACAAGTGATATTATAAAAGCTTTTAAAACCTACCGCCGCCAGTTGTGTAATTTCGTTAAAAACAAAAAGAGTAATAGTGCGTTGTACAAATACATTGAAAACATTATAAGAAGAAAAATATGAAGTGCAAATATGACTTGGCTTAAAAGTCTCGTTACCAAACTAAATAAAATATTTTAAAAAAAGAAAGAGGTCTACAAGTCTATGGACTCTATGGTATTCATCAGTCATCACATTCTCATTTCTCAGAAGCACTGGACACTGGCACATATTTATTATTTAACTGTTTTGAGAGCTGGTGGTAAACGTTTTGTAAAATAAGAAATTTTAACAATTATGAGTTATAATACACAATAATTTTTTTAGATTTTATTGTTGTAAAACCAATATTTAGTGAAATTAGTTTGTTGATATTGTGATAAATTGCAAACAAAAACACCACATGAGTGTTACAGTAATGGCGTACTGTGTTACGAACGAGTTGAAGAAGAACGAAGTTACAAAGATGTAACCTAACACTAGAGTCGTTGTTGGCTTACTAATGTTTCGTTTGGGTTACTGCTAATTATTGTCTTGATTGTTGAATTGTCGTGAGTCCTTCGTTTTTTACCAATTGTTTTAGTTTGCGAGTGTTGTTTGAAGCTCTTTTAAAAATAATCAGTTGCTGAACTTCGTTTTAAAAGTCTTGTTGTCGTTTTATAAAGACATATACACTCTTTGAAGTAAGTCTCTTTGTAACAATCTACTTATCCTACGTTGTTATACCAGACACATTATTGTAAAAATGTGGGTTATGTGTAACTCTAGCTTTTTTCTCCACATGTTTGCTGTGACACATGGAAACATAATATTTTCGTCTCTTCTATGTGCAGTCAGCTAGGGATGTTCCAATAACACCAAAGTATTAGTACAAATTTTGATAATACTTCGATATTTTTTTGAAACTATTTAAGTAGTGCTCCTAAAGATTGAATACTTACTGATATTGATATGTTTTAGGACTTATTTTGTTTTATTATTTTGAACATGCTAACAAAGAATGTTGAAGCACAATAAGTTAAACAAAATTGAGAAGAAATTTTTTTTATTATAAGTGTTTATTGGCCTAATATATTTGAACAAAACTCTTCAGCATTAAGACTGGCCAAAAACAGTAAATGTTTGACGTATTTTGAAGACAATTTGTTCCTTGTTTGAGTTATTGTTGCACTGGCTTTGGAAAAAAGGGACTTGCTAGGAACTGATGTTGCAACTAAAATTAAATATTGCATAGTTGTACTGTCAAGGAAAGACCAACTTCATGTACAATTCTGCAAATGGGTCGCTTTTAAGAGAAACTACTGGATTTGATGTTACATGTTGGCCAGTCTACTCTTGTCTTTCTTACTAATCAATTCTGTGACTTGGAACTCCCATACCGACCAATTTTTCTGCTCAACAATATTACTCTCTTAGTTCTTCCATTAAATTCTAGTAACTTGTATGTTCTATAAATTGGGCCCTTTTGTGAAGAAGTTGTGCTTAAACTAACAGCTGAAATATAGCTACTATAAGCTCATTTGTGTAAGAATTATGCTAATAATTTGTGATTAACATTTTTGGACTTTAAAAATATAAATAAGTCCAAGTCATAAAACTGTAGTTAGACCACTCTGTCTCTAGTGGCCTTATATCTCCTTTAAGTAAATTAAAAGATAGTACAGTTAAAATTTCCTATAACTGTACTTAAAACTAACACTAATGAGTGAGAAAATGTCAAAGCTTTGCTTTCTTTCTTGCATATTTATCTTCATTATTGGTTATTGGCAGTTATAACATAGAAAATGTTTGTGCATTTTTATGAAGTATAGGCATGTTTATGAAGAGTTAGGTAGCCTTATTACAATAGCCTTACCAAATGATAGCTGACTGATATCTGCCCACACATTCATGATGATACAAACTGAGGCACTTGGCTCTTGCGGTTTCAGAGCCCCAAAAATTGGTTGTGTCTATGATTGATGCTACGAACTCCAGTGTATTTTACTTTGTCAATCCATAATATCTTTTATCAGTGGTGAATGAGAGAGCAGAGGTATGGAAAATGTTTTTGAAATTAGTCATACAAACAGTATCTTTGACAGAGAAGGGAAATGTCCTGAACCATTCATAAAAATACATTATAATACAACAGTAAGGACTATTGGACCTGTCTAACAATTCGATTCGATCGAAAAAACTACCCATCTTGTAGTAATCTCAATTCAGGTTGCCTTCAAAACAGTTTGACTTCAATGGTATTAAAAGCTGCTATCCGATTAAGTGACGTAGCTTCTCAGACGTATAGAAAGGATGTCTAGACATAAAATAATAGTACCAGTCTTTGCCTGCTAATTGGGATTCTTTCTTTATTGAAATTATGTTTCAACTTGTTAGCTTCAGCAAACGTTTTGCCATAAAAAGACTCACAGCAATCGAGTATGTACCGTTCTAACTGGTCTTCTTGATTTTTTATTAAAGACAGGGTACCGACCTTTTTGTTGTTTTTTAAAAACTTCTTTATGAACTTGCTTTCTTTCTTTATGAAATAGCATTGACTAGTTAGTAGGTAGTAGTAACGTATAGTGGTAGTGTTTATAGAATAAATGTATTTATAACTTTAAAGAAACAAGTAAAACCACACAAAAACTCTATTAAAAACTACATAACTCAACTTGCGCGCCTTGCATCGAGATGCAAGTTCTTTTTGTTCCTTGGTGAATACGAGACCGAAAAGTTGGGTTCTCACGACATTGTAACTTTCCGGATACGTCTTCTTCATGAGTTAAGGACTATCGCCGGGGCGGTCGAAAACACTTTCTTTAATGCAGTGTCTCGGAAACTTTTTTAGTCTGCGGCACGCTAACTGAGGATTTTTTTTCCGCGGCACACTAAGCTAAATAAATTTTCGGAAGGAAACGAATATTTAAAAATAATTTAAAATATTTGTTTTACAAATAGGTATATTAATTAATATTGGTACAATAGAAAGAAAAATATTTTTATTTTAAGCTTAATGTGATGGATGGGTTTGTTTCTGGAAACAAATTTGCATTATTCATGGTTCGAAATTGGACAAACACACTCGCATCTCTCCATCAATCATCTGAAGTCGCTCACGTTTTTTAGATTGAATTTCAGTCAATGAAGAAAATGCAATTTCGCAGAGATAAGAGGAGCCAAATTGTAACAAACTTCGAAGAGCTTTCATGCTCAATTCTGGATATTGATTTTGAAGAGAGATCTAAAACGTTGACAACTCGAGTTCTGCGAAAGAAGCTTTGTGCACCAAATCATTCTTCAGGTCGATAAAATCCTCTTTTCTTTTATTGAGAATGAGCGTCCGTGCAACCTACAAAGGGGTTGACCAGTCGTCTTGTTTCGAATTCACAGATGGAAAATATTTGACGAATGAAGAGGACAGATTTTCAAATGTAGTTTGAATTTTTTCATGTTTAATTGTTGATGTATTGACAGTTGGAAGAAAGTCAAATTGCAAATTTTTTTTATTTTTGCAACCAGAGTTGCAGTTTTTCTTCAAAAGCCTTGGGTTTTCCGGTAATGCTAATGATGTTTTCCTTGGCTCCTTGGATGCTCATATTCAGTTTATTAAATTTTTCAAAAATGTCATTCAGGAACGAAACTTCAAGACATCAAATATCGTCATGCAGAAAATTGACTTTATCAGTATTGTCTATCTCGAAAAACGAAACAATTTCTGCTCGCAAAAGTATCACTCGTTCGAGAACTTTTCCTTTCGAGAGCCACCTCACGTCAGTATGATACAACAAACCTTTATGATCGGAATCCATTGCTTCACATAATGATGCAAAAATTCTTGTTCGGAGTGCGTTTGACTTAATATAGTTGACGATTTTCCGGAAGGGCCTTTGTTACCAATACCTCTCGATGAATCATACAATGCACAACTTTCACATTCGGATTAATTTTCAACACATAAGCGACGAATCCTTTTTTGCGGCCTTGCATTGAAGGTGCGCCATCGGTACAGACACTGATACAGTTTTCCCATTTAATTCCTCTTGATTCAATATTTTTATTTACCAGTTTGGAAACGTCCTGTCCTGTGTTACTTCAGCTCCGAACAAAAGAAAAACTGATTTTGAATCGATCCGTCTTTAATAATACGGAGAAATGCTAATAGTTGAACTTTATTACTAATATCGGTAGATTCGTCGACTTAAATAATTAATAATAATTTCCATAAATTCGGCATTTTGTCTTGATTACACGGGTCAACATGAAATTTGACTTTGATTGCAAAGCATTACATTTCGGTAGTTTAGGTCGTAATAAGGCGGAAATAAAATATATGGCATGATAAACTTTGCTTTTGTGCTTAGAAGACTGATTGAACGAAATTTTTAAAAATCTCGGATTTTCATCATCATATTTAACGTCCACAGTTGGCCTTACGGCACAGGGTGTTTTTTTAATCTTTTTTGGTGCTGGTGGTACAGAATCATAGTTTTTGAATGGCTGCTGTCTCCCAGAATGTAAGAGCCCTTGTATAATATGATGTCGAAACTTCTTTAAACTCAGCCGTTTTATGTTATTCACGCCAATATGTCTGCGATACAAAATCCAGCTATTGTTCACGCACATATTATCTAACATTTGTGAAAATATCGGTGGCTTTTCATCTCCGTTCTGTACAAAGCCACTAACATATCTGCAAGGTCGACTTCTCCCATATGTGCGTTGTAATCCTTTTATATATTGGGACAGGGGACAGCAGCTCTCTGTTTTAAATCCTTATTGTAACGTTGTATAACCGCAACAGTAGTTTCAGAAACATAACTGCTTGCCACAGTAACCACTACTCGTGAATGAGAACCGCGGCCTTTTTTTGAGGGCTTTATCAGGTATAAGCTTTTGTTCTGCACCACGTAGTCTATTTGACCTGATTTGATTTTGGTGTCTAAGGAGAGTATACCCATATTATATCGAAGCTCTAGACTGGTGAAAAAATTGTCAAAGTACACAACAAAACATGCTGGATCAGGAATAGTTTTACATAGTGAGAAGACGACTTTTGCCCCACAGCCCAAACTCATTTCTTCTGGTAAAAATAGGTGGTCGAAGACACTTTCAGATACCACCTATTTTACGAACCACTCCATATACGAGAAAATCATATATGCCCGAAACGCCAGCTCTAACAAATATTTTGTACCCCCATTTGCGAGGCTTGCTTTTTATGTATTGTTTTCGATTACTGGCTTTTTTGCCCTTATATGGCACCATCATTTCATCAATGCTAAACCTGGTTTCATGAGGAACTCTCAAAAAGTTGGCACGTATTTTTTCGTTGAAGTGGATATACCGTCGTATCTGTTAAAATTTTTTGAGTGTCATTACATCAGCAATTTGTGAAAATCTGAATTCCTGACACCAATGTGAGTATTTTGCTAGCTCTTGAAAGCATATGGACCTACAATAATTATATAAAATAAGCCATGCATAGCCATATGAACAGTTATTCAGCTTGGCAGTGCGCACATACAGGTACATGACGATTTTGTAAAAGTTGTTAGTAAAGCTAGCAGTGTATACAATGAGATACATATCAAATATATATAGAATTGTTCCTTTCTTGGCAATGTGCACGAGGAGATACATACATTAAAAAAGTCACTTGAAACATCAACCAGACAATTAAATAATGTCCAAAGTAATTATTTTAGTGCTAAATATATCTACAACTAATAACTTAACACATCCACTCATCCAATACATAACAACAAGAAAAAATCATAACTATTCTTACCTTTTTGCGAGGCAACATGTCGGAACTTGAACTAAAGTGAAGATTGATAGCTCATCAGTCTTGTCAACACAAAAAAACTTAAGTTACATTCCGAAACTAAGAAATGGCCTAAATATTCTTAAAAAAATATCATAGTTGCGCTTAAAAATAATAACACTAGATTTTTTTTTATTCTGGTGTATCTCTACAGATACACTAACAAGAAAAGGGTTAAATTCTCCCACTCGTCAATTTATTTTGCGTCGTCAATGTCCTTTTAAAAAGAGGACAGTGTCTTCAATAAGAGTCCACTTGTTGTTATTAATTTTTGGGAGATACATCCAATCAAATTTCTCAAATTCTTTTAAAGGTTTCATCCATTCTTCAATATATCTTTTAATTTCATTGCGGAAGTCATGTGTGCATTTTATAAACTCTCGTTTCCTGTTTTCGTCTTCTTTATTTCCTGAGAGTTCAGCGGCACAAAATTTTCCTTAATTCGCTCATCTTAACTTTTTATTATGGAAGCAAGTATGCTTTTTGGTTCAAGAATTCAATTATCGCCTTTCTCTAATGTCTGTATTTTTGTGTGAATGGTATGCGTAATTGAGTGTATAAGGAACAGATAGGCTTCCGAGAGAGGATTTTCGAAAAACTGTTTAATTAAAACAGGTGGTCTTTCTATGCTTTCAAAATAATTAAGTAAAGGACGGTAGAGCTTCAGAATTCGCTCGATAGCTGGAAACAGGCTTGGCCAACGCGTTTTGGAATGATACAGAAGCTGTTTATATTCGAGCTCAGCCGTTTCGCAGAATTCTTTAAAAGCTTCGGTTCGTACCGTGTAAATGGAAAAAAAATTATAAATTTTCAAGATGATGGAATCTATGTCTACCGCCAGTAAATCACATCCGTGGTGCACTGCGTTGTTAATGACATGTCCAGTGCAGCCCACACCAACCAAGTTTGGGTTTAGATTTTCCCTCAGCTTGTGGAAAACATTATTTGTTCCATATGTTTCTATCCCACCGAAGTTTGTATTGCAATTATCTCCACTAAAAGCAATACATTTAGACAAGAGATCATGCCGGTGAAGCTGTCTTATTATTAGTTCAGTAATAGAGTCAGATGTCTCGTTTTTAGTGTTTTCAATTACAAGCACCTTAGTAGTGATTCCATTTTTTTTTACATCAAAATATTGTATAACCAGCGGGAATAATTTTGTGCTTCCGTGATTACTAGCATCAGTAGCCACACTTATGAATGGTACATCTTGTAAATCAGTCTTAAGTTGTTCAACCGACAAAGGGCTTAGCACTCCGGTGGCGATCGCAGTTGCTCTTGTTCGATTGCACGTAACTTTTTTTGCAGTATCCGACGCCGAAAATATTTCGCGGTTGAGAGCACAAGTGCAGTCCAATGAATTAATAGACATATGGTGGCTTACTGTATGATAGACGAGATCGCCGAGACGTTTTCCCCGGATTGTTGTGCATCCATGCTGTCTGTGCAATATTTGTGTAATTTTTAAAAGGGCCGTACACTTCTACGCCTAAAGGTTGCAAATTGTGGGAGCAGTGCGGGGGAAACGATAACATGATGACATTATTTTCTTTGGCTTTTTCAACAACTCCAATATTCACGTGTGAGTAATGGTTATCAAGTAGCAACAGAACAAGTCATCCATCCGGAGGAATTACCAGCTCCAATGCAATCTGGAGGTCCACCACGAATAAACATTTCAGAATATTTAAGCCTGGGAAAAACGATCATCGGTGGGATGAAATTACCCGCAGCGTTAGTGGCACAAGCGAGTGTTACAAGAGTTCCCCTCTCAGCCGATGTGATAGCTCCACTTGCTTTTGGCCACGAGCAGCTACTATTTTCTTAGGTTTTTGAACCGTTGGGTCCCCTGTTTCATTAATGTTCGGTGTAAAGACATTTATTTACCATTAAGATTACAAGAATCACTTATATGAGAAACTTATAAATAAAGTATAAACATTATTACTACTCATCACGCGGTCAATGTTCCATATTTGAAATGCATTAAAATGATATTTTTGTTGTAGTCGTGGATATATTTCAAAGAATGAATTAACGTTAGTCTTATTGAAAGACGTCGCTTCGAGTCGTTCTTTTTCCTTAGAGATAAATGTGAATTACTGCGCATAAAATTTTGGAACCAGCGATTTCACAGTCGCGGTTCTTTCTTGCAATGCACTATTCATGTTGCAAATTGTAAAACTTAAATAAAAAACTAATTTCGTTAGTTTAATCTCAGTAACCTCGAAACTCAGTTTTGTTGTTCAAAAAAAAAGTTCATTTTGAGGTTAGGTTGAGAAAAATATCATGTTCTCCCCAGCCAAAGTTATTCGATTGCAAATGTTGATTCATACACTGTTTATTCTACTGCAATGTCAGTTTCGGGGTTGTAAAATATTATTTTTGGGGGGAAGCTATTGGAGAAAAGTTCAAACATTATTTTGAGATTAAGACTAGCCTCTAAATAATACGATAAAGCTCTCTGTTGCTGTAATGCGATAGCGCAACATTCGCTTTATTCGGTAAGCTATTTCCTCGATTACGATGTTTACCACGCTGATCTTCTGGTTTGCCTTCGGTAATAAGACGAGTCAATCGGAATATAGCGTATAAAATGGAGAATGCTACACGACAAACCTACTTTTAACTTTTCAGTATTTTTCATGACATAACAATGAAAGCTACCCTCACGGTTTTTTAAAGGCGAGGTAACCAAACCCCACGAGTGCTGTAGTGCAACTGATTTATTTCCTATTAATATCGATATAAGATAATTTACAATAAAGTGGGAAAGTAGGATGCTTACTAAGCAAGCTAACCTTGTAATATTTGCTCCCAATATTTATTTATTTATTTAGAAAGGTTTACCAACGTTATGTTACAATCTTACATGCTAAATAGATCATTAATTCTAAAAAGAAAACAAGATAACTGCACCTAAACAATTAAAGGTAAACACCGCTTTTTGTTACACAGAAGGACAATAATATTTTATATATAACTAAACATCCAAGTTTTATACATTTCAAATTTAAAATTAATTTAAATTTATGATATACTAATGATTAGCTACTACAATAACAATAAAAACTAAGCTATAACTTTTCGTAAGTTTTTGGGTGAAATACAGAAAATATCAATTTTATCACAATAGTTATTAAGGAGTTTACTAAGCCTAAAAATAGGGGAATTCTAATCAAAAACAGTTCTACGGAAGGAGGTTGAAAGGGGATTTATGGGCTTTCTTGGGTATCTAAGGGGAACACGAAATTTAATTTTGTTGATTAATTGATTTTTTATGTGTTGATTAATATAAACATTTAAATGTGCATAACGTTGACATACATTACAATATATGCTAGCATTATTACAAAATAATATTACAACAAATATACAGTAAATTTGTACGGGCGTTTGTCCGTACATCCTGCCGCCTCAGAAAAGGGAAAAGGAGCGAGCTATTATCGAAAATAGGAAATAAACTCAAAGTGACTAGAATTGTTAATGACTGAAATGTCGTTAAAAGTACTATAGAGTTAAAAACTTGAAATAGATGTTAACATCTATTTCAATTTGATATATTGTATAGTCAGAGTTAGTTATCTTCATAGAGTCTATATTACTAGTGTATGGTTCGGTTATAAAAACAAACTCAGGCGCGCTACCTGAAATAAAAGTTAAAAGCTCATGTGGAGCGTTTCTACTTCGTCCAAGATTGATCTGTATAGAGTTGCAATTTGAATTAGGAATAAAATTATGTGTAGAATTAGTGCAATAATTATTATAAAGAATCAACCTTAGACTTAGTACGGTCGACCATATATTGCTTCCTTGGACACATATCTGAGGCAGCTCCGTGATTAAGTGGCCCCTTGCTCTCACTGTTCTTATCATTATAGTAAGTTTTACAATTATAACATGTTAACTTGTTTGAATCTTTTTTAACTGGACAATCTTTAAATTCGTGGTTGGATTGAAGACAATTAAAACACTGTAAAAGCGGGGTAAATAATGATGTTGCATTTTTTGACATTTGTTGAGTGACTTGTTATTATGAATGCTTTGCAGAAACAAATCGTAAAATGTTGGCCAATTTATATATCTACCGATGAAGACAGGAATTTCGATGTGATGCACAGATTGCTGTTCGTGTATACCGGATGCTAGGCGATGATGTAGAGCCCTGTTCGTATCTTTGTATAATTTCTCATAGTGCCCACATTCTTGCTCATATAATATGTCCGACCCTTGAAGTTTGTGGTCAATTTTCAAATGTAGAGAGTCGATCGTATTCCAAAGCGCCTGCTCGTTGCATCTCATGCTCTAGTTCCCATTTTTGTGGATGTTATCGATGTTTAAATGGCTAATCAATCTTGTAAAGGCTCGGATGTTGGAGCGCTGCTGTGGTAAATAATTAGCTGTCTCGTAGGCGTAGAGCCTCAGTTTCAAAATGGAGGTCGATGGAGAAGTGTGTTTACTGTGGTTGCTCCTTAAAAAACAAAAGAAAAAGGCGGTATTGGGTGCATCCAATATTACGTGACCGACTAGTACATGGTCAGTTCGTAACGTTATATCCCAAATTAAGAATGTATGATAACACATTTTTTGACTATTTGGGAATGTCATTAAAATCTTTTGATGAACTAATTGAACTGATCAGGCAATATTTCATGCTCTAGGACGAGGAGGTCTCGGTGCTTGCGGCGGTTTAACAGAAAAGTTAACCGAAATTTTCTGAGTCTCTGCTCATAGTTAATGATGGCGCGTCTAAGGCCAGATTTGAAGCACTGACTTTAATGCCTTGCGTTGGACACGCTCAATATGATTATCGTGTATTTGATTACTAATTAATAATTCATCAATCACTCACTGTTTTTGATAGTCCAGGCGGTTTATACAAATTTGAAGGATATTTTCCCCGAATTCCTCATTGAAGTTCACTAAATTATCAGATATTGTCTCCTTAGAGCCTAAATCTATTTTATTTGTTGCCTTAGAAACTATATTACTTCTTTGTACAGGTATTTTTTGATTAAATTCTAGGTTTTCATTTTGGACTAAGTAAAATTCTTTTATAAAATTTAGTCCAATTAAAAAGTCGTAATCAAAATTTTCCTTGTCTACCTTGTTCATCTATTGTTTTTCTAACTTCTAGTAATAAATTTAATAGAGTGCATACTCTATTAAATTTATTACTAGAAGAACTATTTTGACTACTATCTAGTGGCCCCACAGCTATCCGTATTTATACCTAAGTTTTTTAATGAACCGATGTTCTCAGCAGCTGTATCTATATTTTCCTTTATTCCATGTTCTAATTTTAAACTAAAAAGTTTCTTGAAAATGCAATTTTTAATATTTATTATATATCTTATGTTCAATGCTTCCCAAGCAAAAGGGCATAGTTGTTTTGTGTAATATTTATTGTTTTTAATAAATTTAATGCTTCTCCAGATAAATAACTTTTTGCATAATTAAACTTTTGTACCCTCTGATTTCTTATGATTGTGAATTAACGAGACGTACACGTCATGAAATTCGGTATCATTTTCACTAAAAATTGGATAACTAATGTTTGGCTACTAGGCTTTCTCCATGATATAGCTTGTCAATGCTCGTAACAGGTAGTAAATTAGCTTAAGCAGCTTACAGTATACATAATGCCTGGTCTAATACTAATAGCCAGATATATGAACTGTTATTATAAAGTAAAAAAAATATATTATGGCTTTTATTAAAGAACTGTATTCACATCTTTTTGCTTAATTATAATGTGAAAAGAATGGTAACTATGGGAACGTATCATATAACATAATGTCTTCTTAAGAACATTGAGTGGTATACAAAGGATTATTTATAACACTGTCTTGGAGGGAAATTAATCTAGACATTTTGCAGAAGGCTGCATGAGACAACCCCTTGGTCATAATATTAGCCTCCAAGTTCATATGTGGGCTTGTACTTTAATCCTCCCTTTGGACACATTCTCTTATGAAATACTCCTTTATACTTTGTGCTTGGACCTTTTGCCCGTTATATAGTTATTAGCTAATTTATTTGCCACCATGTTATCATTGTACAGAGTTACAGTGTTTCGCTGTACTCCAATTTCGTTGAGCAAAGTTTTCAAATGTTAAGCTTCTTTAGCTGCCTCTGTGAGCGCCATATATTCAGCTTCTGTTGTTGATAAAGCCACTTCTTAAAATATGAGGTAGTCACTTTAGGTAGTGACTACCTCATATTACTTTTTTATTGTTCAAAGCTATCCAACTCTTTGTTATTATTTCAATAAAATTTTAATAATATATCAAATGTAAGTTTGGGACTTTATACATGACTTACCAATTGGACATTCAAAGAATGATAATGTTTGCGACAAAAGTAGCGTTCTTCATTTAGTGCAGGCCGTGCACTAAATGAAGAACGCAACATGGGTACAGTCTATACACCCTAAGATACCCGGAATGTTAAATTTGTTATAGAATCTAAAAAAATGTATGTATGTGTAATCGTGTGCTTGACCCACGCTCGTAATAATTCCCGTCGTGTGCCCGGCCACTACGAATCGCCGCGCAAAATTGTCTTGTGTTCTTATGCATGTGTGTGTAAGCATTTCAAGTTTCGCGCCACATAGCGGTTACTTATATAGGATGTTACACTTTGCTGTTGATTTTTGAAAATTGAATAAGCTTACTCTTGGATATGAAAATTAAAAACAAATTTAAATTTATATCTTTTTACTATTTACAATATTAATATACTATACAATATACCTACTTTGATTTATTTAAACATAAACATAAAAAAAAATTAAACTTAATACAAAGAAACACAAACTATACGAGACCATTAAATCTATTATAATAATAACAATTCATTATCAATTTATTGACAATCTATTTTAAAAATTATTATATGTCTTATATATTACACTAAATTTTTAATAAATGATAATATATCAAAATGGTTTTACAAATTTGGTATTTCCTCCTCCTCATCGACAAAATCTTCCGACCCTCCGAGGACCGCGTGTATCTCTTCCACCGACATAAATTCGTCCTCACTTTCGCTTCCCGAATCAAGCCTTAGTTCCTCAGCTAGGGGCCCGAGCATCTAAAATAGTAAGAAGCCCTTAATAAAACATGATTTTAATAATATGACAAATATAAAAAATGTATAAAAAAAATATACCTACCTCAAAATCAAACGCATCAACTTTCTCAAGTGGCATTCCGTTGCTTCCAGATTGCTCCATTATTCTGACCTACGGTTTTATACAATAGCTTAGTTTTCAGGACATGTCGATAAGTATAATTTCTCGAGATCGCGCCTAATGCTTCGTTCGCGGTCGTCAGTTTGTCGGGTATGTTATCTAAATGAGGGGTGCTGATAGGCTTGAGAGCCGCTTGCAGCTTCCCCCAGTCGACAATAGTCTTCGTTACCGGGTCGGAATCGACTGGAGGACCCAGCTTGAAGAGCACGGGTCGGTGATCCGAGTCGAGTTCGTGTATCGTTTCAACGAGCCGTAGCTGTAGCGTTACGTCTCGTAGTACCGCTACGTCGAGGACATCCGGAGCGCCGGGCGGCGGGCCATAGTGTGTGGGAGCGATGTCTAGTATGATACCGTTGCGGTTGTTCCGAGAGCTATTCCAGTCCAAGTGTTTGCTGTTGAGGTCCCCGGCCAGAATGACCGAGTTCCCTAAGGCAAACAGGGATCTGAGATCGCTCTCGAGCACGGTTTTATTTGGCGAGAGGTATACCGACGCAATAATTAACGACTGGTGTCCTGTCATCGCGATACGACGGATGGAGGCCTCCATGTTCGTGAGCGGAAGAGGGTCGATAGGCATGCAGTGCAGTGACCTTTTATAATAAATTAACGTACCGCCAAAGCGTTGGCTTGTGCGGTCGTTTCTAATGATATTAAAATTAGCGGCTTAAGAAAAGATTCCTGCACCGCAAGTATATCGACCTGGTGCCTAACGACGAAGTCTCTAACAAGGTCGGTCTGTTTGTTTAGTCCGTTAGCGTTAAAGCTAACTAATGTCAACGAACGCGGTTTATTTCTACACGTACTAGCCATAACGAATTGATTGAATTAAAAGTTACGTGACGTACCACTGCTCGGAGGGCAGTGGTAATTTTTTAGGGCCGACACGAAGGAGTTGAACCTTACTACAAGGCCCATGAGTGTAAAAGATTAGTTAAAACTTTAATATTATAAATGTAATTAGTCGGCTATATATATCAAATATAATTTGTATATAAAACGCTTTTAATTAAAAATTGTAAACTAATACATAAATAAGAAGACAACCATATGGTTGAAACAATATTGCTTTAATTTATATACAGTGAGCGTTAAACAAATATGCACTTACTTTTACTATCGCAAAAATAATAATAGACACATAAACTAAAGACAAGCTAGGGCTCACTTAACTTAAGTCCGTTTGGTATGGCATCTCGCTTCTGTGTAGGGTTTTCCTCAATTTAGGCGCCATTATATGGGGCCAGTGACGTCATATCGGATGATGCAATTCCATATTGATGTTGCGTCATTTCACTTCTGTGTAGGGTTTTCCTCAATTTAGGTCCGTCCGCTGTGGCTTCCCGGGAGCGAGTGTCCGGGAATGCTGGGGCGCCATTATATGGGCCCGGTGACGTCATATCGGATGATGCAATTCCATATTGTTATTGTTTATAAAGAAAAGCTTTACATAAAATACATGATTCAAAATGAGTTATAATTGTATGTCTTAAACAGGACACTGTATTTATAATGTACTAATTCGGTTTCACATGTTAACCCATTAGTGCATAAAGTTTTCTAACGTCTTTTAAATGACGATAACAAAAATATGTTATAATTTAGAGTGTATTCGACAATTAACTGACATAAAATACTTAGTTTTTGTGAAAGTTCAGATTTTATAGCCCGTCCGATAAATCGGACGTTATGCATGGCGGACACAATTGATGTTAAAAAAGATTAAAATAAAACTACGGATTTTATAAAGAAATTTATTATAGAAAGTAACAGAAAATAAACATATTTTAATTTAAAATGTGGTATGCCATGTGACATTTCGGGTGAAGGCCTACATCACATTTCTGACACTGAAATTTACTTTTTCCTCCACATTAATTTGCACACCGACGTTCAGTATTTATTGGAACCAGCCAATGTTCTTTACCGTCGTATCTCATTGTAGATAATGGTTTTGCCGGCTTGCGACCTTGATGTGGTGGTGTGCCATGTGTCGAAAGTAAGCTCCTTGCTATGAAGCGTCTAAAAACGAATAAAGACTCAGTATCTCTTGTGCAGCCATTCTTCCGTGCAAGTAACCAGGCATTTACAACCGAAACGTCTAATAAATATGCAAATATGGGCCACCACCATTTCTTTATACGCATCCGAGTTCGTAAGTTTGCCACAGCCTGATCACATTTGTCTACTCCACCCATATACTTATTATAATTTGAAATAAGTGATGGCTGAGGTACTTGCACTTTGGCTTTTTCTTCATTGGACCAGCGTGTGGCAGATGTAATTGCCAGATTTTCAAAATTAGTGGCTACTGTGACAACATTGTTATCATTCCACCGACATACGAAAACATCATCAGCTACTCGGTAATCGTAATGACCTCGCGCCTCCTTCTTGAATTGTTTTACGTCTTTGACTGGGCAGTTCTCAGTGCGATTAGCTCTCAAGGTGCCTGTAGCATAATAGCCAAGCTCCTTCAGGTGTCTCATCAGGCTCAAAGATGTAAAATAATTGTCAAAAAACAATTTTATGCCACTGTTTGGTGGAAGTTTGCTCAATGTAATTAGGTTGAGAACTACGTCGCCACCTACTCCAAAATCTTTTTTTTCAGAACTCTTTCCCGTATATAAACTGAACGCTAACATATATCCGGTACTAGCACACATTGCCCAGTTTTTGAAACCAAACCTAATTGGCTTTCCACGGATGAACTGTTTAGCGTAGTGTTTTCCGTAATACGGGATCATGCTTTCATCTACGCTATAGTGTTCATCCATCCCGTAGTGTTTCTGAAATGTTTCACCTAGGCTTTCCAGAACAGGTCGTAATTTATATAATCTATCTGTTTCATTGAGCTCGCTATTATCGTTCAAATGTACATGTTGAAGAATCAACTCAAAACGGTTGCATCTAATGCTGTCTTGTAAAATTGTAGGCACGTCATTATCCTTGCAAAAATACAATCGCTTCTTTGGCAACTTGACATAACCCGACAAAAGCATTGCTCCTAAAATAACATAGATTTCGTCCTCTGTTGCCATCAAAGGTTTGTTTTTTTGCAAAGCGTACAGGTTTGTTTGTTTGATTATATGTTTGATGAGATCATTGTGAAAAAATAGTTTGAAGTATTCCAGAGAATTTTTGACATTTTTTACTTTCATCTGATGGTGGCTGTGGACGATATTCAGTGCAAATAAAAGCGGGTTCTTCTTTTTTCCAACCTGTAGATTTTTTCTTTTTAGTTGGCGGTGCAGACCTTGAAGGCTTGTTATGAGACATGAAAATAGAAAGGGGCTGCTCGTCTTCACTATCGCTTCTTGATAAAAAGTTATCATTTGATGCTCGTTGCTTATTTGAACCGAGTGCTGAAGACGTTGATGGAGTAGAAATATCGCTATCACCTCGAGAACGTTGCAATTCGCAGCTAGCTTGCAGCAGTCTTCGTCCTAAGTGATTTAGGTTACAATAAAAACACAATATAAACTTACCTTCGTCTCGAGAAACTTTGACCGTGTGCCGCCATTTTGCAGATTGTCAGCTGATGCTCGGAAAAGTTGATAAATTGTATAATAACTGTATTGCCACTTTTGAATATATATTAAACTACTGTTTTAAATAGATAAACCTTTAGTTGAATAAATGTTACCTCTATGATAAAAGTTTTTTTACCGTCCGATTTATCGGACGTTATGCACTAATGGGTTAATAAGTTGTTATATAGTTATAATAATTAAACGGTTACATTTACATTTGTCTTAATACAATTTTGTAATATTTATAGAATAACCTATCAAGTGCATCGAAATTCCCCTCGGCCTCGCGAATGGCCGCGGCGAACGCATTTATCGCGTTGAGGTCGAGATTACGCGCGAAATCTCTACAGAGCGCCGCGTTCTCGGATAATTCGGAGGTGGACGCGTTTGGCGCAGAGGGTGCCACGGGATGAGTGCTAGTTTGAAGCGCTGAGGGCGCTTTAGGGATCGGCGCTGAGGGCGCTGGTTCCGCTACCGGTAGCGGCGCTGTAGTATTAGACCATGCATTGGTCGAAGGAAGAGGGGCCGGGACATATAAGTCCCGGGGTTGTTGTGTAGCGCGAGGCGCCGCGGCGACGGCCGACGGGCCCTTGTTCCCGGGACGCCTCCGGCACGCGCCTCTCGGGGCCTTGGGACACCCGCGATAATTCGCCGTGTGTCCCTCGGTCCCGCAGTTAACGCAGGCCGGCGGAGTCTCACAAGGAAGCCTCCGGGTGCAGTCGGCTGTGCCGTGGTCCCCGAGGCACTTCACACACCTCGGTTTCCCCTTGCAATAACGGGACGGCATTGCCTAACTACTTCCTGGGACTTCGGGGTCTCGACAGTGAGTCCGGAGAGGGAGCAACACTGCTTGAGATTAAAGATTTGCCGTGAGGCGGGAGAGGAGTCTAAAATTACTACCCACCAACGGATATTGGGCCTTTGTATGCCTGTTGTAAAGGCATTGGACCTCCTCTACGGGGAGGCCCTGTCCGATTAAGTCGGATTTAATTTCCTCGTTGGGAATTTCAACGGGGATTCCGCGGACAACGGCCCTTAGGCGACGTTCGTCTTCGGTCGCGTACGAGTGGTACGGAATATGGCGCTCCATAAGGAGGCGAACTAGGGCCCTGTAGTCGGCCGGAGAGGGCGTTTTGACGCAGATTCCCTGCGCGGTGTTACGGGCCTGAGTAAATGCTATTTTTCTCTGGGCCATCTGGCCGGAGACCGAAGTCTCACGGCCTTATCATGGATAATGACGGGAGGCGGGAGCTTTGGCCCCCGCTGGGGCGCGACGGAGGGAGTCGGAAGCTCCACCGAAAGGGATGGGGGCTCAATTACGAGCGACATTAGAGGCTTAAGGCCGGAAGAGGGCGCGACGGGCGCTGGAATGCGCTTCGCGGGCGGAGAGGCCTGAAGGGCTTGAGGGGCAGAGCGCTTCTTCTTGCGCTTGTTGTTAACCTTTGTGAAGGCTGAATCGTCCGAGTCAGACGATGAAGTGTTACCCTCGGACATCGGCGAGTCCGAGAGTACGACGGAGGGCGGAGACGGGATGGGAACTCAGACGGCGTTCCGTATTGTCGCAGCGTCGGAGGCGGCACGCGACAGGGGACTCAGCGACCTAGGTGTCGCCATTTCTAAGACGGGTCCGTCGGCGCACGGTGTAGCCGCGCGCGACGGGAGGGACGTAGAGGCCGCGCGAGGCGCGACCTCTTTTTTGATATTGAGGAACACCTCAGGGTGTTCCTTACGTAGCACTTCGAGGATTAAACGGTCCTCGAGACCTAATGTTACAATGTCCCTCTCCATGCTGAGCACGGAGAGGATGGGGTCGTGGGTTCGGTGTGTAAAAAATGTGGAATACTTAAACAGCTGATAAATGAAGTGTAGTGCGTCCCCGCTCAAATGTCATGGTACGAAATTCGAATGTAAGATTATAATAATACGGATTTAAGATATTTTCGCCGACGCTTGGAAGGATATGCTTCCCACGTGCAGCGAGGGGTCCGATCTGATGCCGCCCAGTTCACACCGCGGTCCTGAAACCTGAGGCTGTTGTATAAAAATTTTCATTTTCTGGTGTTTCCGTTGATTCATATTCAATTTGGTTAACGCAATCTTCCTGATTATTTTCGCTATAATTAAATTCTTGTTGGTCATAAAATTCTGATTGATATACATCGTAATCATCTTGAGTCGGTTCTATGGTGTAAAAGAGATTATTTGCAGTTCGTTGCGGTATATTTGGTTTCGGTTGTGGAGCTGTTCTCATCGAAATATCATTCTCATATTTAAACGGTTTCGCTTGGTTTTGTGGTATACCGAATTTAGATTGCTGTTGTGGTACGTTTTGAGGTCGATGTTGGGGAATACCGAATTTGAAATTATTTTGGGGCAGGTTGGGACGATAACCTTGTGGTTGTAATTGTGGTTTAAAAGTTTGAGGTTGATTAGTTACAGGACGAAAGCCTTGAGGTTGAACTTGTGGTGGTCTTAATTGTTGAATGCCAAATTTAAAAATAGGGGTAAATGTAGGTTTACTATTATTTATTGGATTTTGACCGTATTTTAACTTACTATTATTTTTGGAGTTATACTATATTGATGAAATTGACTTCTTCCATGACGACAATGGAGCTTCCTCTAGTTTCGTGCATCAATGGAGTCTGACAATTCGTATCATGTCTTCTGGGAGATTGTATAGAAAAACGTTTAAGGATTGAATATCGTAAATGTTCATCTTTGCTTCTTTAATGCTATCGTCATTTATTAAATTTACTTTTGAAAATAATGTACTACGAATACTTTGAATACGATTACAGAATTCTAAAAAAGATTCGCCATTTTTGATTTTAATATTATCTAATTCTATTGCAATGCACTCCTCCGAACGAGGGTCACCGAAATGTTTCTCTAAAAGTTCTTTAAGGTCATTCCAAGATGTAATATCTTGCCTTTCACTAATTAAATGAACCGCTTTGCCAACCAATCGACTAGTGATCGCATGAAATGCGTAAGTATCTTGGTAACTGATTCAAATCGTGCCGTTCTTATTACATATGTACTTTTCTTAATATAGGAATTTAATAATTTTTCATCTCCGTCAAATTTTGTAATTATATTTAACGGTTCATTCGGAATTACTTTAATGTTCTGCATTTTATTCGTATTTAAACTTTGGTATTAAAAACAAATAAGAATCAAGATTAAAATTAATTGTATGCACTACGTTATATAAAACACAATATAATATAAAAATCACAATGAAATATAAAAATATCTTAAGCTAACACAACAATCGGAAATAGAGGGAAAGAAATACAGGACTGTGAAGAGGTTTACTCACATAAGTCTGCTTCCTCCCATCCTTCTGACGATAGTTGCACTTATGTATATATTTCGCTCTTTAATAGTCGCGTATTCTATTTTGAAAAATTTGTTTTGGTTGTTTTTTTATTTTATTTTTATTAAAAATTCAGGATCTCCCCTTTCACTTGGAAAGAGATATTTATGTTATATTTATCACATGGACGCACATTTCTTATATTCTGTCGTTCCGTTTTAACACTTGTTTGGCGATTTTTGTACAGTATGTTAAAAACGGAGGTCTTATTTTTGTATTGCTTATCATTATATTGTAATTTTCTTTGCGTCCCTCGAGTTCCGCGTAATTTTCCAGACTCTATCTACGACCTACCGACAAACATAACATATCCCGAATACATTAAATTCCCTCAACACAGATTAAAATTATCTCGTGAAAAAACTCACGAAAATGCGATAAAATATAAGGAAAGATTGAAAGGGTATTACGATAATCATTCACGACCAGTGGAATATCAAGCAGGCGACTACGTTTATTTTAAAAATCATGTTCGACTCCGAAAAGCTTTGTCTCCCGTATGGAAAGGACCATATAAGGTTATAAAGGTAAACGGGCGAAAGAGTCTTACATTATTAATAAACAGACGTCATGTCACCCATCATTATGATGAGGTTAAGTTAGCATCTAGGTCCAACGTTTCGGACAATAATCATTAGTTCTTTAAGTAAGTAAACCTTTAATCTTATAATTCATTCTTCTTTCAGCAATTTCCTTGCGGCAGGACAATTCATCGAACAGAAGAAATCAGTCCTGGTATCTATTTTGATCCTATCGGTTCTTTAAACCTCGTTGATAGTCATTTAAGCGTCATAGTTCCAAAAGATATTTCGTATATTAACCGTCATTTACTTAATCTCCAATTTAACATAAATCATTCTAAGTCAATTTGTGAAGAGAGTCAAATATTTAATCCTTCAGAATGCAGAAATCTATTCCAACCCTTAATCGCTCGTTACGAAGATATGATCCGTTATAGCGAAGCCATACCAGACCTTAGCTCACATCATATTATTAAGAGAAGTCCTTTACTAGGAATAGTAGGTACCATTTCTAAGAAATTATTTGGCACAATGGACGAAGAAGACGCCATACGAAAGCCATCTTGAAGAGCGCTGTCAGTTGTCAAATACAAAATGCCACTTCCTAAAAATAAACTCGAGTGCTGTATCCGACATCCCAACTCTACTGAAGTCCTCATGTGTACTAGCTGCAATAAAAAATACCACTATAATTGTGTAAGCACGTCAAAAACCCCGTTTGGTGATCTAACTGACGCCTACAAAGTGAATTGGCTGTGCCCATCGTGCGCTAGACCGAAGTCAGACAATTCAAACACGCCCATAAGAGGAGCTCCTTTACCTCGAGAAGTACAACCGGCATCCCCTCTTCCGTTTGACGAGGTTCGTAAAATAGTGCGGGAAGAGCTTGGAGCCGTATTGGAGGTCTTCAAAACTAACATTCGGGAACAATTTAAACTACTAACACAAGAGGTCTTAGATCAACTATCTGGCGTGACGAACTCGTTAACATTTCTTGAACAACAATACGAACAAGTTGCTAGTGAGCTAAGTGTAAAAACAAAGGCTATAAAAGTATTAGAATCTGAGAATATATCACTTAAGTCAACTGTTAAGGACCTTAATGTAAGACTGTCAATAGTGGAACAACAGTCTCGTGCTGCAAACCTTGAAATACAAAACGTCCCGGAGTTTGTTTCAGAAAATCTACCTACCACAATTAAGCAATAAGCTTTAACAGTAAACTGTGAGCTTGTGGAATCTGATATATCATATTGTTCCCGGCTTGCGAAGGCAAACAAGGATTCTACTCGTCCCCGCTCTGTGCTGGTAAAATTTACTAACCCTAGAATCCGGGATACTGTACTTGCAGCGGTCATTACATTCAATAAAAAAGCTGGAAATAACACTGAGAAACTGAACACTAGCCATTTGGGGATAAGTGGAAGCAAGTATCCTATCTTTGTAGGCGAGCACCTCACATCATCCCAGAAGCAATTGCATGCTAAAGCACGCCTCAGGGCTAAGGAGTTGGGCTACAAGTTTGTGTGGATCAAGAACGGCCGCATCTTTATGCGCAAGGAGTCCTCTTCTGCGTACAAATATATTAAAGATTTAGATTGTTTATATAACCTTGAATAATATTTTGTTGTGTTCTTTGTTTATGTTTGCTTAAAAACCTTGAATCTGTGGTACCATTACTATATATATATTGTGTTTTCTTATATTATTAATGTCAATTACCTGCTATTATCAGAACGTTAGAGGTCTAAACTCAAAAACAGCTACTTTTAGGTTAAATGTCTTAAACTGTAATTATGATATTATCATTTTAACTGAAACCTGGCTTAACGTCTTAAGTGTCTACAACTCTGAGATCTTCGATGACAGATACAATGTTTATCGGCGGGATCGTTCCTCTTCAACACACACAAAGCACAAAACAACTGGAGGCGGCGTCCTGATAGCTGTATTAAAAACCTTACCATCACTGAGACTAAACAGTTTTGAAAGTGACTGCGAAGATCTTTGGGTCTCAATAAAAATTTCTAGAGGCAGTAAATCTATAAATCTGAACATTTGCGCTATCTACATTTCACCTCCTGTAAAACGAACTATATTAGAAACTTTTATAGACAAAGCAACTGAATCCTTGGAACAAATTATGTTGCAAAATTGTAATTCTACTTTCATTGTAGGCGACTTCAATCTTGGTGGTATCAAGTGGTTTTCAGAATCTAACAAACATAAGGTGACTAATACAGGAAACAACCTCTTTAAAACATTTATAGACTTTACTCACCTTAATGGACTCAACCAGCTTAATAATATAAGTAATGTTAAGGGCAGTATCCTTGATCTTGTTCTGACCACAGAGACTAACTCGAGTGCTGTCAATGAAAGTCCATTTCCACTCAGTATCATCGACTCCTATCATCCTCCTCTCATCATAGATATCCCCATTCCTCTACTGCATACACCTCCCATATTATGCAAAAACAAAACCGTCAAGCCAAACTTTCGCAAATGTGACTACACACTTATTGAAGCAGCTCTTGATAATATTAAATGGCTCGATGAATTCCATGCATGCCCTGACGTCAATAAATTAACGTACCGCCGAAGCGTTGGCTTGTGCGGTCGTTTCTAATGATATTAAAATTAGCGATCTTAGGGTCGCGCATTGAGGGCTTAAGAAAAGATTCCTGCACCGCAAGTATATCGACCTGGTGCCTAACGACGAAGTCTCTAACAAGGTCGGTCTGTTTGTTTAGTCCGTTAGCGTTAAAGCTAACTAATGTCAACGAACGCGGTTTATTTCTACACGTACTAGCCATAACGAATTGATTGAATTAAAAGTTACGTGACGTACCACTGCTCGGAGGGCAGTGGTAATTTTTTAGGGCCGACACGAAGGAGTTGAACCTTACTACAAGGCCCATGAGTGCATCAAAATTCCCCTCGGCCTCGCGAATGGCCGCGGCGAACGCATTTATCGCGTTGAGGTCGAGATTACGCGCGAAATCTCTACAGAGCGCCGCGTTCTCGGATAATTCGGAGGTGGACGCGTTTGGCGCAGAGGGCGCCACGGGACGAGTGTTAGTTTGTTGCGCTGAAGGCGCTTTAACGCGTGGCGCTGAGGGCGCTTTAGGACGTGGCGCTGAGGGCGCTGAATTCGCTACCGGTAGCGAAGGCGCTGAAGGCGCGGCCGTTGATGTTTTGGACCATGCATTGGTCGAAGGAAGCGGGGCCGGGACATATAAGTCCCGGGGTTGTTGTGTAGCGCGAGGCGCCGCGGCGACGGCCGACGGGCCCTTGTTCCCGGGACGCCTCCGGCACGCGCCTCTCGGGGCCTTGGGACACCCGCGATAATTCGCCGTGTGTCCCTCGGTCCCGCAGTTAACGCAGGCCGGCGGAGTCTCACAAGGAAGCCTCCGGGTGCAGTCGGCTGTGCCGTGGTCCCCGAGGCACTTCACACACCTCGGTTTCCCCTTGCAATAACGGGACGGCATTGCCTAACTACTTCCTGGGACTTCGGGGTCTCGACAGTGAGTCCGGAGAGGGAGCAACACTGCTTGAGATTAAAGATTTGCCGTGAGGCGGGAGAGGAGTCTAAAATTACTACCCACCAACGGATATTGGGCCTTTTTCACACCGCGGTCCTGAAACCTGGGGCCGATTCATATTCAATTTGGTTAACGCAATCTTCCTGATTATTTTCGCTATAATTAAATTCTGGTTGGTCATAAAATTCTGATTGATATACATCGTAATCATCTTGAGTCGGTTCTATGGTGTAAAAGAGATTATTTGCAGTTCGTTGCGGTATATTTGGTTTCGGTTGTGGAGCTGTTCTCATCGAAATGTCATTCTCATATTTAAACGGTTTCGCTTGGTTTTATGGTATACCGAATTTAGATTGCTGTTGTGGTACGTTTTGAGGTCGATGTTGGGGAATACCGAATTTGAAATTGTTTTGGGGCAGGTTGGGACGATAACCTTGTGGTTGTAATTGTGGTTTAAAAGTTTGAGGTTGATTAGTTACAGGACGAAAGCCTTGAGGTTGAACTTGTGGTGGTCTTAATTGTTGAATGCCAAATTTAAAAATAGGGGTAAATGTAGGTTTACTATTATTTATTGGATTTTGACCGTATTTTAACTTACTATTATTTTTGGAGTTATATATATTATATTGATGAAATTGACTTCTTCCATGACGACAATGGAGCTTCCTCTAGTTTTGTGCATCAATGGAGTCTGACAATTCGTATCATGTCTTCTGGAAAATTGTATAGAAAAACGTTTAAGGATTGAATATCGTAAATGTTCATCTTTGCTTCTTTAATGCTATCGTCATTTATTAAATTTACTTTTGAAAATAATGTACTACGAATACTTTGAATACGATTACAGAATTCTAAAAAAGATTCGCCATTTTTGATTTTAATATTATCTAATTCTATTGCAATGCACTCCTCCGAACGAGGGTCACCGAAATGTTTCTCTAAAAGCTCTTTAAGGTCATTCCAAGATGTAATATCTTGCCTTTCACTAATTAAATGAGCCGCTTTGCCAACCAATCGACTAGTGATCGCATGAAATGCGTAAGTATCTTGGTAACTGATTCAAATCGTGCCGTTCTTATTACATATGTACTTTTCTTAATATAGGAATTTAATAATTTTTCATCTCCGTCAAATTTTGTAATTATATTTAACGGTTCATTCGGAATTACTTTAATGTTCTGCATTTTATTCGTATTTAAACTTTGGTATTAAAAACAAATAAGAATCAAGATTAAAATTAATTGTATGCTTTACGTTATATAAAACACAATATAATATAAAAATCACAATGAAATATAAAAATATCTTAAGCTAACACAACAATCGGAAATAGAGGGAAAGAAATACAGGACTGTGAAGAGGTTTACTCACATAAGTCTGCTTCCTCCCATCCTTCTGACTATAGTTGCACTTATGTATATGTTTCGCTCGTTAATAGTCGCGTATTCTATTTTGACAAATTTGTTTTGGTTGTTTTTTTTTATTAAAAATTCAGGATCCCCCCTTTCACTTGGAAAGAGACATTTATATTACATTTACTTGTCTTTTTTTTTATTACTGTTAACGAATATTATGTTATATTTATCACATGGACGCACATTTCTTATATTCTGTCAGTTCTGTCGTTCCGTTTTAACACTGGTTTGGAGATTTCTGTACAGTATGTCAAAAACGTAGGTCTTATTTTTGTATTGCTTATCATTATATTGTAATTTTCTTTGCGTGCCTCGAGTTCCGCGTAATTTTCCAGGTTCAACCTAGCCGTCATGCCCATAGGACATTCCGATAGAATGTGTTCCACTGTTTCCGTGTGCTCGTCGTCGCAGGGGCAAGTCGGGCTCTCCTTACATTTAAACCTATGTAAGTAGGCCGAGAATCCGCCATGCCCCGTAAGTGCTTGAGTTAATATTTTAGTCGGTCTTATCTCTTTAATTATTTAAAGGCTGATGAGGGGCAAGGAAAAAGGAGCTTTGTTACTGTAGCCGTTTCGGACTTGCTATACCTTTCGTGCCACTCAGTTTTCGTTTTCGTCCTTATTAATTTCTTAGCGTAAGAGATTGGACAGGGTTTATAGTGCGGTTCTTCAGTTAGGTAAAGAGCTGCTTCTGCGTGCGCCTCAACCCACAGTAGCTCAATATGTTTTCCAGATTCTTTGCATAGTGTAATTAGCTTTCTTGCTGCGCAAACTAGATTATGGTTTGAATAAGCCCCTGTTACGGCCAGGAGAGATGATTTCGAGTCACTCAGGATAGAAATCGTTCTGGCCTGAGTTTTTGTTGCGCTTCGTTTAATGCGACTAATTCCGCCTGATAAACCGAACAATGGCTAGCTATTTTATACTTTCGCGTTTCGATTATTTACGATGGCTGCTCCTGTTTTGTTGTCTATCTTGCTTCCATCTGTGTATATTTGTAATCCACTCGTTACTCCCAGCATTTCGTCTTTCGTTCTTATTGCCTTATATGTATATATCTGGAGTTCAGACGGGTGTTGTCTATACGTGAAGGGCAAGTTCTGTTCGACTTGTAGTCCTTTCAATTGATAGCCTCTTGTATATCCCACTTCTGACACCAATATGTAATATTCGGAGCGGGAGACTCGAATGAAATACCCTTTATGATAAAATGAAAGGTTTATTATCAATACACACACGCGGTACAATATATGAATCAACTGTTCGGCTTAAACTGTCGATCTTGACTGTCTGAGTATGACTCTAAGATTGTTACTGACTGTTATTATGGCGAAAGAGGTCCTTTATAGTATCTGGTAATTACGTTGTATAAACACAAACAATATCATTAAAGAATTGGACCTTAACCCTTCTTTGCATGATTTTTTCTCTTTTTTTTTAATTTAGAGTGATGTAATTAATGCTCTAGATTAAAGAAAAAATGTTTGAAAAAATCTTGGTGTAAATAAAAATATGTATTATGTAAAAAACAATATGATACAAATTTACTGGAATAGCCTTTACATTTGGGAAATTTGCACCGGAGTGACCGACCTACTTTTGGCCAATGGTCAGCACCATCTGTTCTTATGTCTTTTGGAGGTGGTGGAGCTGAAGAACCTTTTCTTTTTTTGATTCTAATTCTTCTTCTAGTACACGGGTACTAGGACGCCCTCTTTTAGCTTCTCTGGTGGTTCCTCTGTTGCATAGCACTAAGGCCAATTCATTTCTAAATTGGCCCATTGTAAGCAGAATCGTTTTAGGTTCACCTCTTTCTTGAGCATTTTTTTATAAACAATCCAAGAGTTTATATTAGCTAGATCAAATAAATGAAAAAAAATACGCAAATACCACTTTTTAGATCTCATTTTTATATGATTTCTACCCAAAAAGCTATCCATGAGATCTCCTCCTCCTATATGTTTATTGTACTCCTGGACAATAAAAGGGCAAGAAATATCAATTTTTGTTTTTGTATCCTGTCAAATCTGTTGACTTTAGATACAGGCAGTGCTCCAGAATAAGAAGATAACAGGGTCACAGTCTTATTATCTTTCCAAGCACACAACTCAAATCTATACCAAGATGTCCCTTTGCTTTAGAGTGCGCTTGCGCTCATCTAGGGCGGAATGCATAGCCGCCTGCAGGAATGGCCAACCACCAACGCGGCGGTGCTTGTGTCAGTGCGAGACGCGGCTGCCGATTTCCCGCCGTCAGCATCTCCCATAGGCTCGGCGAGTGAAACGCAGTCTTATCGCATCGGACTTCTCTCTATTCTATCTCTTTCTTACGTACTAGTCTTACCATATTTATTTAACTTTTATTTACATAACATAAGTAAGTCTTATTTTTCTAATATTGTGGTCGCTTTCAACTAGTACTTGTAAAACTACTACTTTGTATTTATTTATTTACTTAGGATGCTATACAGTCCTGTCTCTTATAACAACCTAAAAACAATATTCTTATTATCTAGGGAAAAAATAGAAATCTAAATGTATGTAGGCACTCAGAGAGTATATTTACAAGTTTCACTGACAACATTTGAGTTAAAAATTAAAAATAGCTTTGAGGCGAGAAACAGTGTCCTCTACAATATAACAAAAACCGTATTCTTTTATAATTAATTAGATATGTGATATCTTTATAAGTTAGGAATTAAAATTTATTCTGACGTATAAATAGCGAACTTGATGGACTTTGATCAGTCATTATTAAACGAAAAAAAAATAACACGGGAACTTCGGTACTAACACAATAACACGGCAAACGTACGATAAAAGGATGGCACAGCACTACACTGCGGGCGCGCTATCAGTAGGTTCATTCTCAATAGGAATAGTTTGTTTCCACAGATGTCTTGTTTCCTTATCCAATTTTCAAGATGGTAATGTGTTCGAGTGCTCAATGCGAATTAATAAGTGACGTCATTCTACCGTTGCTGATAATGGGGCGCTATAAGCAATGTCCTTACGAAATATTTTGATAATAATAATATTTCAATTGTAATTATACCGCAATTCTTTATGTGAACAGTAAATTTTAACAAGGTATATGTATTTTAAATAAATAAAAAACTCTTTGTATATCAGTTGTCTTACAAAACTTTGGGATCTTATAAATGATTTAGTCTCATTGTACTAGTAAAAATTTATTATTTATTTATATATTTTTTATTTCACAAAACACAATGATGATACGGAATAAGTACTTTATTTTTTTTTAATCTTTATTTAAAAGGCTTTAACCTTATTAAGTTATGTCGCCTAATAATACAAAATTTTACAATTACAATTCCGAATTAATAGAATATCTACACTCTAAAACATTCTACATAGCCGCCTCCGAAGATGGAAAGGCTAAGACACTACCACACCACCCAACATGTTTAAAACATATAGATTTATTAATTAATCCTCTATATGCCGATAAAACATGGGTCACGACATCACAATCTAAGCAATTGGGACTTGATGCTACCCTCATAAGATGTTTGAATTTGTTTGTCGGAATATGTCCGGGACGCAACCGCATTAAAGACACAACATCTCTTCTATTTATATTAATTAAAATATGTCACGGATGTATTGGTGTAACACATACAATGGTTTTATACCAGATACCATAGTACTTATATAGAAGAAAAATTATATTGTATCCATAAAATATTTATAAATAACAATAAAAGTAAAGTAAAATAAAATGTTGAGTATGAGGCTATGTAATTAAAGACTTCAAATAAAATTAAAAAAATATGGTGTTGACTTATTTTATCTATAAGCTATTGCTAAATGTTCTACCCCGAATTTAATCGTCTCCGTCACATTCTTGCAGAGCTACCTCAGAGGTATTTGAAGGGTGCGATCCTTACTTAGGCAACGCCACCTATTTTTAAGTCGCTCAAAGTAGTTCCATCACCACTTTAGCTTTTCCGTGAACACTTGTGTAAAGAGCTTCAGGACTCCCTGCAACAGCATTAGGAACAGGTGTCATTAACCACCTGAAAAAATATGCTAGTTATATTTTAGTTTTACCTAATAACCACACTTGTTCATGGTTTCTGTGTAGCTCTTGCAAAAATTTATGTGCCTCACTGTTGTCCCATATGAATGCACCATACTTCGCATTATTCACATTAAGGAATCGACAGTCGCTATCACAAATCTGAAAATAAATATAGTTAGATATAAAACTATAATTAAAATGTTTATTTATATGAGCCTGATTAGTTACTATTTGTACATTCAAAGAGTATAAGTGTTTTCTACACTAAAAATGATGTTCAAAGTCACTGCTGGGAGAAAATATATGAAAGTGGGATCCATCAACACATCCAATTGTCCCCGGTATCTAGGCTTGCCAGATGTGTTGAAAAAAAAAACCGGACAATTTTTTATTAACAGATAAATTCACTTGTTAAGTGACTGGTAAAAGAGAATTATAATTACGTGACATGCTCGTTGATTGTGTTTGCAATACAATATTGGTAGTATACAACTTACAATTTTGTGATAATTTTAAAATTTCAGTATTTATTAATTCGATGTCAACAGGTTCTTTGTTTTTACAATTTATAGTTGCTATCACTTTGTTAGGACACACAAAAATCCAGTTCTTTTCATTATAAAGTTTGTACCATTGCTCAGTGTTGATTAAACCTACCCGAGTGTCACATTCTGCTGGCAATATAGATTTACCATACATTAGTACAGACTCGCAGGTCTTGCACAGAATATAAAGGTGATTGTTATTTACAAATAAATCTACCATCTTGAAGTCTTTTACATTTATCCAAATCATCTAAACTTAGGCATGACATTATATAAGTCGTATGTATTTTGAGTTATTAAAGGCGTTTTTATTACAAAAATAAGTTTATTACTAGTAACAAAACAAGCCAAATTTGAAAACATTAATATTTTTCACATGTTATAGCACATGAAGGCACTATATAATTTAAAAATCGAAAATAAATTGAAAAAATAATAGAGCAACAGCATGGAACGCTGATGATGCCGGTTCAAGTCCTGCCCGAGTCAAAAAATTTTTCAATTTATTTTGTGATTTTTAAGCCAAATTTGCCAAAGATAGTAACTCTGGAACATTGGATTCATTAATTTCGTTTGTGGTGGTAAATATGAAACAGTTTTCCTAAACTCGATACCATATTGTTCTGGCGTGATGATAATAGGATGTAATACGTTATTCTTTAAAAAGAGAATTGCAATAATTACTGTAGAAGTTTCGTTATTTACCTCTGTTGTGACTAACGTTAAAGTGACATATGTTCGTCAATATCTTGCTTCATTTTAATATTAAATATTTTACTGCCAATTTCTTTGGTATGATTTCTTAATAGATTTAGGTTATCATTAAATATTTTTTCGTTTTGGTACAAATCCGTAACAGTGTTATTGAAATTCGTTATAGTTAATTTAACTACATTTAATTGTGATTTTAATAAGTCTACTAACTCAAATTCCTTTTTATCTATGTTTTCTATTGCTTCGCTATATGTTTTGGCGTCATTTGCATCAAGAAATCAAAAAAAAAACTTTAAAAATACGTCCTCCTCCATCGAAATATGATCTTTTTGTTCTACAAATACAAATACAAATTCTTTATTCACCAAAACTGTGTACATATCATTACAGGGTGTGCTAGCCCCCACACTAGGATTCCCTGTGTCGTGGGCGGCTAGACTCTTCCGGTGCATTTCGAGAAAAACAATGAAAAACTTAGTATCTACTATGTACTTATAAAGTTATTATATGCTAAGTATTTAAATAATAAAAAATAAACTTAAAAATATGGATAACATTTTGTCATGCAATTACCTTAATACAGTTTTCTGTTTGAGTATAATTTAATTTTAGAAGAAACACTTTAATTTTATTTAATTGGGAAGAATAAGAAGTAAGTGGGCTAATTATATTTTTATTAATGAATAAGTTAAGCAGGAAGGGACCTTTAAAAGTAAAAAATCGTTGGGCAAAAGAGGTGTGTTTGAGCGGAGTTCGGAATTGGACTTTTCGTTGTGTTAAAGATGTTTGTTCGGATGTTTTAGATTGTGATGGCGTTTTGAGTTGGCGACGACAAGTTGATATAATATACAGTTGCCTGACCGTCAGGAGATTACATTCTTTGTATAATTCTGAAGTTGGATGCCGAAACGGTTTTCTAAGGGAAATTTTTAGGATAGCACGCTGTGCCCGTTCTATTTTGAGCATAAGACCTGTTACCGCACTGTTCTATGGGTATTACGTAATCCGATTATTATATGAGCCTGAATTATTACTATTTGTACATTCAAAGATTAGTAGAAGTGTTTTCTACACTAAAAATGATGTTCAAAGTCAGTGCTGGGCGAAAATATATGAAAGTGGGATCCATCAACACATCCAATTGCGAGACACAGCAATTCGCGAGAAGAACAGTTCGTATTCTAATGATTGGATTCTTAGCTCTTTCAATCTATCTTCATATTTCTTTATGTGGTAATTATTGTGTGGCAATTTGTATTAAATCGTATTGTCAAATATAAACCGAGATTAGTACCAATTTCATCACTAAATACAATTAGTTTAGACCGATTAAAACTATTTAAACAGTCACACAATTTCCTTACTGTTGGGGTGGGAGAAGAATTTGTAGGAGACTGTTCGTGTTCACCCTGTTTCTCGACTGCCTGTGAGGAATTCAAACAGTTACATGAATGATTATTTATAAATGAATCAAGGCGCTCTGTGTTATGATTTGATGTTTTTAGCACCTTGTCTATTGCCAATTCACAATTACTGTAGTCATTAAGGGACCGTTTATATCTTTTTTTTTTCGTAACATATTGTAGTTCGAATTGCAAAAAACAAGGGCCGCGAACGTTTCTCGTTACAAACACAAGAGTTGCAAACGTTTTTGGTAATGAGAATTACACCCGCGAACGTTTCACGTAGTAAAGTGTCAAAAATTAACAAAATAAACACTCCGCGTCCATGGCGCACTTCTACCTAAGCTAACTAATACACTATAATCTCTAATAACTATCCCTACACTTAAATAAAAGTAAAAAAAGTACTTACTAATAGTTAAAACTTACACTACTAAAATACACTAATATTGAGTGGGACCTGCCCGTGATCGGCGTGCGTGCTGAGGGGAGCGGGACGGGTGGGAGGCGAACGAACGCATTTCGCGAAGTAAGTCTTTTGTTTTACGAAGTTCATTTCGCATTATGTCATTTTCGTAAGCGTGCGTTTTTGTAATCTCATTTGAAAATAGTTAGTTACGTTTGAAGATTATTTTTTTTATTTAAAAGGTCCACAAAACTAAGCTTTAATATATAGACATGATATAAATGGCTTTATACAAGTAAAAAATCTTAAAAATTAAGCTTATAAATATGTAGACACGACACGCAAAATAATGCGATAATAATGGAAAAGTGGTTAAAACGGGTATCAAAACCTACCTCGCCACCGCCAGTTGATTGCAAAAATAGTAGTGAAAATACAGATGATCTTTTGAGTGACAAAAGCGGCACTGAGTATGACTTCGAAATGCCTTCAACAAGTCGTGATTTGAGTGAATAAAGCGGTACTGAGTCTGACTACCAAATATCTTCAACGAAACGTCGGAAAGTGGTGAGAAAATATGACCCGGAATATCTGAAATTAGGATTTACTTGATATCATGACACGACAGATCCGCGTCCTCAATGTGTGATTTGCTACGAACTATTAGCGAACGAAAGTATGCGTCCAAGTAAGCTGACACGTCATATCCCGACCCCTTTCGCATTCAATGCTTGCGGGGGGTGTCGGGTGTGCGGCCCGTTAATACGGGCCGATCATCGGGTCTGCCAGGGCAGATTTGGTAAGCCTCATACTATTGGCGAAGACTTAGTGTAGTGTATAGCTAGATGGTTCTTAGTATATACTGTCGTCTCGAGTGATGTACCGCGCGGAGTAGCGGGGCGGGGGCATTCGGTTGCCGGCCGCCGCTGAGAGAAGACGTGGTGCGTGCACTACCGAGCCGATAATAGGAAAGCCACTACATAAACTGGCGACGGAGAAAATACACCGTGAGTTTATAATTTCGTTATATTTAAGAAAAAGCATATATCACACAACAATAGAAGGGCTAGAGAACATATTAAAATCGCCGATAACAATATATTTTTTTTTATACCTACTACATAAATGTACACGGAATAAAAACATATATTCATTCTCACCGCTATTCGGTGGAATGTAAATTACAGTACAAAAAAAACAAATTTTTTTTATTTAAATATATAGTGGCACAAGCCACTTCAAAATTACATTTGTCTATAGGGATACCTAAGGATTCAGAGTTCCGCACTGGGCGCAGTTCAAAGCGCGGTGCCGCCACAAGCATTACGCCGCCTTGCTTACGTCCATTTTCCCTGTCGCATCTCAGAATATGATATCCGGGTGGTACGATTTCAGTGATGGCATATATGTCGGACTGCAATACATGTATATTTGTACGGAACTCGGCTAATTTAGTTCACATTTCTAATTAGTTTGGGCTTTCCGGGACTTGCGAAACCAAACCCATTCGCTAAACTCCGCATTGATGGGCCATGTTTCCGGCTGATTCAACTTAGAATACAGAGCTTCAGGAACGCCGACAATAAATGATGCGTAGTCCCTCTGCGATTTGTGCTTGATTTTCTCAACTTTTATCGATGCACTCGATCCGCAAATGTTCTCAACATAATTGGTCATTGCTTCTAGTGTCGTTTTGGGATGTAGACGCCAGACGTGCAAGTATTTTTTCCTCTCCATGCCCTTTATTGTTGCACACTCGACGTTTTTCCCTACGAGCACGGTTTGAGATTGCTTTAACCTCGACGACTGCTTAGTCGTTACACTGCGTTTATTTCCTGTATTCGGTACAAGCCTCCCAACACTCTCTTTGTCGGAGGAGGACATCGATGGCTGGGATACACATTCATTGCTGTGTACAGGTGCAGGTAATGCTGGTAACACTACTGATGCTGGCTGAGCCTGCCTGACCTAGGAGTGTTTCGAACGAATCGGCTGAAGGATGCTTTGAGCGCTTTTTTCCGTTTCCGGGCACTTTTTATTTAATAGTGTTTCCTCCAAATTACCCAATATTTTTAAAACACTATCAAGACTGGACTTAGTCTCCTGAAATTGCTTTTGAAGACATTTTATAGCTGTTGCCTGGCCATCCAGGCGAGAAACCAATTCGCTTCGCAGTTCTTTTAGCTGTCCCATAAGTAAACTTTCAGTCTGGATGGGTGACGACCCACGTAGTCGCGGCCCTCGCTGTGTATTGACATAATCTGGCGACGCAAAAGATATAGAATTATAGGGGCTATCGACACATTCTGAACACATCCACTGCATCTTATATTCGCAGGTAAATGCATTAAACAGTTCATGCTCAATTCGCAGGCATTTTAAGTCAAATTTCTTTCTGCAACTTTGTTTTGAACACTGCATATAGTACGACTCGTCGGTGAGCGGTAACGCACAAACGGCACATTTATTCATCGCGTCGATTGGATTTAACTCGACGTTACTAAGTTCCAATGTGTTTGTAAAAGAACAAATTAAATAAAAAGTTTCAATAATTTCTTCGTTGACTCAGGTTCGAACTCGATCCTCAAGCGCAATTACCGTCGACTAGACCGTTTAGAGGAGACGAATATATCGTATAGATGTTGCAAATTAGTCTCTAAGCAATGCAACAATAATTACTTGTTATTGCTACTCGCGCTATTCACTTTGTTCACAACACTTTTAGATCACTCTTGGGCCTGGGATGACAATCCTATGGCACCAATTATAGTTGCAATAGTCACACTCACGGTTTTGTCTTGAATAGATATTTAACGGCCGACCCGGGACACGACACAAACTTGGATTCTTCCTGTTGCTTTATTCCGCCTTCGATGAGAAATATATCAATGTATGATGTAGATCTTTGTATAATAATGCTTATTTTACAATACTACACTTACTTTTGTAAGTGTTTATATTTAAAAGTTAATTTATTGTTATGACACAATGTTGACGTTGCGACTACCCGCGTAATAGAAGCGAAAAGATACGGGAGATGTCCGTTTGTGTGTAGACATGCGCAGAGCTAATTCAGCCATTAAGCGCGAAACCCATCCTCTACCGACGATGGATCAACTTTTGCACTTATGCAACCTTAGTTCCTTAGTTACCTTAGAACCTTAGTTCGAGACGCCAAATATTTCAGTAAGCTAGATATCCAAGACGCATTTCACCATCTAGAGCTGCACCCAGAGTCGCGATATATTACAACATACATAACGAGGCGAGGACTTTTTAGATACAAAAGAATGATCATCGCTTTCGGAAACAAAACCCTTACTCCATGTGAACGCCGCTATTGCCAGACTGAGAAGGAAGCATTGACTCTGGTATGGGCAGTGGAGCACTTCCATATGTTCCTCTATGGAAAAGAATTTGAACTGGTGACGGACCACAAACCTTTAGAGGTCATATTTGGTCCCAAATCTAAGCCTTGTGCTCGAATAGAAAGATGGGTTCTACGTCTGCAATCATATAAATTTAAAGTTAATACAAAATATAGTGGAGCAGATCACACCAGTAGCTGTATCTTTGCAAGAAATTATGGCTGAATCTCTGCAGGACGAGGAAATCCAAAAAGTTAGAGATGGCCTTTACAATAATAACTGGGATGAATCGGTTAAGACATTTAAAGTTTTTCAAAACGAATTATGTTTATAATGCTTCGTTATTATAATTGGGTGTTCCGGAGTGAAACGACATGTGCAGTGTGTTGCTCTGAAAGAGTTTATTATGCATTACTTATGACTAATAAAACATAATATCCAACTATAGCTAAATTATTAAAACATACCTGAAAGAGAAACAACATTTACAACTTAATTATTATCAGTCTACGATGATTAATAAAGTGGAATATTCTAAAAGCACCATGAAAAAACCTCTACACTTCCCACTTGACTTTTCTAAGACTTGACAGTGACAATCGTTATCGTATCCCACAGAATAAAGAAAACATAATAAATGTTTTTGAAAATTTTAATACATCATCTATATAATTTACTGCAAAGTCAGCTAATTTGTGTTTCCTAATAATGCTACTGAGTATTCTTTGAAATATCGCTGGAGAGGTTTTCAAGCCAAAGGGTAAACGCGTCCATTGAAAGTGTCCCTCTTGAGTGACAAATGCTGTTTTTTGTCTATCTTCAATCTTTAATGGTATTGACCAAAAAGCAGAATTTATATCCAGCGTTGTGAAGAATTTGCAATTTCTTGTTTTTATCATTAGGTCCTCTATTAATGGGAAAGGTTGTGATTGAGGAACAACGATTTTATTTAGATCTCGGAAATCTATACATAATCTATACTTTCTCCCTTCCTCTTTTTTATAAGCTAAAGTTACAGGTGCGGCGAAAGGGCTGTAAGACTCGTCAATTAAGTATTTTTCTAATAGTTTAGATACCTGAAGTTCTATTTCTTTTTTGTCCTCAAAGTTGCACCTATATGGCCGTTTATAACAATATTTATCAATTAACAAATCAATATGTGCTTCATACCCTTTCACGGTACCTACATCATATTTGTCACAAGCAAAAAGAGATTTGTGATTGTCAATGAGTTCTTTGACTTGTGACTGTTGCACAGTACTAAGATTATTTACTGTCATTTCAACATCATTAATTGGTATATGTTCGTTGAAGTTAATATTGTAACTTTTTTTTTGTTTTTGATTTTGTGGGGTAACCCCACTATTTGGAATATTATTATGACCAAAATCATGATTTTCATTGACTACCATACCTGCTAAGTCAGAAATTATTTTGGGATTATTAATTTCACCGGCTGATTTATATTTGTCACATTCTAAATTCGGTTGAATTTGTTTAATTTCTAACTTTTCATTTTGTATAAGATCAAACGCCTCTATGCAATCTAAGCCAATTAGAACATCATATTCAAAATGATTACCATCCACTACAAATATGTTTACGTTTTTTTCTATGTCAAATATTTTTAATTTCAAGGTTACTTTTCCAATAGCTTTTTTCACGCTATTAATTGTTTTTAAGTTTGCATCACAATTTAACTTAACAGAATTACTTTTCAAAGTCAATAATCGTGAATTTATTAATGATACATTAGATCCGGAATCATAGATCCCGAAAGTTTCCAAAGTGTCATTAATGCATTGTTTAATTTTTATTAATGGCGGGAATTCTAGGTTTTTTAATTAATTTGGTTAAGCTCAGTTTCAAGTTCATAATTATTAACGTTATGAATCTGATCCCTTTTTAGCCTATCATTATTTTTGTTTCTAAACCAACACATAGTTTCAGCATGATACCTAGTGCCTTTGTTTTCCTTTTCACATATCTTGCACGGCTGATCCTTTCCATCTTTCTCTTTGACCGTTTTGTCGAAGGAAAATTTCTTTTTATCCCAATTCTTCTTGACTAAATGTTCCAATCCTCTGATGTTATTAAATAAATCTTCAGTGTGGTTTAAGTTATTCCTATCAATTTTATCTGCTATATAGTTGGGCAAACCAGTGGCAATTAGGTCTATAAAAGTGGTTTTATCTATAGATTTGTTAATCTCTAAAAGAAGTCTTTCTTTTTTTAAAGCATATTCCAGTATTGAGCCCTGTCTATATTTAAATACAATTGCATACCTGATTGGTGACCAACCCTTGTCTGCATATGTTTCACAGAAGCTGCTTTTCCACACTAACCACTTTGAGTTCACTGTATGTTTAATGAGCATTGAGCTGTACCAGTCAAGACAGGATTCATCCAGAAACAGTCGAAGTGCTTCAATCCTTTGTGTATCTTCATCTACTTCTAAACGAACACATTCTGATTCAAATATTTCCATCCATTGAGATGCATTAGATATTTTTCTACTATATTTCTCAATCACAAATTTATCTGTGAGCATTTTAATACTATCTGCTTTTTTTGTATCCTTTTTCACTTCACTAAATTTTGCCAATATCTTAGTTAAAGCTTCTTCCGTAAGACTGGTTGTTGGTTTGTCTTCTGACTCCGTTTCACCCTCCTCTAGTAAATATCCTTGAAATTGTATGTTCCCATCTTGATCAACATACACTTTTTTCATTTCCGGGGTCATGGATATCCACACATTTCGTTTTTCATGCCTCCTTTGTAGCGTTTTTTTTACTGTTTGGTATGTTGTGGTTCTTGTAATTTCATCATGAAGATGCACGGGTTGAAGTTTTTTTCGGAAATAAAAATTTTTGTTTATCTATATCGGTTATGGAGGTTATACATATTAAGTTTGTCTTTTTATCCTCGCTTCCTTTCACTGTAAATTCAAACCTGTACTTTTCCATTATTAAGTTAAATGTTGTTTTATAATGCTTCGTTATTATAATTGGGTGTTCCGGAGTGAAACGACATGTGCAGTGTGTTGCTCTGAAAGAGTTTATTATGCATTACTTAATTATTAAAACATACCTGAAAGAGAAACAACATTTACAACTTAATTATTATCAGTCTACGATGCTTAATAATGTGGAATATTCTAAAAGCACCATGAAAAAACCTCTACACTTGCCACTTGACCTTTCTAAGACTTGACAGTGACTATCGTTATCGTATCCCACAGAATAAACTAAGACTTGACAGTGACAATCGTTATCGTATCCCACAGAATAAAGAAAACATAAATAAAGAGATGTATTTCTTTATTTACATATTTTTACGAAGATTTATTTCTAAGAGGGACGAAGATTGTAATTCCAAGGAGCTTACGACAACGAGTTATAAAAGCGGCACATGAAGGCCATCCAGGCATTATATTCATGAAGTCAAGATTGAGGACCAAAGTCTGGTGGCCCAAATGTGACAAAGATGCGGAAAACTTTTGTAAGTCCTGTAAATTTTGGTGCAGATACTAAGGTCATCCACCTTAGTATCTGCATCTTAGTATCCACCTAATCCACTAAAGCGACGGGAACTGCCTTAAGTCGATGTTGCTATTGATCTTATGGGTCCCCTATCCAGTAATGACTACATGTTTGTAGTAGTGGACTACTTTTCACGATACAGAGAAATAAAAATATGCCGAACAGTAACCAGTAAGGAAATAATAAGTATTTTAAGCGATATATTCTGTCGGCTTGGGAACCCTGCATCTATTACTGGCAAGCAGTTTGTAAGCCAGGAATTTAAAAACTTTATTACACACAGGAACATGAAAATGTATAATACTATTCCCTACTGTCCCCAACAAAATGGAGAGGTAGAAAGACAGAACAGGGATATCCTGAAAAGGCTGAAGATTGCCCAAGCTGAGAAGAAGAACTGGAGAGAGGCTCTCCAGGATTATCAGATCATGTACCATAGTACACCTCACACCGTTACTGGTAAAACGCCATCTGAATTGTTCTTCCGAAGGCAATTCAGGGATAAATTGCCTATGTTGCGTGACGTGATAGATAATCCTGGAGATCTAGAGATCAGGGACAGAGATAAGGAACAGAAAGAAAAGGGAAAGGAGTACGCAGATAGAAAAAGACATGCTACCTGTTGTGATTTAAATGCAGGTAACAAAGTTTATGTGAAAAATATGGTAAAAAATAACAAATTAAGTTTGAACTTTGATCCTATCACCTATCACTGTTGAATCTAACAACAACGGAGATATAGAATTAAAAAATGACGAAACTGGGCAGCATATTAGAAGAAATATAGGCCATTAAAAAAAAGTGGAGGGTGAATGGCAAGTGATGAACAGCGATTCATCAGAATAAGATCATAGAGAAGTATTCATTGTGATTATCAAATGTGTAAGAAAATAAATTAACTTATTGTATTAATAATCTAATTAAAAGCCTTGTTTAAATAAAAAATATTATTTTAAAATAAGGGAGAGATGTAGTGTATAGCTAGATGGTTGTTAATATATACTGTCGTCTCGAGTGATGTACCGCGCGGAGTAGCGAGGTGGGGGCATTCGGATGCCGGCCGCCGCTGAGAGAAGACGTGGTGCGTGCACTACCGAGCCGATAATAGGAAAGCCACTACACTTAGTATTACCATCGATTAAAGATGCTGTTGGAGCTATGTTTAGAGAAAAAGAAATCGAGCGCATACCACTATCGAATAATACTGTTGCGCGAAGAATTGACGAAATGGCTGAGTGGACAGAAGATGAATTAATCCAGCGAATGATTAATAGTAAATATTATTCTCTGCAACTAGATAAGTCTACAGACGTGCAAGGCTTATCTCAATTGATTGTTTTTGTGCGTTATATATGGCAAGAAGACGTGCATGAAGACATTTTGTTTTGCAAGCCAATAACTCGTGGAACAGCTGAGGTAATTTTCAACGTAATTGATTCCCATATAAAAGGAAAAGGTATACAGTGGAAGAACTGCGTCGGTATATGTACTGACGGTGCGCGGGCAATGTGCGGGAAAAATAGCAGCGTGGTTACAAGAATTCTTGAACAAAGTCCCTATACGTTCGTGGACACACTGTAGCCTTCATAGAGAAGCACTGGTTTCCAAAGCATTGCCTGACGATTTCAAAACTGTTCTAAATGCAGCCGTTAAAATTGTTAATTATATTAAAACAAGAGCCTTGCAAGCTCGCTTATTTCAAAAGCTGTGTGAAAAAATGGGTAGTCTTCATACATCTCTCCTGTTGCATACCGAAGTTCGTTGGTTATCCAGGGGAAAAGTACTGACACGATTAGTGGAATTACGCCACGAAGTTCTAATAAGCTAACATATGTAGCGGATATTTTTTCGAAGTTAAATGAACTCAATTTGTATTTGCAAGGTTCAAACGGGTCAGACATTTTTGCGGTTCACGATAAAATTTGGGGCGTTTATGAAAACGCTTTTGCTGTGGGAGAGTTGTATTGAGGATGGGAAGTACGATTGTTTTGAAACACTTGTAACGTTTATTGTCGAAAACCAAGTGCAGCCAAAGATGAACGTAGTATTTGCAATTTCTGCCCATTTATCATTGTTAAAAAAAACTTTGACGACTATTTCGGCGAGGAGATGCAAAAGCTTCGACTTGTTGAAATGGATTTGTAACCCATTTCAAGACCCCCTACCAACTGGTATGTCAACAGAAGCAAGTGAAGAGAGCTAATTGATTTATCAGAAGATTCGTCACAAAAAAATAGTTTCAATCGTTAGCCATTAACGAAATTCTGTCTCTCGGTTGCTGGTAGTTATCCATGCCTGTTTGATGAAGCTATGTCCTCCTCCCCTTTCCTGCCTCATACTTATGTGAGGCTGGGTTTTCGAATATGGCGAACATTAAAACTAAACACCGAAATAAATTAGACTTATCACACTCACTGCGATTAAAAGTAACTACAGTTGAAGTAGATGTCAAAACTGTAATGGCGAAACGTAGGAAACAATTTCATCCTTCGCATTAAATTTATATAATTAAGTAATAAAAGATTGTATTAAAATAGTTTGTTATTTCATAAGTCCTTTATTCATATTGCTAATGCGTAAATTTCCTAGAGGTAGGTCCCGAGTTTGTAAACTTATTTCATATGAGTCATAGCCCAGTCAACTTTGGGAACCCCTGCTCTAGAGGGGCCTTTCTCTACTAACAGGAAAATCGTGGTCCAAGCAATTTTTTTACTTTTTTGGCTATATTAATGCATAATTTTGTATATTTAAAAAAACACGTTATAAAAGATATTAGTTAAGGAGTCAAGATTATGTAATATTTAAAAATAATAAACATTTAATAAATTCAGTCTAAATGCCACTAAAAACAGTCCTCTGTAATGTCCCATTTTCGGATCCAGTATAATTCGTCTCAATGTTTATTAAGTGTATTTATAAATGTAAAATCTTATAACACTATAAAAATAAAGAATGTTGAATGCATGTGAACAAAAATCAAATATAATTTTAGAGTATATTTTAGAATAAAAAACTTGTGCCAGAATTCCGTCCATGCTATTTTTGAACAGTCCTCTGTCACAATTTGAAAATCGCACCACAAAAATATTGCTGTTATATTTTGCGTGAAACAGATTGTTACTAACATAAAGTTTCCTTCGTTTTGTGCACTATCAATTCCGTGTTTGTGTGAGAATCACGCATCTGGTCGTGTTGAATGAACATTCCTCTGGTAAGTCTATTTTATGTTATTTTAAGTGCTTTAATTGTATTAATTTAACAAAACAATGGATCAGTGTGATAATTTATAGCTGATTCTGTGTTATTAAGTAGTATTTTAAACTATTACGTGGTACGACATTTTTACGTAAAAATAACAGTCCTCTGGCATTTTATTATAACACAGAGGACTGTTTTATGCGACTGTTTTATTTTACGTCCGTGTATTTTAATATTATTCTTAATAGCTTGCACTAATCTACTGTTTGCCTTTTTCTCTCTTAAATTAAACTTTTACGGTAATTTAGATCTTTTCTATGGATTTTGGAATAAAAAATAATACGTATCTAGTAGATTCTATCTAGCTATGTTTTTAACCCAGTAGCTCCCAAACGGATGGACCGATTTGGATGTGGTATTTTAAGATATTGAAAATATATTTTACTCTTGCAGATTTGCCGCAATGCCACCAAAAAAGAAACCTAAAACAAAAGAAGAAATAAAAGAGCAGAAACGAATTGCAGAACGATTAAGATATCAACGGCTAAAAAATGACCCTGAAAAAAGAGAGCAATTGAAGGTAGAAGAACGACGGAACTACCAAATAAAGAAGGAAAAAGGTACAAGAAAGTTAGTTAGAGATATGAGTCGACGTGAACATAAAGCTGCGACTAAGGAATGGAAAAAGCACTGTACTACCTAATCGTGCAAAAAAAAAGCTTTGAAAGAAATTACAAATAATTCTGTACGACAAAATACGCCTGATTCCGAGGATTTGCCTACTCCTCAAAGGCCTGTCTCTCCATCAATACTATCTGTGACTACACCAAGTAATGATGCAAGTAATGCGAGAAAGCGTCATGCTAGACAGAAACGTAACAAAATTATAAAGGATAAAGACATAAAGATCGAGCATTACAGAAAAAAAATCCGAGAAGTATAGAAAGAGATTAGAACGTTTGGAAAAAGCTAAGACAAAAGAAAATGTTGACTCACCTAACACTAAACTACTCAAAATGTGTGATTCGTCGGTAACTCGCAGAAAAGTAGTCAAAAAGGCGCTATTCGGTGAAGTGTTCAATGCCCAGCTGAAAGAAAACTACTCTAATTTAAAAACCTGCAAAGAAAAACAAATATTCGGAAAAGTCGTATCCGGTGAACTAATACACATGTACAAATTATGGCGAAGCAAAGATAGTTCTATATCTTATAAAACAGTTCAGAAGTCGACGCGTCGATCCGTTTTAGTATCCACGCTTCGGACTCGTAAAGACAAAATTTCTTCGGATTGCATAAAGACTGTACGAAGCTTCTATGAAATGATGAGAACAGCAGACTTGGCGCAGGAAAACGAGAATGCCTGACTAGAAAGAGGGTTAAAAAGAAGAAAAGATATCTATTAGATAGCATCGCAAACTTATGCAAGAAGTTTCAAACTGAACATTTTAAAATAAGCTACATAACGTTCTGTCGTCTAACTACTTGTTCACGTTGACTCGCGGGCGCGGTCACGAAATATCAAACGTATGAAGTGATTTCCAAGTGTTCACGTTCAAAACGCATGTGCGGTCTAAGTAGCGAGCTAACTGGCGAATGGCGCGTGCGGCGCGCTCGCGGCAATTTCAAACGCCTGAGACGTTTGTGTGTGTTCATGTCCAACTAGCGGTGGCGCGCGCGATTCACTCGCGACGTCAGGTCAAGTTCAGCCAGTTTGAACTTATCGCTAGAAACGATAGCACGTTTCTATCATGTCGTTCAATACAGAAGAGTTTATTAGTGCTGTTTAGGCTAGAACTCCTATTTGGCAAAGCAAACACAGTTTTAAGGAACCGTGCACCACTAAAAGTCCGACTTTAATATAAAATAATTTATTAATTAATTTACATTACACGAAACAGCATTTACATTATACGGAGCGGCACGCGTCCTAACAATTAGATACTATCGGAATGACTGGTGCACCCGCCGGTCGCCCTGTGGCTTGTTACCGAAACGCGCTGACATAGCCCCTACACAATCATCATATGAACAGAAATGTTCTTAATAAACTAAGGAAGGACTGGAAGGAAGTTGCTGGATTGTTTCCTGATATGGAGGGTGAGAAAATGAAATACATATTATATTATATTATTATGCTGGAAATATGATATATTTGCAGGTATTTTAAACTTTTTATTTCCTGAAGACTACAAAAAATACATAATACAAAGGTGACTACGTGTATATTAAATGATTGTTTTCCCAAAAATATTTCGTGAATAAATTCCGAACTTGTTTAGCCCGATTTGATGGATTGTTGTATCTTCTAGTTCTAGTTTGTCGCCTTTGGTGTCGTGAACTCATTATTACAATCGTAACCGTCTGTATCAATTACAATATTATGCAATAAGCAAGCAGTATTTATATAATCAGGCGTGCATGTTTAACATCAGTTTCAATAGGTTTTAACAAAACTCGCCATTTATTGCATAAAATTCCAAATGCACACTCCACGGTTTTTCTCGCTCTTGACAATCTATTATTAAAATTTTCTCTTTCTTGATTCAATGTTCTCTGTGGGTATGGACGCATTATATATTCTTTAAGAGGATAAGCTTCATCGGCTAATATAACATATGGAGCTGTAATGTTAGAATTAGGTAATGTTCTTGGTTCCGGAATATTAAATGCGCCTCTTTCGAGTAACCGGTTCAGAGACGAGGCATTAAATGTATCGCCGTCGCTTTGCTTTCCTCTACCTCCCACTTCAATAGTTAAAAATCTTTTTCTCGCATCAGCCACGCTTGCAAAACAATAGAGAAATAATGCTTGTAGTTAAAAAATGCCGATCCTGATTTTTTAAGTCGTTTAACCCTACAATGTTTACCGTCCAAACTGCCAATGCAGTTAGGAAAGTGCCACATCTCCCTAAAATCTGAGGCAATATTCATAAGCTGGTCTTCAGATGGCTGTGGCATGTGGACATTCAAATTGTTTTTCCAAATAGCTTCACAGGTACTATAAACAATCTCAGACACAGTACTAACACCCATACAAAAGCTATATGCCAAAGATCGAAATGCCAATCCAATGGAGAGATATCCGAAACATTATAAAAAATATAATTATAAAACTTATATATATTTGCACTAATCATCAACACTAAACAAAATTTAAATAAAACACGGGGAGACATCGTGCCCACGGCTGCTGCAAAGCATCCGAAACGTCGGGCCGAAGTTAAAAATCATTTTCAAATAAGTTTAAACTAATATATCGCGTTTTAAACCGTTAAAGTGTTTTATTTAAATGTGTACTACTCGCGTAAACTATAGACAGTATTTTACTAAACAATATTTCTGATTTTACAGAAATGGCTTTAAGAAAAAAATGGAAGAACACTCGGGACCAATTTATGAAAGAATTTAAGAAAATTCCGGTTTCTCGTTCTGGTGATGCTGGAGCAGATCAAAACACTTCAATGTGGCCGTATTTTAAAATGATGCTGTTCATAAAAGATGATGTTATCCCAGAAATAAATGAAGGCAATTTAGATACTACTACTAGATGATGATGAGCAGTCCTCAACTCCCCAATCCATAGCTGGTGCATCTTCAAGTACACAATATACGAGCACCAAACGTAAATGTGCACAAGATGTAAGACAGGAATTTATGGAATTGGAGAAGAAAAAGTTGGAATTATTACAACTTAAACTGTCACAAAGCAGCAAACAACACGAACAAGATTGCGAAGATCTGTTATTATTTTAAAGTTTGTTGCCGTACATGAAAGAATTATCTCCTATGCAAAAACTACGCGCTAGAAACAATATTACACAAGTTATTATGGACGAAATAAATAGTGGCATGACGCAGTCTCACCATGGATATAATACATACGATTATAACACGACTAATTATAGAAATTTGTTTGAATTTGAATCACTGCAATATGTATGCCGATAAAAAATGATAATTTACTTACTATGAAAAAAAAAAACATTAACTCAACCTTCTAGTTATAAACAGTCTTTCTTCGGGCGGCTTTTATGAATTTTCGGTTAAAAATAAAAGATCGTGGTCCATATTTACAACCTCTGACAATACGTCACACTCGCACTGTTACAACCCCTGCATGTACCCTAAGTCGCTGACGTATCCCAGCATATCCTTTATCCCAAGTCAGCACTTTTGCCAAGCCTCGACACCGTCGCTTCCCCGCCAGTCAGTCCTATTTCCAACTCCGCTCCGAGAATACGTGTTAATTAATATCATAATTTAATCTTATTTCTATATCAATAAATTCATTATTTCAAAAGTGTAATGAATAAATGTTTTTTTAAAAAACATAAACGCAACATTCCGCGTAACAATTGGTGGCAGCGGTGGGATTTTTTATAAATCCTGGAAACCGTCCGAAGTCGTATAAATCCAAAGTGATCTAAATACAAAAGTGCGAAATCCAATAGTGCAAAATCCATACAAAGTGCGAAATCTATGTGAAAGTACGAAATCCATACAAAGTGCGAAATCTATAAAAGTGCAGTTAAAAAGTGCTCAAAATATGCTTAATATTTTAGCGTATTTCATCATACTCCTGAATTAGTAAGTCTTAAAACTAATAACTTCGTGTGTGTTATCAACTTTGTGCCGTGGCGAAAGCAGTTCTTATATTGTAACGTTAACGCTGTGATTAAATGATAGTGAAATAAGTAAGGATTTAGATAAAATTATCTTTTATTGAACTTTTAAATTCGTAGGCAAAATAAATAATGGATTATCAATATTACACATTACCGATATTCGAGCGTATGAGGTACATACCTATCTTAATATCTTTAAATTTTGTTTAGTTGGCTGTAAACAATTCTTGCGACCGTTATGTTTTAGCCAATTTTTTCGAAGTCGTCATTATTACGTTTTTTAGTATCTATTTTAGTTTCAGTTTTTGTTCTTTGATTACTTTAAACTGTTTTAATTAACTTTTTAGTTGGTTTCCTTTTTTGTGTTTGTGTGTTTTGTGACTATTCGTTGTGTATTGGTATCATTTAAAATGCCTACGCCTTATTTGTATAGCGCATGTGAGTACGGCACAATGTTAATGTGCTTGGGAGAAGCTAAGTGTACGGACAAACGTCCGAACAAAATTACTATATTTTTATAATAATATTATTTTATAGCATAGCTAGCATAATTCTCACGTTCAGCGTCGTGCTCACATCAATGTTTTTATTAAAAGCAAATTTACAAGGTTTGCTTAGTAAGCATCCTACTTTCCCACTTTCTTGTAAATTATATTAAAACAATATTGATAGGAAATAAATCAGTTGCACTACAGCACTCATTGGGTTTGGTTATTTCGCCTCCCTCTTAACCTTTAAGCTGTTAACTCTACAGCATAGCATTAGCAATTACAAGCACGTATACTTTTCGGAACTGTTCTCCACTACAGTCTCTGGTACCCGAAACTCGGGAGTATACGCTAAACTGTTATACACTACAGTTTTTGGTGCCGAAACCCGGGAACCACAGCAGTTCCCACAGCAAAACATTCCGGGAACCACAGCAGTTCCCACAGCAAATCATCCCGGGAACCACAGCAGTTCCCGCAGCGAATCATCCCGGGAACCACAGCAGTTCCCACAGCAAATCATCCCGGGAACCACAGCAGTTCCCGCAGCAAATCATCCCGGGAACCACAGCAGTTCCCGCAGCAAATCATCCCGGGAACCACAGCAGTTCCCGCAGCGAATCATCCTAGGAACCACAGCAGTTCCCTCGCGAATCGTCGCAAATAATGTACAGTGCATCCGCGTCGGGTCGCATTAACTAACTCTATTGTGTGTGTTGCGGTATCGTCGGGCGCCGAACAGTAAGGGCACACCGTCTATAGCTGCAGCCACAATCAAGCAAATGGAAAAGCTTCTCCACGTTCCTTCAGGTGCCAGCGCTCCGCTATCAGACGAGGCGGCAAATTATTTAAGTCTACAACGCACCAACTTCAGAGCCTTTACAAGATTGATGAGTAATTTAGACATCGACAACATCTCTGAAGAATGGGAACTGGAATATGAGATACGTAACGTCCAAAATCGTTGGGATACAATCGACTCGCTTCACTTAAAAATTGATCATATACTTCAAGGGTCGAATACATTGTATGAGCAGGAATTTGAACACAATGAAAAATTATACAAGGATACAATCAGGGCTCTCCATCGTCGTCTAGCATCCGGTATACACCAACAGCCATCTACGCCGAACATACAAATTCCTGTTTTCACCGAAAAAAGGTATATCGCATTTGAGCCAGTTTCTCAAGAGAGAGATATGCCGCACCAGAACATTTGCTCTCCACCTAAAATATTTAACATTGAACCAACATACAGAAGAGAATATCAAACTATAGCCACTTGTGCTCCAAAGTGTCTATTATGTTATCAAGAGCATTATCTACACTTCTGCCCAAGATTTGAAATATTATCTCCCCACGACAGGATGAAGACCGTATTGAAATTTAAAGTTTGTAAAAACTGTCTTTACCAACACAGCGAAGCTTGTACATCTCTTGAACGGTGCCAGATTTGTCAACGCGACCACCATACACTGCTACATGAGCCATGTACTAGTATAGTGATTCCAACAGTCATCAAGTCATCATCACCCTCTTCATCAACCATAACGGAATCCGAAGCTATCCAAAACAAGAATAATAACTCAGAACTACAATTACCTGAAGAGGAAAGGACTTGTGAAGTCTTATATCAAAAAACAGAAGCGCGCTTACATGAAGTCACGATTTCTATGAAAACTGATTTTGAGCAAAAACTAGGAACCTCTAAAAATCGCACAACTGCGCAGTTTTACAATTTGAAACAAAGGATGCAATCGAATGAAAAAATTGCAGAAGATTTAGGACTTTGTAAAATAACTGAAAAACAAATTTCCTATAATCTTCCGCCTCACGATGTCTTGAAAACTGATTCCAAAACAAAGAGACTTAGAACCGTTTTCAAAGCGTCCGCAAGGACCAGGACCACGCAAGGTGTTATAATTGCTCGGCGCCAGTGTCGGGTCGTGATAACGGCTGATATTGGAAGGATGTTCCGGCAACTAATTAACCGAAAATGCGCACGAGCTCCGCAGCGCATAGTATGGCGCCCGTCACACGCACATACATTCAAGGAACGTCATCTCACCACTATGGCCTATGGAACCAAGGCAGCTCCTTATCTCGTTATGCAAACTCTAAAGCAACTGGCAATTCACGATGACTATCGATTTCCCGTGGCTGCAGCTTGCACTACATCTGCTGCCTTTTACACCATCAGCTCGAGAGTGCCCCGTTACACACGGGTGTCTGCAGCCCCTCCGTGGTTGCCGGCGGACCCTGTGCCCCCGGTGAAGCCACTATTACATAGTGAAAGTGCAAGTGATAGTGCATTTTAGAACATAAATATTCTATAATCGGTACAAGTGAACGAAGTGTATTGTCTATCATTTCGATTAGGGACTTATCTTTAAGTGCACAAGTTTTACTTAAAATCTATATTTAATTTGTATATCATGTTAACATCAACTTGAAGTTTGAACTCTTTCAGTAGTTCAAAATATTCTTTAAACAACTAGTAATACTTATCTAGTTTACGTCACCTACTATTGCAGTAGTAACATTTTTAGTCTTTACAACGACATTCAGTCAGTTACATTTCTTATTTTGAGTTTATTTCCTATTTTCAATGTTAGCTAGCTCTTTTTCTTTTTTTCTGAGGCGGCAGGATGTACGGACAAACGTCCGAACAAAATTACTATATTTTTATAATAATATTATTTTATAGCATAGCTAGCATAATTCTCACGTTCAGCGTCGTGCTCACATCAATGTTTTTATTAAAAGCAAATTTACAAGGTTTGCTTAGTAAGCATCCTACTTTCCCACTTTCTTGTAAATTATATTAAAACAATATTGATAGGAAATAAATCAGTTGCACTACAGCACTCATTGGGTTTGGTTATTTCGCCTCCCTCTTAACCTTTAAGCTGTTAACTCTACAGCATAGCATTAGCAATTACAAGCACGTATACTTTTCGGAACTGTTCTCCACTACAGTCTCTGGTACCCGAAACTCGGGAGTATACGCTAAACTGTTATACACTACACTAAGGGTAATGCGTCAGAGGCGTTGAGAATTTACCGGAGTAGGTATCCTCACCCTCGCCACCCCGGACTCTCGCATGATTACGCAAGCATATCAGCGTGTGCGGAGAATAGGGCTATTGCACCTTCCGCCTCTGGCGGTGGCCGCCAGCTGGACGTGCGCACGGAGGAGCGTGTCTTGGATGTGCTACGCCGGGAACCTCGTCTTGGTACTCGCAGTGTGGCTAAAAGGCTAGGACTTCGGCACGGCAGGCCAATCGTTTCGCATTCTAAAGTACATGCAATTTTAAAACGGAACAGAATGCGTCCGTATAAAATACACCGTGTACAGGCCTTGCTTCCCGTTGATCGTGTTCGAAGGACGGAGTTTTGCCGATGGCTGATCCAGCAGGACGTATCGTCCCCTGGATTTTTGGAGCGTGTTATTTGAACTGACGAGTCCACATTCACAAGGAATGGAATGTGGAAGCGTCGAAACGAACACTTTTGGTCAGAGACCAATCCGCGATTTTCCCAAGAAACTGGACACCAGACACGTTGGTCTGTAAAGGTATGGGGCGGCGTTTATAAAAACTTAACACTGGGGCCTATTTTTTTTTTACTATCACGCATGGCCGGTGTGTCGTACCTACATTTTATAAATAACGAACTGTTGGACATACTGGACGACATACCGCTGGCCGACTATCCGCGCGTATGGTTTCAGCAAGATGGTGCACCTCCACACGTGTCTCGTCCTGTTCGCCAGCGCCTGGGCGAACTGTTTGGCGATCGCTGGATTAGACGAATGGGACCCCATGCATGAACTGCATGATCCCCTGATCTAACCCTAGTCGACTTTGTCTCTGGGTTTTATTAAAGAAAGAGTTTTGACCGCCTTTGTGATAGTGCTCAACTTATGAAGGAGCGGATATGAGACGTATTCGGAAAATTACGCGAACAGTGTCGTGAGGATCCCACTTTTACGTCTCGTATTTATCAAGAAACAAAAAGACGTGCAGATATATGCATCGAGATGCAAGGCGCGCCATTTGAGCCACATCTAAATTTTAATAGAGTTTTTGTGTCATTTATTCTAGCATTACTACTTTACTCATAAGTCGCTAATTTATGGAGGGACTGTATAGTCCGCGTGGGCTTGCGAGTTACGTCAGAGCCGGTCGCGTAGTGGGGAGACTGCTTTGATAAAATCGCACACGGGGCACCAGCAGGTAGTTCTACTCGAGCCGAGCTCGAGTACTGTCTCTAGTGGCTTCAGTTGATCGTTATAATCAATCTCAACTACAAGCTAGGACAGAACAATATATCAGCGATCCATTCGAAATGCCTAATGTTTTGTTTATCAAAACATATAGGTTAACAAAGCCAATGGTACAAAATTTAATTAGAACATTAAGTCCTGTTATTCCTAAATTGCAGAGAAGAGATGCAATCGTCAAAACTCTTTTCTCATTAGAGCTAGCAGGGATTTTAATAAAATCTCGCGATCAAATGACGAAGTTGACTTGTTCGGCACCAGCATTCCTAAGCTAAAAAAGATTCTGAATAACGAGTTCTTTGATGGGTGAATAGTGGTAAATATATACGTAAGTGGTAAATATATACCTACGTATAAGAAAAAAATAAAATAATAAAAGTTGTCTGTCGTCTTTAGTTTTAATAATTGTATATTACACGTAAAAACTTGTAATTGGCCTTCCTGTACCTATTTAATGTTTGTATTTTCATTCGTAGTAGCCGTAAGTTTTTTGTAAAAGAATAAAATAAAAATAAAATAAATAAATAAATAAAGCAAATACCACTGTGTAAGTCAATCCACCATATCGAGGGCAATAAGACAAGTTACTAAGGCTTTAAATAATCTCAACATATTTGAATCTTTTGTTAAATTTCCCTCTACAAGAGAAGAACGTGATGTCATCAAACGAAGGTAAATATACGACTAACCATACATACAAATACTTTTGCGTATTCGTTTGTCTTCTATTATGATTAACAAAAAATATAGATTTTACAGAAAATTTAAATTGCCTGGAGTACTAGGGTGCATTGATGGCAGTCATGTCGCAATCATAAAGCCAAATCAACATGAAGAGAGATATTTTAATAGAAAAGGATATCACTCTATTAATGTAATGGTTGTATGTGTATCCATTATTATTTCATTACTATTTATGACTATTATTTTTCATGTCATTTAATACTATTACATATGTGATGCCGACTTGAATATTATAAGTATGTATTGACCCAAGCAAGCCTGGAGCAACTCATGATTCCACAGCATGGCGCGATCACCCTTTGCAAAGATACCTTAACCAAGTTTTATTATTCATAAACTTAATGATCTCAATACATGATAGAACGGCACTTAGCAACATTCGGATTTAGCATTTTGTATTCAATTCCCTTCATTTTTAACAAGAGGTAAATTGTTGATAGGTGACAGCGGTTATTCTGTACGAAAAACACTTATGACACCCATACTCAATACGGAGCCAGGTTCACCTGAAGAACATTATTATAAACTGCATATGACAGCTCGCAATAGGGTATAATCGCCAAATTTTGTCCCCATCGGTTTCTTTTATTTCTAAGTAATGCCATCTAGTTTTAATAGTTGAAATCTAAAGTTACTTACGTCAGTCGGCCATTGTAAAACTTTGGCGGTGGAATATAGCTCCTGTCTTGAGATATTTAAATAAGATAAAACTGTTCAAGTTCGACTTACGATGAAAGGCAAGAAAGCATTTCACAAATTATCGTCTGCTGAAAGGGGAGCCTTAATCACTATTGTGACTTGTATGTCAGCTTCAGGTCAATTCATTCCTCCATTAATGATGTTTCCAAGAAAAAATATGAAAGCCGAACTACTTAATGGAGCACCTCCAGGCACCATTGGTGGATGTCATCCGTCGGGGTGGATTCAGCCTAATTTATTCACCCCCCCTTCAAAGGCCCCCCGCAAATTCCGGGCCCCCCCAAAAATTTCCCCCCCCCCCCCCCTAGCTACCTTTCCAATCGCTCGGTCACAATACATTTAGGGAATACTACTCTTAGGTTGCATTCAGGGTTCCGCATGTGGCCCCATTCTGTGGAACATCATCATTAACGACCTCCTCAACAACATCGCTCTACCGTCAGGATGCGCAATACAAGCCTACGCCGATGACGTCCTTCTGATTGCATCGGCAAAGGATCTACCAACTCTAGAATACGCCGTTAATACAGCACTCGAGAATATTCGCCTATGGGGAAATAGCGTAAAATTACACTTCGGTCCCACTAAAACGCAATGTACCTCACTTTACACAAAAATCCACACAGGCTAAAATTTTATTTGACAATACTCCCATTCGTTTTTTCAATAATCATTTCAAATTACTAGGCCTTATCATTGACAGCAAACTCAACTTCAACGAGCATATATCATACATAACGAACAAAGCTTTAAAAATTTTCCAGAAAATACAAATATACACCAGACCCACCTGGGGGCCCCACCCGGAAAATATCAGAATAATTTACAATAAAGTGATCCAACCAATAATAACTTACGCCGCTAATATATGGGGTCACGTAGCATCCAAAACAACCGTCAAAAATAAATTAATCAGCTTACAACGTAACTTCGCGATTAAAGCCATCCGTGGGTTCCGAACCATTTCCGCCAACGCTGCCATTGCCCTAGCTCGTTTCACACCCTTAGATCTCAAAGTTTTAGAAACCCACGAAATAGACACAACCCGTATCAATCGTACTTCAAAAAAAATCCCTAACAATATCCCCCCCAAAAAACCCGAAAACTTTTCAAACTTCCCCCCCCCCCCCGAAAATTTTTCAAACCCCCCCCCCCCCCCCAAAAAAAAAAAAAAAAAAAAAAAAAAAAAAAAAAAAAAAAAAAAATTTTGGGTTTGGCCCCCCAAACCCCCCCCCCCCACCCCCCCCCCCCCCCCCCCCCCCCCCCCCCCCCACCCCCCCCCCCCCCCCCCCCCCCCGCGGGGGGGGGGGCCCCCCCCCCCCCCCCGCCCCCCCCCCCCCCCCCCCCCCCCCCCCCCCCCCAAAAAAAAAAAAAAACAAACCCCCCCCCCCCCCCCCCCCCCCCCCCAGGGGGCCCCCGGGGAAAAAAAGAAACCCCCCCCCCCCCCCCCCCCCCCCCCCCCCGGGCCCCCCCCGCCCCCCCCCCCCCCCCCCCCCCCCCCCCCCCCCCCCCCCCCCCCCCCCCCCCCCCCCCCCCCCCCCCCCCCCCCCCCCCCCCCACCCCCCCCCCCCCCCCCCCCCCCCCCCCCCCCCCCCCCCCCCCCCCCCCACCCACAAAAAAAAATGCTTTGGGCCCCCCCCCCCCCCCCCCCCCCCCCCCCCCCCCCCCCCCCCCCCCCCCCCCCCCCCCCTCCCCCCCCCGGGCGGCCCCCCCCCCCCCCCCCCCCCCCCCCCCCCCCCCCCCCCCCCCCCCCCCCCCCCCCCCCCCCCCCCCCCCCGGGGAAAAAAAAAAAAGGGAAAAAATCCCCACCCCCCCCCCCCCCCCCCCCCCCCCCCCCCCCCCCCCCCCCCCCCCCCCCCCCCCCCCCCCCCCCCCCCCCCCCCCCCCCCCCCCCCCCCCCCCCCCCCCCCCCCCCCCCCCCCCCCCCCCCCCCCCCCCCCCGGGGGGGGGGGTTTTGTTTTTCCCCCCCCCCCCCCCCCCCCCCCCCCCCCGGGGGGGGGCCCCCCCCCCCCCCCCCCCCCCCCCCCCCCCCCCGGGGGATATTTATTAAAAAAAAAAAAAAAAAAAAAACCCCCCCCCCCCTTTTTTTTTCCCCCCCCCCCCCCCCCCCCCCCCCCCCCCCCCCCCCCCCCCCCCCCCCCCTTTTTTTTTCCTTTTTTTTTTTTGGGGCCCCGGGGGCCCGGGGGGCCCCCCCCCCCCCCCCCCCCCCCCCCCCCCCCCCCCCCCCCCCCCCCCCCCCCCATTCCTGTCTCTCGCTAATCGGTTCCATACTGGGCCAGCTATCTTCCGTATGTCATCTTCCCATCGTTTGATTTGTCTGCCTCTCTTTCTTTTACCATCTCTTGGATACCACTCTGTTATTAACCTACTCCATTTTTCTATTTTTTCTCTGAACATATGTCCTGTCCAACGCCATTTAAGCAGTCTGTAGGCTTTGTGTGCATTTAGTCTTTTCCTTAATTATTTGCAATTTTACTCTATCTCTCCTCTTTATACCCAAGATGCTTCTTTCCATTGAGTTCTGGCAGACTTGCAGCTTTTTTTCTTGTAACTCTGTTAAAGCCCATGTCTGACATCCGTATAGCAAGCATGGTATAATGCATACTTCGAATACTTTCTTCTTAGCTGTCATTGGCATATCTTTATCCTTAAATATTTCCTTCATAGACCAAAACTTTTTCCAAGTATTATTTATTCTTCGTTCTATTTCCTTATTCATGCTGCCGTCTATAGATATGAGTTGGCCCAGATATATAAACTCCTTTACAAATTCTACTTCTTCGTTATTTACTATGAACAGTTCGTTGGGTACTATTTGTTGAGAATTCGTCATTATTTTGGTTTTTGTTAGGTTCATTGTTAAGCCGGCCTTAATGCTTTCGCAGGATAGTTGCTGTAACATTATTTCCAGAGTTCTGGCGTCTTCTGAAAATATAATCAAATCGTCAGCGAAGCGTAGGTGATTGAGATATTCGCCATTTATGTTGAGGCCATTTTTCCAGTTCAGATTTCTGAAAATCATTTCTAGCAATGCTGAAAATATTCTAGGTGATATAGGATCTCCTTGACGTACACCTCTATTAATAGGAAATTTACTACCTGTAGATTCAAGTTTAACCTTTGCTGTACTTGCTTTGTATACATTTTTAATTATTCGTATGTATTTTTCTTGAACCCCTTGTCTATTTAGAGCGTCCCATATATAATCATGTTCCAAAGTATCGAATGCTTTGCTGAAGTCTACAAACCCTATGTAATATGATTTGTTGTATTCACTATACTTTTGTAGAATTTGTCTGAGAGTGTGAATATGATCTATAGTTGAGAATTTGCTTCGGAAACCAGCTTGTTCCTTAGGTTGATTGTCTTCCAGTGTATTGGATATTCTGTTTAATATGATTTTTGAAAATACTTTATAAATATTAGATACTAGCTGACCCGCACCCACTTCGTTGGGTGGTAAACAGCCCATGTCACTGTCCATCCTTTTATTTAACTATCTCTAACTTAAATAACTGGTACCTTACTCATAGATCTAAACTCCCCTCCCGCACTCGCACCCCCGCCTTGGTGACGCCCACTTCGCAACGCAGAAATAGTAATATTTTAATTTCGCCATAACTTCAAAACCAAACGTCCAATTTTAATCTTTTAAATACCAAATATTATCTACATAAACTGTACTTAGTGATGAAATAATTTATTTTGATAAGGATTAATAGCATGAGTAAAATAAATGCGTTTAAATGTAGTCCAAAAAAAAAATTTAGATTTTTAAATAAAAAAATGGTTGTTGTGCCTCACTCGACATAGATAGGTATAGTGTGTCGCGGACTTTTTTGTAGATATTTATAAGATCTCCAATTAATTAGAACATTTTATGCTTCTATCTTTTATAGTTTAGGCAGCGTACGCAAAATAAGTAACTTTTCTGGTTGATTTTTTACACTTTGTGTCCGAAAAACCCAAATATTTTAAGGAACCCTCTTTTTTTCCAAAATAAAATTTTGCCTATGTTACTCGTGGATAATGTAGCTTTCGAATGGTGAAAGAATTTTTAAAAACGGTCCAGTAGTTTTTGAGCCTATTCATTACAACCAAACAAACAAAGTTTTCCTCTTTATAATATTAGTGTCGATTAAACTGATCGGTCTATAGTTTCCTATATTGTCCTTGTCACCCTTCTTATGCAGCAGTACGATTGTCGATTTGGTCCAATCCTCTGGGATGACTTCCGTTTCAAGGATTTCATTAAACAAGTCTGTAAGTTTAGGAGCCATTACGGGTAACGTTGTTTTTAATAATTCGTTAGTAATTAGATCTGATCCAGGTGATTTATCTAGTTTTTGGGATTCGATAGATTTTATAGTTTCTTTCTTTAGAATCGGCAAAACCGCTTCTTTATTTACTGGGTTATATATCTCTGTTACTTGTTCGCCTTTACCACTTTGGTATAATTTCTTATAATAATCTGTTGCTACTTCTAGTATTTCTGATCGATTGCTGGTCTTTTCCTTGTCTCTTTTTCTCATATTAGAAATCCAATCCTTTTTATAGTTTAATTCCTTTATCGCCTTCCTTATTCCTCCTGTCTTTTCTATATGTTTTTTTAATGTTTGTGTGAGTGAGAAGATTTGGAGAAAAAATAGACCATTATTTTTTTCTCCAAATCTTCTCACTTCACTAATTCCAACTATATCCCATTTTATTTCATCCAATGCTCATTCCAGTTCTTGTAATTTTTCTGTTGTTCTTAGCGAACGACAATTTAAAGTAGCTATATATATATCGTTACGTTGTTTTCTCTTCTTTTTGTTTGCTATATTTAGAGGGTCTTGGTCGTATTCCCCCACGAGGACCAGTCGGCTTGGGAGAGTTTGGTTATAACTATATAATTGTTTTTTTGTATAACGTAGTTGTTTTCCGGTTTTCCGGTTGCCGATAGCTAATTGTTATTGCCTATCATTATCCGCTGTAAAGGAAGACAGAGAATTGGCTCTGGCTCTCATTACATCAAAAGCGTTACGCCTATTTTGTGAAGGCGTCCAGGTTTGTTTCTTAATTGTTGTATTATCTTGGGGTGATGAAGATACTTCTCTTTTTCTTTTTTCCTTAGTCGTATTATTTTCCTTTACCACAAGCTTATCGTACTTCAAATATGCAAAATTTCCTTTAATTCTTTCTTCTTTCAGTCTAGTTTGTAACAATTTTCTCTTTTCCAAAACTTCTTTTGTATACGTTATACGTTATAAGTTGTAAATATATATATTTTATGGCAATAAACGTTTTGAATTTGAATTTGAATTTATAATCTTCTGTGATATAAATATCTTTTAGATTCTTTCGGACCTTCATGACCTCATTTTTCTTCCATGCATTAACAAAGGAAAGCAGAACGGGTCTCGGTTTTACACCTGGGGTTCTCTTTCCGATCCGATAAATATTATTTATTTCAAAATCCTCTATATTTATATTTATATCTTTATCGAATATGTTTTTCGCCTTTTGAATTAGCTCCGATGTCGATTCTTCTCCCTCTTTTAAACCAAAAAAAATAATGTTGTTTTGCTTTCTATCCCTTTTAAGATGCTCAACCTCGTCCTTAAGTTCAGTTATCTTAAATTTTAAATTTTTGTTTTCTTCTATAATAGGTTTTATTTTTTCTTCAATTTTCTCCATTATTGAATTAGTTATGGACTCTTTTAGCTCAATAGTCTGTTTCTGCATTTCGATTTTCATTTTTTCAAACGAATTTTGAAATTGATCCTCCATTTTTATTTTTAATATTAATTTATTTGTAAAATAGAACGCAGCCGTAGAGAGGTTATTTCAAACTGGCAACATCGTTTCAACGAACGTCACTGATGATGACGACCTGACAGTAATATTTGACACATGATATACCTGTCACAGCTCTGTGTAAACATTTTCTAACGGTAATCCGGTAAAAGTTGGATCTTACTTTGTTATGAATTGTTCTATTTCCACATTAATTACGCCTGAGTCAGTATTTCCGAAAATCCACAGCACTTATACTTCTGTTTTTCAATATTCACTGTGTCTGGTAAGCCGTAAATGATTTTTAATTTCAATTAGTTCGGAGACTATGCTTCGAGTATGTTTACGTTTTGAGCACCGGAACCGATACATACAATCAAATTAATCACTCCGCGTATCACCGCATTTACACAGACGGTAGCAAACACGAGAACGGCTCTACAGGCGCTTCTTTTGTGGTATACCGCCCCCTTGAACGCACACACAAAACACGTCAAACTTCACCACACCAGCTCTGTATTTCAAGCAGAGCTTGTCGCTATCAAACACAACAAAAACATCATCCACACAGACTCACTCTCCTCAATCTCTGCCCTCAAACAGAGCAACAACACACACCCCACCGTGACAGACATACACAAAACACTTCACCAAATCCATTCCACTCACACTCACAACAATATACTCTTCAGCTGGGTGAAGGGGCACTCGGGTGTCGAGGGGAATGAAGCAGCAGATAAAGCCGCTAATAAGGCCGCAAGCGCTCATAAAGCACCAGATTTCATTTCATGCCCCATTTCTTACATCAAGAAAATGATCAAAGATGAAACATCAGTAACTTCCCAAACTAGATATTCTAACGAAAGTAAAGGGGCCCACACCAAAAATATATTCTTTCTTCTCACCGACATTGATACGTTCTTTAAAGCCATTCCCGTTTCGTTCCAAATGACGCAATTCCTAACAGCCCACTCTTATGCAAAACATTGCTTACACCGATTCCACATTTCCGACGACCCCTTCTGTCCTTGCGACAATACCTCCAAAGAGCTATTTAGCTCTTGAAAGAGGGCTAAATTTAAGTTCTGACATCTCAAGATAGGAACAGGAAAATAGGAAACCTAAATTAGATTTACTGGAAGGTCAAACTGTTCAAAGAGGTCTGATTAATCGGCTATGGCAACAAAGAGAAACCTAATTATGTTTGCAGCCATTTTTTTATATAAAAAATGTATATATTAAAAACTTTATTATACTTATTAGACTTTTATTAGCTATCTATACTAATTTAAAAAGCTGAAAAGAACGACGAAATGGGACGCGACCCACTTCGTGGGTAACAGCTTAGGTTTATAAAGGTGAAGGGATTTGCAAAAACGAATTTGGATGTCCAAAATAAATATTCTTAGCCGGACGAAGTCGTTGGCACAGCTAGTTTATTATAAATCTTCATCATTGCTTGAATCGTTATCAATCCGGATCTAAAAACAGAAAAGAATGTTATTTATTAAGTTCAATGTAATTGTATAAACTGGTGCACGAATTTTAATGTGATAAATACACTTTTTCTATAAATATGTGTTGTTAATTTCTCTATAGAATCTGCGATTCTAGCGTTCGCTTCGGCCGATTTTGCCGTTGCTTCAGCCATAAATTTAATTAAGATTTTTTATGTAATAAAATCACGCCGACTAACCTTCTCTTTCCCAAGAACTCCTGTTGAAAATCCTCCTATCGACTTACCAAATATCCTAGAATCTCCCGTTGAATCTAACAGCCTTCCCGATTCCGCAAATCCTATAATAAATAAACCCGAACACATTCCATGTCCCAGTATTAGACGAAACCTATGAAATCCATTTCCTCTAAACTTCATTTATTATCCTCCCTGAAGTTTAGTCTTACGGAGGGAGGTGTTATATCCCGCTTCAGTTAGTAGAATCCCTTACGTGGCGAATCCCGTCCTTTTATCAACAATAGTTCCTAGGTAGTATAATTATTCATTTCACGTCCTCAGTCTTCTCCCAACTTCAAATCCGAAAGGTTGTCGGCCTCATCGAATAAGTTAATAATCAAAGTGGTTAATAAGTGAATCACTAGTTTTATTAGTAAATCAATTTTAAAAAAAGGGAAAACAAATTCCCATATAACAGTTCTATATAGATTATAATAGATAGATATAGATTATAAGCATAAGGATATATAATTGTAAATAAGTAAACCAGGTCCCTTCTGACCGAGGAAGGGGAGACCCCGTCGTCCTTAGCTGTTTAAGCACTATGGACAAAATTATATATAAAAAAAAAATAGGAAGTCAAAAATCGTGATCCAAGTGTATTCTTTGTAAACAAGAGCAAGAATAATAAGCAACTGTCCCAACCGAATAAACCAACAAAAGGGCCAAGATGTTATAAAAAACAACAAGAAGCAATCTGATAACTCTTTTGTAGCTGTTTTCTCAGCCACAAACAACAACAATTCCGGGTGGTATGTGGATTCAGGTGCGGGGATGCATATGACAATGAATAAGGATTGGATTTATGATGAAACTCGACCACCAATCAAGACCATCCGAGTAGCCAACAACAAAGAACTGCGAGTTGAGTCCTGTGGTAAGGTGAACATTCTTGTAAAAAGTAAGAATGGATCTACAAACAGTATACAGGTAAAAAATGTCCTTTATGTACCTGAGTTATCAACCAATCTTCTCTCAGTCAGTAACATCATCAATAATAAAGGTAATATAAAGTTTAACAGTAAAGGTTGTTATCTGTATAACAAAGATAATGTTGAAGTAGCAATGGCAACACTTGTTAATAATATGTACAAGCTGAATGTTGTCTCAGTCTAAGCTTTTTTGTCAACAATGATGATTGTTATCTTTGTCATCAGAGACATCATCTGAACTACGATGACATGAAGAAGCTGAAACATCACACTGATGGTGTGAAAATACCTCAGAACAGTGAACTGACCTGCGTGCCATGCATTAAAGGGAAACAGGCAAGGTCACCATCCATCATGTGAAGGTTCCAGAGCAAATCAACTGCTAGAAATCATTCACTCCGACATATGTGGACCTATGGAGGTAAATTCCCTCGGAAATGCAAGGTGTGTCTTTACTATAAAATCAAAGTCATATGAAAATGCACTTTCCTCTGAAGACTCTGAATTGTAGATTAAGTCAATTAAAGAAGAATTGAAGGCACAATTGTTCCATATTGACGAGCCATTAAAAATGAGTCAGACAAGAAATGCAAACTCGGTTCCCGAACTAGAATATTTATGGAATAAGTAAGTGACTGAATATTGATACTAAACAAGATAGCTCATTTACAGCTGTCTGTATGTATAAATATAGGTATATATTTTTAAGTTTACAAATACATATATAGGTTCAGTCAGTTGTATCTAATAACATTTCATTTTTGTGTACATCTTAACTTAAACATGCTATGTCAACTACTGAAAATAACAAGTGTCAACTACTAAGTTACTACCTTCATTTTATTAAAAAATATATAAAAAAACGCATCAGTTTTATTTAGACAATTCTTGTCATATTCTGAAAGTGTAATAATTTGCGCAACTATTACCAAATAGAAACTCCCTGTAAGATGATTTCATACCAAACTATGTCTATAGACCTACTAATAAACCCTTAAGGTGGCATAATGGATACCTTACCTTAAGGTGCTTGAAATTGAAAACACTAAAAACGAGACATCTGACACTATTACTGAACTAATAATAATACAGCTTCGCCGGCATGATCTCTTGTCTAAATGTATTGCTTTTAGTGGAGATAATTGCAATACAAACTTCGGTGGGATAGAAAGATACGGAACAAATTTTTCTTCTGTTTTTTACTGTTTTCTCTGCATCTTCAGTTACACCCAAAATTTCAAAAAAAAAGAAGTCGCAATATTGAATGTAATTCAGCGTCACAAACTTAATGAAATATTTATTAAATCACAACAAAATCAAAAAAGAAGATGAGATAGATACATTTTTAAGAGCATTGTGGCAACGGTTAAAAATTTTCTGAATATAACCAAGCTGTTATGAAAAGTAAAATATATAACGCAGTTTCGGAAATGGAATAAAAGAAATCGCAGAGAAACAAAGCTATTATAGTTATCGCAACCCTTACATTCCCCAAAGAGAAGATGACATACCTCGAGGTTATACCACTCTAAATAACATTAGCCACGAGATACAATCAACATCTGGCGCTTCAAACATTGAGAATTTTAATATTTCAAACTTAGAAGAAAGTGGCGCGTCAAATGCTGACGATCTTAATACTTTAAACAATCCTTAATTTATATAATGATTGTATTTTTGTTGTTGCGCTATTTTTTGTTTAATTGCCATATTTTTTTGATTTAATAATATATTTTTGAATGATAAAAAAAGATGTGATTTATGGTTAATTTTTTTTTTACCTAAACTACATAAAAGTTGACTAACATACCTTACGCACACACACAAAATATATACACATATACACCAGACATAACACGTACACCCCGTGTGCACACCTGCAGGCCGATTCTACTAATTCAATGAAGCGAAACTGCCGTTTATCGAGGTATTTGAAAATAGTCCAAAAGTAAGTATATAATTTGTTTAGAGCCACAGAATTATTATTTTATGATAAATCTTAGTTAACTAATTCCTATAACAAATATTTTCAGTAATGAGTCAAAGAAAAAAAGTAAGTATTCGCCAATTGGAACTCTTAATAGAATTCTTAGAAAAACACACAGACTTAGCCCGAGGCCGTTTGAAATCAAAGGAAGGACACGCGGTTTCAAATCGGCGTTGAGCAGAATGTGCCGAAAATTTAAATGAGGAGATAGATGGAGATGAACGCTCTCCTAAACAATGGACCAAGGTAAATAATCCCATTAATTATATTGTATTTGATTCATTAGAACTCAATTCTTTTCTTACTATCTAACTAATTTTTATATTTGCAGTGGTCTACAGACTACAAATGTAGGCTAATCAATAGATTTCGAAAATTAAAAACTTACCAAACTGGGACTGGTGGAGGACCAGCCACAGCAGACCAACTATCTCCCTTAGAGGACCGCTTGGTTTCTCTTTTGGAGGCTAGAAGGGAAGCTGTTGGCCTTGACGGTACTCCCCAGTCTGAAGTACAGATAAACCCAGTACCAGTAAGTTATGTTTCAAAAAAAATTTAATAATGGCTTTGTGGTGTTTTTGCTTCATTCATCGCTTTCTGTGTTTTGCTAGCTTGAATGTCAACTCTCTTTGGAACTCTCCCAAGTGACAACAGACCAATTGCATGATGACCATCATATATCAAACATGGTTATGTAAGCCATGCTACTGACTTATCATCATCTAATTATTTAGCAATTTCATTTTAAATAATGTTTCTTTGATCAAAATGTAGTGTATGCATGAACTCCATTAATATTTATATTTTTCCATTTTAGCTGTGAAGAGCAAGTTAATAATGAAGGGTTAGTATTAACAACATTTTACATTTTGAAAAATATATTTAGATGATAAAATTTAATATTTCCTATTATTTTAGAAGTCAAGAGGAACCAAACCAAGCGCCAAGTCTTCCTAGGTCTCGCCGTAATTCTGGGATCCATCGTAAGCGTACTCGTCACAATCGAGGTACAAAATCAGTACAAGGTGTTAGCACAGTACTGTGTTCTCAAATAAATTAATATAGGGGAAGGGGGCTCAAAACGGGTACCCTGTCCAAATCGGATCGGCACATTTGTAAACGCGCACAAAGATTTATAGCAAATGTGTGAATGTGACGAAAACACCCGAACGCGTACCGACGGGAGTCACTTGGATCGAAACGCCGGCGTCCGCGTAGCGTGGTTTAGAAAATATCAATAGGTGTTGTTTTTTGTTGGATTTATTAAAAAATATCAAGGTATGTGAATGTTAATTATTCAATTGTGATTTGTGCTGCATATAATTGAGTTTCTGTGTGTCAATATGCATGAATACAGCTTATAAATGATCAAAATAAGAGTACATTTGGAAATCAAAATTTGAGGTTATGTTGTTTAATATCAAAATATCGACTAAAGTACAAAGAGGGTAGCGGTAAAGCGGGTACCCGCTTTGTCCTTACCCGCTTTAGACATCAATTAGTAATTCTAGAAATTATTTTACGAATGCCAATTCGTGTTCATTAAAGATTTTTTATTCTACCAATATAAACATATGAAATATGTATATGGTATTCTATTGTATTGCGATTCTATGCCGCTTCACTAATCACTTATTCAATATATATTTTTTTGCAAAGTCTCAATTTTGTAGATGTTAATTTGTTTAAACTTAGTAATTAACATAGATTTATTAACTTAACTTAGATGGGTCAAAGGTACAAGAGGAAAACACGACAAGCGTCATGGGATGTTTCAGCAATGAAAGCTGCCATGGAGAATGCGAAGAAAACATCTTTTAGGAGCGCTGCTATAAAATATAGTATAAATTTGTCGACGTTACAAAGACATATAAAAAAAACTCAGCGGAAAAGACTCTCGGCAGGTTTCGTAGCGTGTTCACAGGACAGCAAGAGACTGAATGACTTGAATATGTATTTCACATGGACAGCTTGTTTTATGGTCTTACCAGACAAGAATTTTGCAGTTTGGTTTATCAATACGCAGAAGCCAATAAAATTCCTCATCCATTTAAGAACAACATCGCTGGCGATGACTGGTACAAATCTTTTCGAAAAAGACATCCTGACCTCTGCTTAAGACAACCCGAACCAACATCAGTAGCTCGCGCCCGAGGATTTAACAGACCACAAGTTGAGAGATTTTTCGATCTTCTAGAAGACCAGATTGACAAAAACCAAGTGGATGTTACGAGGATTTATAATGTCGACGAGACGGGCATCCAAACTACCAGCAATAAACCTCCAAAAGTTCTAACAAAAACAGGGCAAAAAAAAAGGCAAGTTGGAGTCATCTCGAGTGTTGAACGAGGTAAATTAACAACCGTCGTATGTTGCTGCAATGCAGCGGGCTCCTTTATACCTCCGTTTATGATTTTTGGACGTAAGCGTATGAATTTCCGACTGTTGGATGGATCACCGCCAGGCACTGTAGCCACATGCACCGACAACGGATGGATTTCTGGCCCAACATTTCTAGAGTGGCTGCGGCATTTTGTTGCAGTGACACGACCGACAAAAGAAAAAAAAGTTATTCTGGTCATGGACAATCATGTGTCCCATAAATATTTGCCGGTCCTAGAATATGCCAGTGAAAATAACGTGATATTCATTTCATTGGCTCCTCATACCACTCACCGGACTCAACCACTAGATAGATGTATCTACGGACCATTGAAAACCTATTTCGAGCAGGCAGTTTCTGTTTTCCAGCGTGGCCATGTTGGGCGCATAATCTCGCAATTTGACGTAGCAAAGTTATTTGGGGAAGCATATTTGAAAGCAGCTAGCCCTCAAAATGCTGTAAGAGGCTTTGAGTCGACCGGCATATGGCCAACAAATCGGCATATATTCAGTGATGCTGACTACTTACCATCAGCAATGACAGATAGACCGCTAAAATCAAACTCACCAATTATACCTACACTTGCTACCTACGAAGATATTCCAGATTCCTCTACTAACCCATTGACACACACAACAGTGGCTCAACTAAACGACGTCATTGCCTCTGCCAGGGTCGCTGAAGCTGCTAATATACACGAAGAATCGGAATGCGATTTACCTATAGAATATACAGACTTTTTAGAACAGTTGGGTTATGAATCGTTGCAGATCCCTTCTCATCACACCCCTCCACCGACTCCACGTCTTTCTGTAGATTCTGATAGAACAGTTTCGCCTTCGATTATCGATCAAATTATTTTAAATAGCGAGAGATCACTAGTTGAAAATGTTATAAACAGTGAGACCGTTGCAACAGTTGAACCTAATCAAGTTAATATCACGACATTAACCCCACTTGATATTCGTCCTGTACCTAAACAAGCTGAAACAACTAAAACAGCCCGTAAACGAAAAATTCAAAAGGCGGAAATATTGACTAGTACTCCCATAAAGATGCAGCAAAGAGAGATAGAGTGCAAAAAACAGAAAGCCATAAAGAAAAAAGCAGCAAATGTTACTGTAACCAAGAAAAAAGTAGCCAGCAAAGGAGCAACTGCACCAAGTTCTGGTAAAGTTAAGAAAGTTTCAAACCGTAATAAGAAATTAAATGGAAATAAATCTGCTGATGACGTTATATGCGTTTTTTGTCACGGACGGTACACAGAGCCTCCAAACGAAGACTGGATAAAATGCGACGACTGCCAGTGTTGGGTGCATGAGTCATGCACAGATTATATTGGTGTTGGAGCTTATTTCTGTGATTTGTGCCATTAATATTTTTAATTTTAGTAACAGATACTGATTGATAAGTTTTCTTTTTCATGTTATTTTGTAATAACAAAGACTTAGACTGGTTTAGATTTATTTTTTCTTTTTAAATTTGCAAATGTTCATTTTATTGAATTGTTTAATTGAAAGTTGTAGTTTATTGCTTAGTTTGGTAATAGTTAGTGTTTAAGTCGACTGAATTTCCCGTGATTTTATTCTAGACTGCAGATATTATTAGAATTAGTTGTTATTTTCACTTTTACTATGTTGATCCGCTTTGCCCAGTAAGCATACTCACTTTGGACACCTCCTCCGGCCAAAGGGGGTCAAATGACATACTGAAATATTTTTTATTTATGTTGCAAGATTATACGAAGAGACTTTTTATTTGTTTTTAATTACTGACTATAATACACATTTGTATTAACCATACAATAAAAAGTGATAAAAGTATAAAACTGGTGAATATATTTTACAAATTACCTTAAGCGACCCGTTTTGAGCCCCCTTCCCCTATGTTTTATGTGCAGATACTATTCCTACTGAATTAGAGAGCAGTAGGAATACTTTGCAAAAAATTGAGGAATCGAGAATAGAAGTGGAGAGAATGGTGGCATCAGCCTATAATAAAATGGCTGATGCTGTTAAATTAATGGCTGAAGCAACGGCAAAATCGGCCCAAGCGAACTCTAGATTCAGTATACGAGTAATACGAGTAGTTAATATTGTACACCAAAAGGTTGACATTTTCACGGGGTATTGGAGTGAAATAGCAAATATTGTTCTTAACGAAATTACTACTAGAACTAATGAAAATAGTTAATAAAACTTAGTTTTCATATGTACTTTTTTTATACAGGGTGTAAATGGAACAGTTCTGAAACCCCATGAGACCATATATTAGGTGCTAAAAGATGTTTTATGGTGCTATTCATTTTCATTTATTTCCAGATTTTTTTCAAAGTTTTTAATACGAGTATAAAATGTACAGCGTACAGCCCTGAAGCATATTGCAATACGTTTTGTACATAGTCGTATTAATAGATGAATCGTTTTTACGTTTATTGTACCTATCTTGTGGTAAAAAGCGGACACTGATACAAATTGTTTTGCGTTTGTTCGAAGTACTCAAGACGAAAAAAAAACAAAACCTACATGTCATATGTACAATAACATAAAATACAGCAAATAAATAAGCAACTTAACAAAAAACTTTTACATTTAGATCATATTATTATGTTAAAACTATTTACTTACGTGAAAGATAAAGATATTGAATACTGAATAACTGATGTCGGGATCACAGCAAAATGTACCGGACTCGTATGTATGTATCGTTATACACTTGCAGTAATTAGACACTACACATCCACCTAAGAATAACTTATCTGTAGAATTTACAATCAATCACTTAAACATACGTAAACCCTTAAGACGCATGACGACGTGCATCAAGGTCAAGTTAATATTCGCAACTAAAAATAATACAATATTAAAAAAGGATGCCGACACGCTTTTAGACTATATCAGGTGAGGGGGCGTGGACTAGACACTCTTTGTCGGAATTTACCGAGCTAGCGTTTTGGCGCGTACGGCGGCTAAAATTAAACGAAGCGTAGTGTTGCCGTTTTGTTTTTTATAAAGAGTGTCGATAAAAAAAACAGATGTACAGTTTAATAAGATAGGTTCTATGTTTTAACAACGAATTAAAGATAGGCTTAAAATTATTTCTTATAAATTAATAATTTAAGATAAAATAAAAGAAGTAAGTATTGTCAGTACTTAATGTTTAATTAAGGGATTGTTGATATTAAGTTTCAAAAAGTTTAAAATGGAAAAGGTTTACTTATTGACAATTTATTTAAGTATAATACATGGATATTTTAGGTTTTTTGCAGTAACCGTGGTTTATGAAAGAAGAGCCTTTTGTTAAATAAATCGTAACTTTAAATTAACGAATACATTTCACGTTTAAACCGTTATAAGTGTTTTATTTTAATAAGAAGTATGTACATGGAACAAATAAATTTATCGGAAAAATAAATAGTGGTTTATCGATATTATAGTTTACCGATATTCGAGTGTATTGAGGAACATACCTATACCTATTCTACTACTTTTTAAATTTTGTTTAGTTGCCGGTAAACATTTCTTGCGTCATCACGTTCCTGTTAATTTTAGGAACTCGTAATTATCTCGTTTTTTAGTGTCTTAGTTAGTTTTGTTCTTTCATTTCTCTAAATTGTTTTTATTTACTTTTTAGTTGGTTTCTTTTTTGTGCTTATTTAATTCGTGATATTTCGTGGTGTGTTAGTTTTATTTAAAATGCTTGCGTCGAATTTGTAACCAGCACGTGAGTATCTCATTATGGTAATTTATTTAGGTTTACTTTTGGTAATGCGAAAGAGGTCCTGAGAATTTACTGGAGAAGGTAGGGACCTCTCGTCTGCTGGCCGTCTAAGTTATGCAGTTTTAATTGCGGTTTTGCTATGGTGGTTTTGTCTTTCTTATTTATTTGAAGTTGTATTAAATGTATACTAAATACTTTTTTCGAATATTACAACTATACGCTAAGATGAAATAAAAAATACCTAACCTACTTAAATTGATCAGCTGTTCACGTAACGTTTAGCGGGTGTGTAGGTCATAATGCTTCTTGGCTGAACGCTGTACATTTCATACTCGTATTTTAAACTTTGAAAAAAATCTTGAAATAAATGACAATAAATAGCACCATATTACACCTTTTAGCCCCTAATATATGCTCTTATAAGTTTTCAAAACTGTTCCATTAACACCCTGTATATTGTGTATTACTGTCGAATTGGATTATATCTGTCAATGGCAGCATATATTTGTGTAAATAAATAAACTTGACGCGAACGTGTTTGACGTTAGACGAGAGTACCAAAACAACAAAACGTCACTGCAATTGCGCTGCTACTTAACTTATATTAATACGAGAATCGGTCTGCTGATCGCTAATGAGGGTTGCGTTCCAAAACAAATATTTTTTATTGACAGAGGGTAAAAATTAATCTATCTTGGAGTTTCGGAAACGAGTATATTTTTTTTTGTATACTTAAAAAAAAGAACAAAAGAGATAATACAAACATTAAAATTATAGTACAAATATTTATGTAGACCCAGATTAAAAATTCCAAAAACAAATGCAATTTCTCACCTTAACGTTACAGCTAGTTTTTCTTCGGGCGATATTGTTTCTCTGAGTGTTGTATTCTTCTTCCTTATACATTCATTTATAGATTGAATGTTGTAAAATATGTTATATGTTATAAAATAGATATTTCGGCATATGAAAATAAATATAAAATTTCTCTTCATCATCCATCAAATGTTTTTTTATAGTCCGAAATTCTCCTTCAGTACTCCTTGCTTTATTCATATTGTGTACTTGGGTACACAATATGAATAATCATATATACAGGAACAAGATATTGGTATCTTGTTCCTGTATATGACGGCGCGTCCTCACTATCCTAAAATAATCGGTGTATTACTTTTTATTTAACCCTTAACAACCCACTAGTGTCTTGCGGACACAATTTTGCGTTTATGTTTTCATAAAAACTAAAGTATTTATTTTTATGAATCGGCCTATTTTATCTATTTTATCGTCAATGTTTTACGAATCTAAATGTGCAATGAAAATATTTTAAACATGAATAATTTATTATTTCTGGTTAATAAACGAAAATAGTACTTCATCAATCCAGAAGTGTCCAACAGACACAATAACATTCAAACAAAATTCTAAATTAATAATTCTACTAAAAACATTGGGACTACGATGGCATCCTGACTCCGATACTTTCACCTTCCAAAACAAATTTGATAATTTAGTTGAGGAGACATTAACCGAGCGGCAATTACTTTCCCACATATCGAAGGTTTTTGATCCACTGGGTTGGTCAAGCCCTCTCACGATTAGGGCAAAGCTTTTATTTCAATCGACATGGACGGATGATTTGCAGGTTTAAACCCTTTTATAGACAAAAATGGAATTCTTAAAGTTGGTTGACGGCTAACAACATACAACATGGTACACTACAATGACTACATATTGGTCGGGGCTAGATTATGCGCACAAATATATTAACCACTTAACAGAAATTTTAACAGATTCGGAACTTTCCTATCAGTATACAAGTATACTGTATCAATTGCAACATGAGCTCGGAGAAATTGAGCATCACAACTCTCTTCTCATGGTTCGACACGGGGCTACAAGACAGAGAAAGGGAATCATTAATGGAGTCGGCTACTTAGCGAATACGTTATTCGGTGTTTTGGATGACAGATTTTTACAGAAATATCAGCAAGATATCGATAACATCCAAGGCAATCGAAATCATCTTACACAACTACTAAAGAACCAAACTAGCGTCATTGAAGCCCAGAATAATATACTGCACCGTAATGAAGATATTATGAACAAACAGTTTAATATTATACGAAGTCAAATACAGAACATTTTCCCTTTCAATTAATCAAGATAACATCAACCATTCTATTGAACTTTATATCCTGTCCTCATTAGTCAGCGCACAGATAATACTTTCCGGCCTAAGAAATATTCCAAAGGATCTACTGGATACAATAAGTGACATTTGGCAGGGACACATGGATTCTTACATTCTTCCACGTGAGCAATTACAAACGGATATTAGTATCATATCGGGTCATTTACCAACAGAGATGGAATTACCGGCTGATAAAAACGATATCACGGAATACTACAAGGTTATGAAGATGAACGCGAAGATGGGCAGCAAATATATGGTGATAGAGGTTAAGCTTCCTTTACTTAGTAAAGAATCCTTCCAAATTGATGAATTGATCAGCCTTCCTGTCAACGGATTTATAACAGAAATTAATACGCAATATATCGCCTTTAATTTACAAAAGGACTTATTAATTCCGTTGTCGGATACCGACCTAAGATCCTGTCTCCACATCTCACGATCCGAATAACATCGAACCTGTGCGAAGTCATAATAAACAATAGAAAATTATGTAATACTAGAAAGCCCTTCAAATAGGCTTTCTAACGACAATCCGCTTGTTATCCTGCGATAATAATATCATACGAAACCAGCGTCTGCATCTTTTTGCGGTCGAGCTGAAGCAGACGGAGCGTTCGATTCCTCATCAGGGGTCAACCTTCTGGAGCACGCCTAAGCGAGATATAGTAGTGTCAAGAGAAGCGTTTTAGTTTATATTAGTTCAAATTTTCATTAAGGTACGTGCAATAGTTTTTAAGAAATAAGCCAAAGCATCTTTTGTAAACGGTTTGGGATACACAAATAAAAATATCACATCGATAGTTAAAAGCCAAATAATACATATATATACGCCATTCGATAGATAATTTTCTCCTCATTTAGAATATAGATTGGTATCAATTAATTTCAAAACAAACAAAACGTATTGAATAAAAAAGCATTTTTTTATGAAGCATGAAGTTTTATCACTATTTTCGAAACACCATGATGCTTACTTAAAAAAACAGAGTTTTCCTGAAATACTGGCTATTGATAAGGTTTAAATTTTTATTAACAGACACACACTGTTATGATACAGTTTGTTTATCAATTTAAAGCTGGTTACATCGGCGGACTCTACGCGTCAGCGTTCTATATTCTAAGAAACTCCTACCACACTCAAATACTGAGTCGGCAAGTAGACGATAAGCGCATCCGTTTCACGGAGGTGTCTTATTCCAGCTTTAGATTTAAAATTATAATTAAGTTAGTAAAACATTTATTTTTAAAAGATCCTCCGGCTCCCTCAAAACTTGACTGGCGCAGCCGGTAGGATTTCCGCGTCGCGAATAATCAAATAATTCAGTGACGTACGTTTTCACACGTTTTACGGAAATCCGCGAACCAAACAAATTCGTCAAGGAAAGTTCTGGAGGAAATCATATAAGGCTCAACGAGGGACATGGGCAGTCTGTGAGTACATCTCCATATAGCTACTTCCAGTCAAAGTCCTATCCTATTCATTATTTTAGTTATACGTATGAGATTATCCGAACGCTATTTCTAAAATCGAAGAGTGTTTTGTGATTTCTTTTAAATAGAATAGATTAAACAGTAAATATACATATTATATAAGTTAGTAGATTATAATTTTTTTTTAGAGTCGGTTATATAAATTAAATAATGGAAAATATAGTGCAAATTCCTTGCGATTTCGCAAACGTCATCCCCAAATTCGACGGTGACGAGAAGTTGCTAAATTTGTTTATAAGAAAATGCGAATATGTTGCGATTAGAAAACAATCCCCATCAGGATTTATATGTATTTCACATAATAACATCTAGATTAACGGGTAGAGCCGCCGCTCTTGTCAGTGAACGACAAGACTTAGATACTTGGGCCGAATTAAAACGCGCGTTCGAGCAACATTTCGGTGACCCTCGTTCTGAGGAATGTATCGCCATAGAATTAGAGACACTAAAAATGTATAATGGTAAATCGTATCTAGATTTCTGCAATAGAATCCAACACGTTAAGAGCACATTTATTGCCAAAGTCAATTTAATAACAGACATAAAATTTATGTCTGTTATTGATGACTTATTGACTTGCATGATTCTACATAAGTCTTAATTTATGACTTATGTAGAATCATGCCTTATTTGTCAACGTAATAAAATCCAAAGAACGAATTTTCAGGCACCAATGGTAATAACTTCTCAATCAACAGAACCATTCGAACGCGTCTCTATGGATTTAGTCTCATATTCCGATATTAGCGATAATAATAATAAATACGTTTTAACCTTACAAGACGATCTCACTAGATTCGTTCAAGACTATCCCATTTCAGACAAAGAAGGTCAACATTATGGTATACCTAAAAGATTTCATTCCGTTCAAGGTACTGAATTTACTAATAACGTCGTTAAACAACTCAACAAGTTCCTTGGTAGCAATCACACTTTCAATACTACGTATCATCCTCAGACGAATGGTGCATTAGAACGTTTTCATGCAACATTGCGAGATCATATACGTATGTATCACAGTCGCAAATTAAAAAGGTGGGATAAAATAATTCCTTTTGCCATAATGTGTCACAACACTTCAATTAATAATTCAACAGGTTATACGCCACATGAGAACTCCTTTTTGGTTATAAACCACGTTCACTTTATTCCATGAAACTTATTCCAGAATACACTGCATGTAAATTAGAGATCTCAACGAAAGACTCAGAGTAGCAAGAGATTCCGCTCTGAGACGATTACAAAACATGAAGGAAAGATGAAAGAACGATATGATAGTCAAATTAAAAACTTAGCTCAATATCAAGTCGGAAGTAAAGTCATGTTACGTGTCCCTAATCCTAACAATCTTGACTCAAAATGGGAAGGACCTTTTGAGGTTATTCGAGTAGGTTTCAACAATAATTATATCATCAAAACATCCCACAAGAACCAACTTGTACAAGCGGATAGACTCCGACCATTTCACGTTCAGTCACTTTCACTTAATTAAGTATAATTCATTCATTTAATCCTAAACTTTTATATTCGTTATTTTAAGTTCTCAATTACTTTTTTCATTACTTCAAGTTCTTATATATTACATGCAACTTTACACATTTTCAGGGTCAGCTTTACAGAGGCCCAATCTCCTAGTTCTTAGAACACGTCTTATTTTATAAAATATCCCTATTTTAGTTTCATTTTTATGTCAATCATTAAGCTTATTTTATATATAATAGGTTATAAATATATATATTCGTTTACGAGATTTTATTAGTAATAAGTTATGTCTTACAAAAAACCATTTATCTATTTCAGGGCAACCACGGGAATTGTTGCTAATCTAACAAAACCATTACCTACACATTCCGGTCTATTCTATAAAGAAGAAGGTACGATTTCAATATCAAGCGAATCCTGGAAATTAATTACATATGTATAAAGATTTAAAACCTATAATCACAGCTCACCAATCCCTTTTACGTTTATGTTCTAATTTTGATATTTTAGCGACAAAATATTCCACTTTTCCTACGGTCATCTCTACAAAGTCATATCTTAAAACGAATTCGAATAAAATTTACGACAGAATCTCTGAACTAAAAATGTATCTTGGCGAAAACTCTCGAGAGAATAGAGAATTATTTGATGGTTTAGGCAGAGTTTTGAAATACCTCATAGGTACTCCTGATGCAAAAGACGCTTCACATTATGACAATTGCATCAATTTATTGGGAAAACGCGAACTCGAAATTACGACACTTCGAAAAACCGACTCAAATCACGTCGTCAACAATTAAAATTTTTAACGAGACTATTTTCCAGATTTCCTATGACGAACAAATAATTAATCATAACATTCAACAATTAACAACATCCAGGCTATACTAGATTCTTCTCAGCTTTCCGCTTATGTCTATTCAAACAAATTAGTCCCATTAATCAACAACGAACTCCTTAAACTATATCACATTTACTCCATTCCTATCCAATATCCTCATTCCTCCTAAACGCTAAACCTAAACACTATGTAACGATGAGCACCCTAGAAAGTTGCCAACGCTACGCTGAAAGGAGGAGAGTACGCCGCAACATTGTAGTTTACAACGCCGATGCACGTCCTATCTGCGAAGATCAAGTTTTATTTAGCATATCCACATCCATGCCAAGCAGTTGCACAACATCAACATTCAACACTGACATCAACACTTTCCAACCTATTTCCGATATGTGGTTCTACATTCTAACTAATACCACACAATCAATATTACAATGATAAATAAAAGACCTAAACATTGGTATAAATTAATTTGAAAACAAACAAAACGTATTGAATAATAAAGCATGTTTTTTAATGAAGCATGAAGTTTTATCATTATTTTCGAAACACCATGATGCTTACTTAAAAAAACAGAGTTTTCCTGAAATACTGGCTATTGATAAGGTTTAATTTTTTATAAACAGACACACACTGTTATGATACGGTTTGTTAATCAATTTAAAGTCTAGTTACATCGGCGGACTCTACGCGTCAGCGTTCTATATTCTAAGAAACTCAGACCACACTCAAATACTGAGTCGGCAAGTAGACGATAAGCGCATCCGTTTCACGGAGGTGTCTTATTCCAGCTTTAGATTTAAAATTATAATTAAGTTAGTAAAACATTTATTTTTAAAAGATCCTCGGGCTCCCTTAAAACTTGACTGGCGCAGCCGGTAGGATTTCCGCGTCGCGAATAATCAAATTAGTGGAGAGAAGTGGAAGTGCTGCACCTAAGACACGTAAAAACTCGTACATTGATTTGCTGCGATTTTTTGATGTGGTGAAAGAGTCTCGGGTCTCATCGGGGAACATAAGCGCTCCGGCAGGTGATAATGACCAAAATGAAAATTCTTTTAATGAAATATCAACTAATACAAACACTCAACCGAGAAATGCAAACGCACAAGAAACTGTAACTGAGTATTTTATTCCATTTCAAATTGAAGAAGTTTCAGGGACCTCCCGAATGAAAAAAAAACCTAAAATGACAGCCTTTCAACAGAGTTTAATTACAGCAATGAATAAAAAGCAACAATCACCTAAAGCAGCCGAAGAAGATGCCGACACGAAATTTTTACTTTCTTTACTTCCTCAAATTAAGAGCCTAAATGAAAGACAAAATTGTGAGTTCAGAATCGAAGTGATGAATTTGATTTATAAAATCAAATATCGTAACTCATTTAACATGTCTCATAATGAAACGTATTCTTACAACCATCCTGGCTATAGTAGGCCCTACATACGAACAATCACCTACAACATATAGTATACCTACAGGGGATGTGTCACCGCCGATGTACCAAGTATATACTACGAATACAAACAGTGCAAGCTCCTATTCAACCATACAGTCACCTGAATCTATTGAAACTCAAATACGTCCAATTCAATCAGCTGAAACTGAAACAGCACACTCAATTGAGGAAATAGACGAAATATTTCAGAATAGGTCCACTTAATCGAGATAATAGAGGAAATGTTGCAGGCAATAAAAATTCAATAAAAAATTAAAAATTGATTTTTTTTTCAATAAAAAGTTAATATACTTAGTAATTAATCAATAATGTGTTTCATTTCAAATAGTTTCTTAATATTTATCTTACTTAATGTAACGGTCAGCCTTTCTTCGGGAGGTATAGCTGTTCTAAGTTTTGTATTTTGCTTGGTAATATAGCCCTATTGTATGGACATACGATAATATTCGAATGCTATATGTGGATTAAGTCTTAGTTGCATGTGCAGGGTATGAAATTGCCCAATTTCTAGTCGAAGAGTATTTAAGGAATGAACCCAATATTTACGTTTTCTTCTTCTCTCTTCTTCTAATGCCTCATAAATAGCTACCACTTCTATTGGATCCATCACGAATTCACGATCACACCGTATAAGCACAGGCAGCCGACTGATGATCTGCCACTGTGGCAAAGCACTAATTCAGTGACGTACGTTTTCACACGTTTGACATTATAGTTTTATATTTACTAACAAAGAACAAAATGACACAAAAATGCTCGGTGTGTGGGAAGTTTGCTTCGACGGAGATTATTAAATGTACGCGTTGTGATTCCCATTGTCACAAGCAATGCGCTATTAGCATGAAACCAAATGCTAAGGGCCGCAGTCGCTGGTTATGCAAGAACTGCAATGCAAAGGGCAAGAACAAACCTATTTCGTCAGATGGTTCGTCCTCAAGTTCTAACAGTCCGGTTAAAATTATAAATAAAGCTACTGAGATGCAACATAGCGACCAAAGTGTATTTCGGCAAGACATGGAACTAGTGCATTCTGAGATGATGAAAGTGGCGGAAGAAATGTTTCGCCACGAATTGTCTCAGCTTAATACCGTTTTGTCCTGCTTGAATAAACGATTTGATGACATCGAAAGCCGTATGACGTCATTGGAAAAGACAACCCGAGGCGCGTTTGAGTGCTTTAGAAGCAAAAGTTGGTGTGCTGGAAGTGGACTTCGTAAACCACGGCTCTTACGATGTTGAGATTTTAGGAAAATTAGAAAAACAAAATGAGAACATCATTGATGTAACTAAATCTATTGCTCAAAGTCTGGGTGTAGATGTAGATGATCGAGACATTGTGTATTCCGAAAGGATTGGGTTCCGTTCTATTACTTCAGACACAGAGAAACCTTCTCGACCGCGTCCTATAATCGTTCGATTCGCGAGGCGGGCCCTTCGAGATGATATCTTGCGATCTGCGCGAAATGTTCGCCGAGTTGATAACAAAGACAGCCGTGGCAATCCACTGCCCACAGGCTGCTACATAAACGAACGACTGACAAAATATAACCGCCTCTTATTCTTCCGTACTCGTCAAGAAGCGAAACTTGAAAAATGGAGATATGTTTGGACTCGAAAGGGTCAAGTCTTTGCGCGCCAAACACCAACATCGACAAACCACAAACTCACTAAACTTGAAGATATTTCATCAAACTTCACATAGGTTTTCTTCCCGATATTAGGAATATTTTATACATTTGTCAAATAACTGCATACTTAGAGTGTTAGTAATTATTAGTTTAGGTATGACAATTGTATTCGAACACTGACTAGCCGGATCCACACCAGACGATCCAAAGCGCTCCGATCGCGCGCGGCATGGAGCGCGCTCCACGGAGCGTGAAGTGTAGACGTGCCGCGCGCGATCCAAGTGCGCGGCGGGGAGCGCGCGCTCCTCGCCGCGTGCGATCCATTTGTTGTCTTTTTTTTGTTTATGCACAAAGGGGCCTCAGTCGCTTGACGCGCGCGGTCTAGACGGTTGTGATTTTGAATCGCGCGATCCGCCGTTATGGTTAATTCACAGTGTATACGTTTAATTTCCGTATATAGAGAGAGTAAATGTTTATGGGATCCTAATGATACTAATTACACAAATAGAGGTGTAAGAGAAGATGCCTGGCGGCAAATTAGTCGGCAAATGAACAATATTCCAACGACAGAATTAAAGAAAAAAATGAAGTCTTTGTCGGGTGGCTACAGAAGAGAAGGATTCAGAGAAAAACAGAGTCGTATTACCGGTTCAGGTAAGAAATTATAGTTCGTTTTGTTCGAGACTTTGTTAATTTAATGCCCTTACGAGGTGAGCTCAGTACGTCTTAGTGAAGCTTTAATTTTAATTTATTTGTAATAATAACAAAATGTATTGTTTAAAACTCCACAAAGTAGTAACGTAACTTAGTTTGTGATAAAAATATATACTTAAATGTTTAAAAGTTTTGAGTATCATTTATTGTTCATTTCAGGTGCTGAAGATACTTATAAATCAAAATGGTTTGCTTACGATGAGTTTGGTTTCATGGCGGACAAGAATGACCCTGGGAGATTTCAAATCACGTCTTGCAAGTTCAAGCCACTTCTTTCTTAATTTCTTATCGAAAGGAACGAAAATAAATAACTTCTCAGGAGTTTTTTTGGGACGTAGGTGGTGTTCCGTCCCTCTGTGTACTAAGGACGGAACACCACCTATATGCTTTCGAAGTCATGTTTTTAATGTAAAAACTAATAAAATTGCCAAATTAAATATGAATTAGATAATGTTTACATATACCGAATGTTCCTTAAACTCTTAAGTGACGTAAGCAAGCGACGCCATGACACTTTGACGCGTTTTGGTGCAAATTTTAAATTTATGAATCAAAAATTATTTTTTAAGTACTAAACCTAAATTTTCCGCAGAAATATTATGTTGATTATAATTCATATATATTTCCAAATATTATAGAACAGTTTCTCAAAATTTGTCATCATGCCTATTCTATTCGAGCTCTAAAGCACATTTTTTCTTTGTTCGGTGCTCCTTCACGTATCATAGCCGATTAGGGCAGGTGTTTTGCTAGCAAAGATTTAAAAAACTTTTGCGAGTCCCACAGTATCACACTTCATCTCATTGCCACGGGAACAAGTCGAGTGCGTAATGAGCACTTTAAAAAATATGCTCACTGCTGTTGAGGTCGGAAACAATAAATCCTGGCAAGATGCATTGCCCGAAATACAAATAGCTTTAAATAGTACAATTAATCGCGTAACAAAATTTAGCCCTTTAGAGTTATTAATTGGTAGGATAGCGAGACCTCTAGACTTATTAACTATTAATGACAATCAAAGTAAAAGTAGCGGTATCGCTTTAGAAGTGAGAGTTGGATGACCCAAAACCTCTACAAGGAGGAAATGGGGAAATGGTCAGCTGATAATGTGGACTGATCACCCGTCCACAGGTGTCCCCGAAAGAAAATAATAAATAATAATCGCTTTAGAAGAAGCGCGACAGCGTGCAGCACAAGTCATTCAAAGCAGTGCAATTACTGAAAAACAAAGATTCGACAAAACAAAAGCAAAAATAAATCATTTTAAAGTTGGAGATTTTGTTCTTTTAGAAAACCATGAACGGAATCAAACCAAATTGGAACCAAGATTTAAGGGTCCGTTTAGGGTGGTTCAGTTGCTTGAGGGTGACGGATATTTGCTAAAGGCTTTGAATTCCGGCAGATCATACAAGTCTGCTCACGACCGAGTTCGTGCTATGTAACATTGTTATGTTCGGGATAAAATAAAAGAACTAGTTGCCGCAGGTGTCATTCGTGAAAGTTGTTCCCCATTTTCAAGTCCAATGTTACTTGTTAAAAAGAAAGACGGTTCTGATCGTTTATGTGTGGAAAATTATTAAATAGCTTGTAAATAACGTAACTCCTCTGTTAAGCGACTTCTATTAATGTATAGAATCAATCGAAAACCTATCATGTATCTATATGTATGTTAATATGCTAAGATGTTCCAGTTAAGGTCGACAGTTGCGAGTCAGACATCCTAAATATAAAAGAAAGTGATAAATGCCAATCTGTGTCAATAAGATGTCCAGAACAAGATTTTTTCAGGTGGCCCCAAAAAGCCACCGAAGTTAACGTGAATTGCAAAGGTCATATGATTTGGTATGGACAAAAAGTACTTTATGGTGAAAATTGCGAACTGAACATATCAGGCATACAATATAATATATCAGTGTTTCAAGCAAGAGAATCAAAAGACAAAATAATAATTACCAACATTGATACCTCAATAGTGGACAAAGCGTCAGAAATGGATTTGACTTATGATGCTTCTGGTGATGAATTTGAACGATCGGTTGATTGGGCCCATTGTTTTTGCCGGATAGATTAAACGGCGTGATTTTTGGAGTTTTTACAAAAGGAGTTTTTGGAAGGTACCTTTTGTTATATTGAGTAACAAAAGTAGTAAGTGACGCCGTCTATGATTCTTTCATATAAAAAATTTTTGATTTGTGTCTATTAAAAATATACAGTTGACAACCGAAAGTGCGTGTATTAATAGGTTATGGGCTAATATCCTGATTCTCTTAAGTAATTGTTGTGTTACGGTTTAAGATAAACGCTAAACTTTCGTAAATAATGGCTATGAACTATTTGCAAAGTGTTCCCAAACTGAAAGGGAGGGACAATTACGATGAGTGGAGTTTCGCGGCAGAAAACTTGTTAGTGCTAGAGGGCATGATTCAGTACATCAAGCCAGCTGTGCCCGGCGCGGATATCAAGATTGCAGACGACGAAAGGACTAAGGCAAAGCTAATTTTAACCATCGATTATCTGATGCTTTGAAGTTCTTAAGGCCATTTATTACTTTAAAAGTATTGGCATTATTTCCATCAGATTTTAACTTTAATTTAATGCCACCCAGTTTTCCCAACTTTTGCATTACGCTGTTACTACTGCTATCTGGTTGCTCTTTTTTTATTGCAGTAGTATTGTTTTTAATAGTCAATCCTAATCTGCTTAATTTAAAGCCGAGGTAGATGTAGGTGAACTTTCGTTCTTTTTAATAGATATACCTTTGTTTTTGAGAATTTGCGATATGTCTAATTTTTGTAGTTTTCTGCAGTGGTACTTTGAGGGGTGATGATTCCTCATCATCAGACCAGTTCCCATCTGCCGAAGGAGGACCATCTTCATCATCTGAAGGCAGTTTGTCGAGAACAACAGCTGGTAGGGAAACGTGTTGTATCAGGTGATTCTCTAATTCTTCCCAGTCTGGAAAGTCTACTTTGCAAGTGAAACAGTAAAACTCATTTTTCGGTTTTCTGATCGACGCACCAGATGACTTGAGCCTCTCCAAGATATTTGCTACGTTGTTGTTAACTGGTTGTCGCTTTTCTTCGACTTCTTCTTCTAATACTTCATATCCATCTGAATATTCTTGTGGCGATGGAGGTAATTCAGAGTTGGTCCGAGTAGCCATTTTTTATCATAACATAAACAATCCAATAACTGGAAAAAATCACTTTTAGTTTTAGACAATGTTTGGAAACAATAATTCACATTTCAAAGTATATTATATAAGTTAGTAGATTATAATTTTTTTTTTAGAGTCGGTTATATAAATTAAATAATGGAAAATATAGTGCAAATTCCTTGCGATTTCGCAAACGTCATCCCCAAATTCGACGGTGACGAGAAGTTGCTAAATTTGTTTATAAGAAAATGCGAATATGTAGCGATTAGAAAACAATCCCCATCAGGATTTATATGTATTTCACATAATAACATCTAGATTAACGGGTAGAGCCGCCGCTCTTGTCAGTGAACGACAAGACTTAGATAATTGGGCCGAATTAAAACGCGCGTTCGAGCAACATTTCGGTGACCCTCGTTCTGAGGAATGTAACGCCATATAATTAGAGACACTAAAAATGTATAATGGTAAATCGTATCTAGATTTCTGCAATAGAATCCAACACGTTAAGAGCACATGTATTGCCAAAGTCAATTTAATAACAGACATAAAATTTATGTCTGTTATTAAATCTGATGATTTTAAGTCGACTAAGTGTTTAGAATCTAATATTACTAATAGAAAACTTAGTGTTGAGCGCAGTAAAGTGAAATGGTTGAAGATTCAATGGATCCAACAACCAAGATGCTCTTTTTACTGAGGTCATTTTCTCCAAAAGAACTTCACAAGACCCTTCCAATTTTGAGCTTGAGGTTTTATACCCTGATGGAAAAAAATAAATACTGAAAAAAAGAAGGACCTTCTATGCCTTTTAGAGTATGTACCACCTGCTTATCACCCTTTTTATACGCCGTGGATCGATCGAGGCGGTACGATCGCCTGGCCGCCTAGTTCCTCTGGACTTCTTTCTTTGGGGATCAATGAAGCAAAAAGTTTATTAAGTTCCAAAGACCAGGAAGGAGCTCCTTCAAAGGATAATCATATATTATATATTCATAGATATTGTAAAAATGCCATTCACACTAACGGAATGTAATTTCTTTATGAATAGGGTTGCTTTAGACGATTTTTCGTCTCGTTTGTTAGACCCCGTGGCTAAATACCTGCGTGAGTAGCGGTAACCATTTGAAGTTTTATTGTTAGCACAACCTATTGCAAACAAATTAGAGGAAAAAAAACGATATCTTAACGACCCGGAATTCTAGGTAGAGCAAGTTTCTAAATCAAAGGTTTTCGTTTATTATTTTCAGTAACTTCTTAACAAATAGGGTTTTAAATGCTACTATATTTCAACATCTTTTAAGTAAGGTAACTTTTGTGTGCGTAGACAACATAAAACCTTAAATCAACGAGTTTCAATGAAAAAATTTAAAATAGCTCCCATTCTGAGGGATGAGGCGTGGGACCCCACATTGTATAGTATTTTGTCGATAAAATTTGACGTACAAGTTACAACACGCTGGTAAAGTGCCTGCAGTCCGATCCCTAACACCCCGTATATAGTGAATATATCAGTATGCTTTCTATACTTATTTATATTATATCTCAATTAAATCGTTTTAAACAAACTTGGCAGGAAATTTGAACATAGCATATTCAGGACGACAGGTCCAGCGTGGACAAGATTAGCCCAAAACAAGCATGCATGGAGACATTTGGAGGAGACCTTTGTAGTAGGGCAAACTCTTCAAAACATTTGGTTAAAAATTTACAAAACAATTAATGTAAAGTAATAAAGGTTTATTTTATTTTAAACAAACTCTTATTCTTTTTGTTTTTCAAATATTCTAAACACTTCAGGATAAAATATGTACCCCAATAATGTGTGTATCGAGACAACATCTTAGAATCATCTACTTCGAAACAAAAAAAAGACATAACAACCAAACACACAAATAAAAATATAAACGCAACACTACATCAATAGCTCCATATAAGTTAACTAAGATGTAGCCAAAATTTCAACAGTGTAATGAAAGTACTATTTTAATTTATTCTCGGCTGAGGTAATAGCACTCTCTTTTGTAATATGAGATAATTGAGATGAAAGCCCAGGCTTTAGGTCCAATTATAAATTACAATCCAGACAAAAATCTAAACACAAATATGCCATTTAAGAAATAGTAATATATGGACAGATGTTATGATTATGTGTATGCGTGTGTATATCTAGTGTAATCTTAGACTTTAGTATATATAACATATTATGTTGTTTGTTTGATTAATGCTCTGTGTACTCTAGACTAAAATAAATGCATATGGGTTCGGACGAAGTAACAGAGGACAACATCAAAGAATTAAAGATGGAACAGATAGCAAGTTTCTGTAAGCAAACCGGAAGGTTTGAAGAGGGACACAGTGAGAGTTGGATAACCTAAAACCCTCTGAAAAGAGGTAATAGTCAGCTGATAGTGCGAACTGACCACCCGGCCTTCTACAGGTTTCCCCCGAGAGAAAATAATAATAACATATTATATACTCCTCTGCAACAAGTGGTGTTTACCTTTAATTGTTTTCTTACATTTATCTTGTTATTTTAATATTTAGCATGTAAGGTGACGTTGGTAAGCCTTTATAAATAAATATACATGGGCCAGTTTGAAAACCAGATCTACTGAGTGTGACAAGAATTCAGCAGTACAGCTGACACCTTTACTGATTGCCATTCTTTAGTTAACTATGTTTAATTGACCAGAACATAGCAGCCTGATTTTCTACTTGATACAAATGAGCAGCAACTACAACTTAATTTTACTACTGACAAAAACCCAACTCAAATATCCAACTTAGAATTCCTAAATTCAATGATGTTTCGACAAATTAGCTTCACAAATCAGTTACCAGCAGAGCCGCTTCAAAGGCAATTCTTAACAAATATCCACCAAATATTTTAAAGTGCAAGTCACATCCAGATGTGAAAATACCACTGACTTCAAATCTCACTTAAAAACTGAACCATTCAAGACCAAGTTTTAACAAGACATAACCTAAATTAAAATCGACTTGCCTTTTTAAACGGTTTTAAATAGATCACCCCGTTTATTCAAAATCAAACCGCCTAAAAACCAAACCAAATGAAGTTATTTACAAGAACAAAACACTTTTTCGTAACTACCACAAGTCTGAACTTTATGAAACTCCATTTTAACACGAAGAGATGCAGTAATAAATAATTAAAAAACAACGACTTGAGAGATCAGAGAATCATTGTGATTACAATAAATTCTCCATACTTGCTTTGGTTTAACTTGCGGCCGTATTAAGAAGTTCAAACACGTTTTGAACTTTTGAAAGAAAAATAAATGCTCATGAGATAAAAATAAAGACGCCATTTTTTTGTTAGCTTGGCAACCGGATGAAATAACCAATGACACCAAAGAATATACCATAGACGAACATACCGGACGCCCAGGGCAAATATTTTAATGGCCTGGTAACAAGACCTTTGAGCCACAAGGATTAAGTTAATATATAAAACAATAAATTAATATATTATAGAGAACTCAATTATTCTTTAGTAGACAATGTTTCCCTTTATTTCACCAACGCCCCTGGGCAATAAACTAAAAAGGAGCGCTCTACTCTAAGTTGATGTATGTTTTATATTTGGAGTTATTTAATTTGAGATACGTTTAATTTGTAACATTTATTAATATATAATACTAGCTGGTGCCAGCGACTTCGTTTACGCAGGATTAGGATAAGGATTACGTAGTATCGCGCATTTAAACTAAATGATGTCTATCATATCATACATTACATAATTATTATGTGTAACTTACATTTATGGCAGCGCACGCCAGAATAGCTAACAGAAAGGTAGGTTTTTCCTAGTTACTTGACACTTAATGTCATATTTTGGACAACTCACACAATATCTTTATAAATTGTAGCCTATGTGTTATTCTATTGTATAAGCTAAATTATTGGAAAGTTTAATCGAAATCCATTCAGTAGTTTTTGCGTGAAAGAGTAACAAACATCCATCCACACATACAAACTTTCACGTTTATAATATTAGTAGGATGACAATTTTATTCGGTTTCAAATTTTACATAATAAGTACATACAATAAACCAACCAATTTATTAGATTATTTATTGTAACTTGAAGCCGTGGGATTTTAATACTTTGTAGTAGGTCACCGGACTTCTGCATCCAAATCATAATATTCTTACTTCATTCTATTCCTACTTAATAATTAAATATTTGTGATACAACTTTTGAATATACCGAACATGTTGTTCACATCATGGAAGGTGAAATACCAGTCATATAACATCTAAGCAATATGCTGTTGTCCTATTTTTCGGAACGTATTAAATAAACTTAATGGGTTTATCTGTGAAGGTGACCCAGACGGAATTTCAATATTTCAGACATTTTCAGAACAATTGAGACCGCTAGAGGCAGAGTCGCCTTACTGCAGTTTTATGACATGAGAGATTTTTATAGTCTAAAAATGTTTATTTACATATTAGGAGCACAGACCGAAAATTGTTAACATAATTTTTACACAAATAATAGTACAAATTCATTTTCTGCTAAGTTAATTGTTCATTTTTATTTTCCACCTTATTGAAAATCATGTTTTTTATTATTAGCCCACTTTCCCTCTAGCAGCGTGAGTTGTAAATAGATTTGAAACATATTGGACTCATGGAAACCCAGGACCCCCGATCATCAGCAATACATTGCTGCAATTAGACCAACTTATTTAAATATCTCACATGTTATTTGCACATGGCATTATATATATTAAAAATTACTATATTTAGGTAGAAGGCAATTATGACACATTGGTTATAGTAGCACAGAATGCTGTGGATGTCAGCTCTGTCTCAAAATGAATAGATTGTTATTTCTTACATAAAATAATTTATTTTAGAGTACATAATATAAAATAAAAATATATGGATAACTGAATAAAACAACCGCAATAATTCTATTATTTATTAATCCTCAACTTTGGTTACACGGTAAACACACGAAAATGAAAAAGAAAAATAAATAAAAATAACATTTATTTAGCTGTAAAATAAATTAACATGATTTATACTTATGCTGATCACAATAATACGATATATAAACGGCGGAGTGTGGAACAATTTTATGCCAAGACGGCGTGAATACTTCACCTAACATTCACTACAAGTTAACATGGCGTGACAGCATGCCTTTTGGGTGTTGATAAAAAAAAACTAGATGTGGCAGTGTTACGCCATAGATAATCACCAAACTGTTGTCTATGCTTTCATTTACTTAGATTTAGCGGCCTCTTCGGCTTCGAGCCGCTTGCGCATCGATTCTGGCATCTCGGCTGGTGGTGGTCGGGGCATCCTCAACCACACCTGGAACAGATAAGGAATTTAGATTGTTGTTCAATTTATTCAGGTTTGTTAAACTGAAACTATTCTCTCATACATGTTTATATCCACACTTGAAATCGGTAGGAACAATTGGTTAGTTTAATAATCATTGTGGTTAAGTTGCTAAATGGAAATATTTGTATTGTTTCTTATCGGAAAAAAATAAGTGTATGTTTAAGATCAAGTTGTTTTAACATTTGTAAATATATATTTAGATCACATACTAAATTAAAGTTATTATATGTGGGAACCAGCAAAATAACTGAAGATAATAATTATATTAAAGAAAGAAGATGGAAGGGAAAGATGGAACAAATGTTAAGATTTTGCAAGGTTAAAAATTAAAAGGGTCACAGTGAGTTGGGAGAATAGGTGAAATGTGGACTGACCCAAACTAGTATCGATGTCACCCATAATAAATAATAGCAAGATCCCATACTATGACCGTCCCACTTATCAATTGTTTTTTGCAAGTGTACAAAAGTCAAAGAGAAAATTAAAATTTCCACAGGATAAAAACTAGAGATGCAACGGATATCCGGTTACTATTCGGTATCCGGCCTATCCGGCCATAATTTTACTATCCGGCCGAATATACCGGATAGTTGCGCACTATTCGGCCGGATACCGAATAGTGATTTTGTTTGCTATTTAACTTTGAAAAATGTTAGTATGCATACTACAAAAATTGATAATTTGTTGATAATTGATAAATTAAAAATATTCGTTTATTGGTTTAAAAATCGAAAATTTTCGACTTTCGACAAGACTTGAAGCGGCATCGTCAGCGTTCCGAGCTGTTGCTCTACCAATTGAGCTACCGAGTCCTACACCTCATCGTCGAATTTTTTCAACTTATTGATACATGCACCTCTCGCGTAATGTAATTTCAACCTTAACACTTGTGTATTAAGGTTCAACGTCTTATGATTTGCAGCTTAAGAAATCGTCGGACAGCACGGAATGGTTCAATTCCTGCCCGAGTCAAAAAAATTTTCAATTTCTTTTCAATTTTTAAATTATATAATGCCTTCATGTGCAATAACATGTAAAAAATTATAAAGTTTTCATTCGTTTATTAGTTTTAACGTACAATTTAAACTTATCAAAATCCATTCAACCAATGGTAGCGTATCGTATGTTAATTTTTAATCAAATAAAATAAGAGTTACCATATAAATAAAAAGAGATAGATATAAATAAACTGAAATATACATAGGTATCGTTTGGCTGGCCGAACATTCGGCGGCCGGATACCGGATATTCGGCCAGTCGTGAGGCCGAATATCCGGTATTCGGTATCCGGCCAAACAACTATCCGTTGCATCACTAATAAAAACCTAGCTATCGTATTTAACACAAATCTCATTATGGTTGGAACAGACTGGTACCAATATTGCCAGTTCCTAATATTGTCTAAACTCAGTGTTAGTGTATCAACATACTCTATAGGAAAGAGTCGAACTATCTTGTGTGCATTAGCTCGGCTTCCGATTGGGCCACAGAATATCACTGTTGGGATATTGGTCTTAATGTATTATTGTATATTATGTGTATTTATGTATATATGTAAAAATAAATATGACTAGATATATCATGCTATATAATATTGTATTTGTAATTATTGTTTTATATTGTGAAACTGTTGTTACTGAATATATATTTTTTTCTATTCTATTCAAATATTTGTACCTTAACAGCGTCATAGATGAACCACTGAAGGGCAGTCAATGTACCGATCATGACGATCCTAGGTCCAAGACCCTTCCATACTCCGGCCATTCCAAGTTTGCCGATGATTGAGCCCACTGTCGCTGTCTTGTCCTGTAATAAACAAAAAACATTAAATCTTACAATGTCACATGTACATTTAATGAAACACTTCTTAAATACGACCCGACGTCTCCGATGCCTTCCAGCAACCAGATGCTGTGTCAGGCTGACTAAAAGAGATTGAATATTGTAGGTTACGCGAGTAGTACACATTAAAAAAAAACACTAACTGTTTAAAACGCGATATATATTAGTAAAACTTATTTGTAGTCACGGGGAGACATGACAGGCCGTAGATCAAATAATTTTAATTAATATATATCGCGTTATAAGTAGTTTGTTTTATTTAAATGACAAGAGATTGACTAATAAAACCCTCCAAAGTGTTTTAATTAATATTTGCTATTGATAGGCTCGAAAAATCCGGACCGCCAGGATCACGAACGTCAACAGATGGAAAAGCTATAAGATTTGTACCAGTAGTTCCTAAGATGCGTTCAAACTCTTCAGCTTTATAATATTAGTATAGATTGAATTACCTGGTTCAATTTGGAGACGACGGTGTCAGCTGGGTGGGAGACGATAGCGCAGAACACACCAGCGATGTAACCGGCTGCGAAGGTTACCACCAGCTGTTCGCCCTTCGAGCACTGGTCACGTGGCTTGGGTACTACGAACTGAAAAAATACAAATAAACAATTTTAGTTCAGTACTGTCTGTAGTTTACGCGAGTAGTACACATTGAAAAAAAAACAAACGGTTTATAACGCGATACATATTAGTTAAAATTATTTTAACTACGGCCACGGATTCCTCCCGCGACCACGGCTGCTGCAAAGCATCCGAAACGTCGGCCGTAGTTAAAATAATTTTCAAATAATATATATCGCCTTTTAAGCCGTTAAAGTGTATTTAAATAATTAGTTCCTTCAACTGGTAGAACTTTTCGCCCAACAACGGGTGGAGAACAATTAAGAGACTTTTCAAATTCCAAAATTTGTTTTAGATGAAAAAAAAAATTACGAAACAGACGGGAATTGAACCGGCATCCACAGAGCTCTGTGCTGCTGGTCAATCGGTGAGAGCAACAGCGGGGAACGTAGTGGATGCTGGGTTCGTCCTGTCCGTGTCGTGAATTTTCTTAATCTAAAGTCGATTTTTAATTTATACTCTCTTACCTTGTACAAGAGCTCTAGGGTCTTCTCGAAGCAGGCGAACTTCATCATGGTGTAGGGGATCTGTCTGCCCCACAGGGGCACGAGGCCCTTGTAGAAGGTGCCGTAGCCCTCGTTCTGGACCATCTTGGGCCACGCTTCGCGGAGGGTGGAGGCGAAACCGGGCATAGTTTGGATTCGGACCTGATGAAAGAATAAGGCGTTAGAAACCGTTAAGAGTGTCTCATTTAAATATCAAAAGCCATAGAATAATAATAATTTTAATTTTGGATTTTACGTAAGAACTATCAAGACTCCCACCCACCCTAGTAAGAAAAACAAGATATTGCCGACACCCCCTCCTTTTAAATAACAAATGGATACCCCAAATAACTCCTTTTACAATATTATCGTAAATACTAAGCCCTCAGATCTCATAATCTCATGGTCATAGGGTAACAACACCAGGTGTTGGTATGCTACCGTTTCCAGCAGTGGGGACTGAACTATCACCATCCAACACCTGGCAACACCCTCCTCTATTATTTTTCGTCATCGGGCTAAGATTTTTAATTATGTATATATATTAAATAAGTTAACGGTTTGAAACACACGGTTAGTATACTAGAGTACAATTTATTTCAGCTTTCAGTTGCTTTGCAGCAGCCGAGACTAGCAGCGTAGTGTCCCCCCCCCCCCCGACCAAGGTTGGTGGAAAGCATCCGTAACGCAGAGCCGTAATTTAAATAATGTAACTAATAAATTTCGCGATATATGCCATTAAATCTTTAATTTAAATAATCTAATTAAATTTTAATATGTTTAAACCTTCTCAATATATTTAATTTAACCTCTAAGCATTAAATAATTACAGCAGCTGTGATCAGGAGAGACTAAAATAAATAACATGTCACGTTTCAAACCGTTAAGTCTTGTATTTAAATAATGTAATATTCTATTGTAATTGTAATGCTTAAACAATTAATTATAGAATGACAAATATATTTCGCGTTTCAGACCGTTGATAAATTGAGGGATTACCTTGGCAGCCTCCATGGGCGAGAGGGCGATGTCAGCGATGAATTCAGCGGACGCTGATGCTGCCAAGTAGACACCAGTTCTGTAGGTATACGCGGATTCCTCATCTAGCAGACCTGAGTACAGCACTTTGAAGACTTCGTAGAAACCGAACTTGCAGAGACCCTGTTGACGATTTTATGTGGTTAATACGAGAAAGGTTCACACACCGTATAATTATTAAAGTAATAACATCATATTATGCAGCATGTCTTCAATGGTATCAGTAGGAACAATTGGATTTTGTTATAATCATATAGATACGTAGAATGTGATAGACAAACAAATGATCCTATAATAAAAAGGATCAATATATCTCATTAATTTTAATAGCATGTGGCTAAGAAGCTTCTCATATTTGCAAAATTTCATTAAAATCAGCTGAGTATTTTAGGCCGGACACTCTGCCATAAATTAAGATAATTCATGCCCGAACAGTGAGTGTTGGCATTTTCTTGCCATCTATTAATTATAGCATTGAACCGCTGGATTGATTAGCTTAAGAGTACGGATTCTGAATTAGCCCGATCGCCGGCTCTTGGTTACTGACGATCGGCCTAAGTCGGAAACCGGCTAATGAATTAATGACAAAACGAACAAAATACAAAACTTAACGATAAAAACATTACATTTTTACAGGATTTAAACCCACACATAAAACTGAATTACCCTACCATAGTGTCTAGGAACAATAATGCTATGTGAACATAATATGAAAATATATATAATATGAAACACTCATACGCAACAACGATCGGCCTAACTCGGAACCCGGTTAAAATATATTAATAAAAAAATAGCTAAGGGCATGTATTCTAAATTCTGCCGATCGCCGGCTCTTTGTTAGCGACGATCGTCCTAACTCGGAAACCGGCTAATGAATGAACCAAAACCAACAAAATATCAAATTTTACTACTTAAAAAACGTTATATTTTACATGATTTAAACCCACATATTAACATAGCGTCCCGAGTTGCTCAACCATAGTATAGAAGAATAACGCTATGCGAAAATAATACCTATGTGTTTCTGCCTATTATAGCTATACCTGCATGGAGTAACCGATGAAGGTGGGAGCCCATCCCTTGGCGAGTCCCCGCATGCCCTCCTCGCGCACAGAGACCTTGAAGCCGTTAACGACATTCTTGTACTTGTCTGGGTCGACCTGGAGACGACATTTGACCAAGTCGAGGGGCACCACCGCCGTGTGTGTGATACCTGGAAGGGGGAAGAGGGGGGTGGTCATGAGAGATGTGTTTCTATAGTTATTTTAGGTTTTATGTAGTTTTTTCGTAAGAATGTATGTGTATGTGTGAACATTTCGTTTTTATCTCATGTAATAAAACAGTTAACGGTTTAAAACGAAATATATTAGGTAAATTAACTATCTATTGATTTTCCTACGTATTCCTTCTTATTTTAAGTTTAGCTTACCTAGATAAGTTTAATAATTGTGTGTAAGTTTTGATATTTTTTAGATTGTATTTTGTGTTTCGCCCACCTTGCACATATCGTTTTTAAACCTTAACCGTAAACTTTCTCTTTCATCTTGGAATCCCTGGAAGAGATCGCTTGTTATCGATAAGGCCGCTCATTGCACGCCATATTTTTAATAAGTCTCGTCGTGTGTATTTTATTCTTGTCTTTTGTGCAAAGTGTAAATAAATTATTTGTAATTCATTTCAATTGCGCCCCGACGTTTCGGATTTAGGGGCAGCCATGGTCGCGGAGGACTGGACATGGAGTGTCCCTAATGTTAAAATCAAACCTGCTACGCTTACGTCTTTCCACGTAATTGGTTTTCGGAGAAGCTAGCTGGGTCCTAATAGTTTTTGTGTTGTGTACCGTTTCAAGTGTTTTATTTAAATGTGTACTGATCTTGAGATTGTACTTCTTATTTAAATTAAAAACTAAAACGGTTTAAAACGAAAAATTTCTAAGTTTAAGAAATTAATTTAACGACGTGCCAGACTGACAGCCGTGGTCGTACTGCGAAGCACACAAAACGTTAGGCAGTAGTTAAAATCATTTGTAAAGTTTAACACACGCGTTTTAAACCGTTAGAAATATTCTATTTCAATGCATCACTCGCGTATACTACAGACAGTATTTTTATTTTTAATTATATCTATCTGTCTTAGAATAAATCTTCAAATGACGGATTAAAATTAGTAAGCCCAGACTAATTTTAGCTTAAAATATTTGTTTGTATAATCTTAAGCTAGAGGGATTTTCCTATCAGGCTTTAGACAACAACATAATTAAGCGAGTGAGATGAAAATCCGTTAAAATCGCAAGTTGACGGTCTTCAATCACGGGCAAGGTCAGATAGTGGTATCTAATCTAAGGAAAACTTGTTAAGCAATCAGATGTCGACACTCGACATTGCTAAAAAGTGGGCTAGCAATGTATATAATTCACATAAAACAATTTAACGGTTTAAAACGCGATACATATTATTTTAAAAATCGAAAATAAATTGAAAAAATTTTCGACTCGGGCACGACTTGAACCGGCATCGTCAGCTTTCCGTGCTGTTGCTCTACCAATTGAAAGCTGACGATGCCGGTTCAAGTCCTGCCGGAGTCGAAAATTTTTTCAATTTATTTTCGATTTTTAAATTATATAGTGCCTTCATGTGCAATAACATGTGAAAAATATTAATGTTTTCAAGCGATACATATTAGTTAAACTTATTTGAAAATTCTTTCACTACGGCCCGACGTTTCGGATGCTTTGAAAATTTCAAATAAATAATATGTACCGCGTTTAACCCGTTAAAGTGTTTTATTTGTATGTCTACTACTTGCGTACACTACAGACAGTATTTAATTATTTTGTTCTACTAGCTGAAATGGCGTTTTAATTAATAAAAACGGTTCTTGTGTGTTAATCTTAAAAGATAAATAGATCTCGTTGGTGAAATTGTAGCAATGTATGGCTAATATTCAACGGGTCGAGGGTTTGATACCCGCCGGTTCCAAGATTTTAAAAATCAATTTACAATTTTTGTGAAACATTTTGCATTTCGTCTGGAAGTCTCTGAACATTAAATGTGTGGCAGGAATATCGAGATACCGTCCGGTTCACGAACCACCGTCCACAGATGAAAAGGCCGTGAAGTTTAATCGCGTTTCGGTTTCACTCTAATGATTTCCGAATACCCTAAGCCTAAATAGGCCGACAGCGCATCTTGCTTGGATGCTATAGGCTGAGATATATCGCCTTCGATCAAGTGTACCCTACGCTTGTGTGCCCTTTCTCTATATAACAAAAAAAAAAAACAAAATAATAATAATATTATTGAGTACATGCTTAATTAGTCACTGTTTTTATAACAGGGTGGGGAGGAGAAGGGGCGAAGGGGAAGCAGGAGAAGTGGGGAAGAGGGGGGAGAAGGGGGTGTAGGGGTCCACGACACCTGCCTCCCCAAAATATAACCTTACGGATAATCCCTCAATCGTAGGAAACCCGACATACCTCAGTTGCATTGAAAACTTATTTATATCGTGCACGTGCTTTTCAAGAGCGTATAGAAATTACGTAACGAAGGTTACACAGAATTGCGTTAGCGCAAAATGGCTTCTAGCCAAGCCTTAGTAACTGTGGACTAATTGTTTACATGTAATGCACAAACACAATCTTGTGTCCGTTTCAAGTTGATCATTTGTGCCATGCCAGGATACGAACCTAGGACCTCATTCGCTTAAATGCTAGGCAAGCTATTGAGTTGCGAGTGCTGATAGAATTATTCATATAAAAAAATGCGTTTAAAAAAAAACTTTGTTTATGAAAAAAAAAAAATATATATATATATAATAAAGGATTCATTTGATCGAAGGTCGACAGTGCATCTATATAATATATAAATAAGATGCTCAGTCGGCTTATTTTAGCTTTGGATATTCGGAACTCCACACGTGATCCAAACGGAATTTACATATCAACCAATGAAATATCTAGATTACGAGACAAATTTTCAGAAAAATTATAAATTGTTTAGAAACACGTTGGGGTTGCTTTTAAATCTATGGATTATACAGATGTAAAAATGTTCATGTTTATCACACTAAAAACGTGTCTGCATAATCTTTACGAACAATATTGTACTGTCTTCTATTACTGAGTACAAGAATCTTTGTTAAACATTTTAGTTATGTTCCGAATATCCAATGGCAACATAGGTTGACAGGGCATCATGTTTACATGTCATATGTTAGGGGGTATGGTAAGGGGGTGGGGGGTATGTCACCTACCATCAAGTGAACTCCATGCTTGTCTGTACTCCTCTATCATAAAAACAAGTTGGGCATAGGATTGTGAGCTACATATGAGGACGCTAGCGGCAGAGTAGCCTAACTGCAATTTTATGCCTTGAGTTTTATATTTTCATAGTCTAAAAATGTTAATCTACAGTGACCGAAAATTGTTAACATAATTCTTACACAAATAATATTACAAATTCATTTTGGCCTAAGTCAATTGCGCATTTTACTTTCCTCCTTATTGAAAATCATGTTTCTTTTATTAGGCCACTCTGCCTCTAGCAGCCTCATATACCATACAATTGATCAACGAAACAAACACAACACTGTGCCTATATGCGTCAATCTGCTTAGTGAACTCACCACAAGATAGGACACCACCCAACCCGCAGAGCGCGAAGTATTTGGGCGAGCCGAATTCACAAGAGTCCTCTTGGGGTACTGCTGTAGCGGCAGCCATTGCACCCTATGAAAAATACAAGATTATATAACAGCAGTTCTTGATAGACATATATGTGTGTCTGCTTTATAACATTAACTGTATAGTGTGATCATTGTAATACTATTAATTAACAAAAATGTGTGACACAAGCTGAGCTCGATAAAGGCTTTTCATCAAATTTCTCGAATGGTAAAAAAAAAATAGTGTAAGTAATTGCATAATGTCTAAGGGGTTGTCCATTAATCACGTGAGGCTTGAAAGGAAGGGGGGTTGATAAAAATCACGAAAATAACACAAGATGGGTGGGGGGTGTAGTAAGATATCTCGTGTATTTATTTTTTCGTCAAACGCGCAATTTTTAAACATGTAGGTGTAGACATTTTTATTAGGGTCCTTAATTTCAGAATAAAATAAGATTATAGTTTATACCTGTATTGAAGTAGATCAATTTAATTAAAAAAATTATAAATATCCTCTCAGCGTTGCGCAACCCAAAACGGCTGAAGCGATTTGAATAAAATTTTTCTTATATTTTTTAGCCTGAGAAGAAATATATCTATTTTTCTTTAGCATTTGTTTAAATTTAAATAAAATTTATGGCAAAACTGATTAATTCTGATTAAATAAATATATTTATCTATAGATAAATATATCTGCAGGAAACATTTACCAAACACCGAGAAGACATATTTCTTTCACTATTACTTTCTCTACTTAGGTTGTATTATTATATTTTACCTTAGTAAGCCTTTTTTTTTAATTTCACAAAATCAACAAACTACAAGTTTGTTAACTATTGAACTATAATTTATAATTAAACTAAGTTGTAATTAATTTGATGTTAAGCCCTCAGATCTCATAATCTCATGGTCATAAGGTAACAACACCAGGAATCAGTACGCTACCGTTACCAGCAGTGGTGACTGAATTCTCACCATCCGACACCTGGCAACACCCTCCTGTATGATTTTTCGTCATTGGGCAACACATTTTTGACAGGAAACATTTTACAATTAATTACATCAACATTGAACAGATAAGCTTAAGATTCACTTGATGGTGGGTTTAATACCCCAGCCATATAACATCTATACTTACAATATTGGAAAAGTGGATAATTGGAAAATCCAGACTAAAACTGAAAAGCATTTGAAAGCTTTTTCATTTGTGGACCCATTTGTGACCGGAACAGAATTTAAATATTTCTAGGACCAATTTAATTTCCAGATAGAATAAAAGAACCAGAATAAACCAGATGTTTAAACTAATTACAATATGTTTCAAAATTATAAACATGTAAAAATTTTGGACTCAGTGGAGATTGAACCCACAATCTGTAGATTATTAGTCCATAGATTGCTACCATTACAGCAACAAGCCGGAATTCTCGTTTAAGTATTATTTCTGTTCTCAGATCAAAAAGTATATACCTCTGTGGAAGCGATGGCTGGCTCGCAGTTGACTGTGGATAGTGGGCCGCGGAACGGCGAATTGCGCGCCGACTCCAAAAGGGATGAGAACATTTTTCTGAAATTAAAAATAACCAATGTTATATGTTAAGTAATTAGCACATATTATTTTATATCTATCAGATATCAAAGCCCTCAGATCTCATAATCTCTTGGTCATTGGGTAACCACACCGGGTGTTTGTACGCTACTGTTACCAGCAGTGATGACAGGAACCTCACCAGCAAACACTCGGCAACACCCTCTCGTATTATTTCTCATCATCGGGCAATATGTACTAATTAAGTGATAACATATCATGTAAGTTGCATTTATATTCTTATCTTATGTAAAAGGGTGCTGTATAATTGAGTTAACTTTTGTAATACAGCAATATGAATCTTTAGTTAAGTTAAATTGCACTTCATACTGGCGGGAGTTTTATCCCCTGAATTAGGTAACAATGCAGAAATCAAAATGTTCACAAAAAAGCAAAAAAACCTATCAAACTTTGCAGCACTTGACTGGTGACATTTGTATTGAAGATACATTTTAAATTTTGCAGTACAGATTAGTAAAAAACCGTGTGTTAATATATAATTTTATTATGAACCTTTTATAGATGTATATTGGGGAATTCGCGAAACTTAACTGGGCGTCGATGTTAGAACTGGTTTAAAGAGACCAATGCGCAAGACAGTGCTAGAACATTGCGGCAAAAAAATAATACTTTTACTGTGTAAACTTAAGTAATTACACTCATATTCCTCAATATTATTTAATTAATAAGATATTGTACAAGGTCACGTGCGATTATCCATAGTTACGTAAGGTAAATTTCGCCGATGTTACAGAGAAATGTGAATAAATTATTGCAGACAATTTAGACGCTGTAGATGGAGATAAAGATAGTATAGATTTTATCTAAAAGCACTTACATGTCTTATATCCGATGGAAAACTTTTCAACACACACCTCACCGCGCTTGTGGCACAGTGACAAAAGGAAACGGGGTAGCCGCTGTCAGCGCCACATCGGAAGTTATGTAATCACGTGGAAACTTGACAGGCGGCAAGGCGCGGCCATGGCCAACCTGATTACAGGCTATAATTATGATAAACAGATGTTATTACCTACACAGATAAAATTTACTTATAAATATATAACAATAAATTTAATTGCGATAATTGTTTTTGTATTAGAATATTTTTATAAAAATATGTAACATATTGATCCTGAATATGTACTGAGTTTATTAATTGTTATACTTGAGATTATATAACACAACGTAAAACTAGATGGCGCTGTTAACAATTGACGTCTCAGTATTTAAAATTTTAACATACATACATAAATATATTAGAATGATTTCATGAAACAGTCTCAAGAAAACAGGAATTCTAATATATGTATTGTGTAAATAAGGAGCGGACGATTTCTGATATTCTTATAGATAAAAACAATTAATGCTGACTTAATGATAAAATCATGTATATTATACAAAAATTAATATAATATACGCTTACCTTTAAAGCCGCTGTACCTCTACATAATTCTGTCACTAACTTATTTGGGCCATATATATATAACTCGTATGCCAATCTACAGCAAACAATTTTGCTTAATAATTTAGCTATTCTAGAACTATTTTTAGACATTACGTTATATAATTTAAAATAAAGACCGTTAACTAAAGGATAAACCATTTTAATACGAATATAGTGCCTGGATTCTACTTGACAAAAGTATTGACATTCTTCTTTCTTTTTTATTGCTGTTAAAACTACAAAGAAGTTTACTTCAGACCTCTTTATTGATTGTGAGATAAGAACAAATTAATAAAATGCGTTTAAAATTAATATATTGCGTTCCTTAATTATTTACTTATAAGCACACTAATAACGATATTTTTCGTTCAATATCTTATTTCTATAAGTCTATAAACGCGGGCCTGCTATGTATACATAACAATTTTTTGGCTCTATTCTCCTACAAATACTTATGTCAATTTCTATTCTGTCATGTTTTGTGCAACATTATGTAAATAATTCACATTTTCTAAATGTAAGTAGTAGCGAGTTTAATATGTCCTACATTAAATAAATCACTTTTAACGGCTTTAAACGCAATATATATTCGTCAATATATTTTTAGCCTCCTTATTTTTACGAAAAGACTCATAAAATTCATTAGTATGGAGTATAGATAGTAGTCATTGCAATTTCGTCTTAAGCTTTCTTTCAAATACATCATTATTTTACTTTACAGCCGAAAATGCAGTAGCTATGTCGAAAATCCATGCCAAATTGTCGAAACAGAAAATGCCAGCGACAATGTCCTCGTATAACGTTAATATCTACACGGCCCTGTATTAAAAGCCAACGGATACCAGCTAACTCCCATTGCGTACCAACATGCCAAAACCCAACATATAATAATCATAGCAGTTCACGTAACGCCCATTGCATGGCATCAAAAAATAGCTGTCCAGGGTGCACAGACGAGAGTGACTCCGAGGAAGAGGGGAAAGATCACATCCAAGTCATACAATGTCCATATTCGCCCTCCACAATAGAACCTGAATACGAAGAAACCCAAAATAAAGTATGTTGCATGCGCAATGCTGACGCAAAGGAACAAGACCAACCCCCACCAGGGTTCACAGCCCGAATATCTGTAAACATAGGCAACCAAGCATGTGATAAAACTGGGGTATGCTCCTCAAATCAACTTCCCAGACAGGGGAAATCCAATACTAATTTACAGCAAACCAAACTTAATTTGGTAGCACAGAACGACACGCATCAATGTCCCCCCGGTTCTTGCTGTGCCAACGACGGCACCGAACATCCATCTAAACCAAATCAGTCCATGCAAGGCTCCAAGAAGTTATCCTCCCAGGGCGTTATACATCGCAAACAGGATATCAGTTTAACAAAGAAATCTAGCCAACGAAATATCTCTAATGAGGTCACGTCACTCATTAATATAAATGCTGCTCAAAACGTCACCGCAGACGCAGAAGCACCATGCTGCGCGAACGCATACACAAAATTGAAACCAGAACCGCCATTACCACCAAAAGGCATAAGCGCGACCTCTCGACCAGGTTATATAGTGAATAAGGAAACACCAGACCATGACCATGTTCCACAGACCTCCCAGTGCATGGCTGGTGGGTCTGGCTGCATGCATGGCATAGCCAGCATTATGGGCCAAAACCCAGTTACTTCCACTGTCAAAGATCAGTCCAGGGATAGAAACAGTACATGTTGCTGTAAAGGGGGCAAGAGCAAAACCATTACTCGATTGGAAGAAGGTACGATTTGCGATTCTGTGAAGTGCTTAGCTAATCATAAGAAGGACTGTCCCTGCATATATCCACCTGGTTACAGTCAATTTACTTGCGCTGGGAATATAACGGGAAATTGCAAATGCGGACAACTCCGATAAAATAAACTTTTTTTTGTTATTTTCTGGTCTAATCGAAGATTTAAAAGGACATTTTGATATTTTAAAGCAAGGCTAGTTAATTTTAAAAGATAGACACAGTGTTGCGGACATTTTTTCCATTTAAAGAAGAATCATTATTTCATACTATTTTTTCGTTATATTCATATTTGCTTTTCAAAATGGCCATGCGAAAGCGTAATACAATTAAAAATAAGTTAGTTAAAGTAGATGGAGAACTTAAAATGAAACGAAGGTGAAATATTAGTTTTCTACAAACCTTTGGCCCGATTGTCTGGTCAAAGCCGCCGGCATCCGGTTTGAACCGGTGTGTAGAGGTTTTGGCGTAAGATACGAGACTTCAAAATCGCTCATACAAAGAAAAAAGGAAATAAAACACAAATACGGTGTATGCAGAATTTAATTGTCTTTATAAAAGTACAACATGCTACATAAACAGTCAAAATATAGAAAGGATACACATTTAAATAAAACACTATAACGGTTTAAAACGCGAACATTTTAAACGGCTCCACGTGACCACGGCTATGTAAAGCATCCGAAATGTCGGGTCATTGTTAAGTTATTTGTAAATTAGTTAAACTAATATATTTTGTGTTCTAAACCATTAAGATGTTTTATTTAAAGGCTGTAATATACTTTAGCGTTAAGACAAATTTGATGTTTACTATATACATAACTTGAAATTTATGCACCTTTGGTTTCTGTTATAATATATGTTCTGTCAAAATTTCGCCTACATCTCTTTTTTAATTTTCTACTCGACCTTTGTTCTTCAATGTATTTACCTATAATAGATTTTTGCTCCGTTTGTGAAATATTATCTGTGGATAAAAGCGTTTTACAATTTAAAAAAAAAACACTTTTTAACGCAACATGTATTATTAAGCTCGTTTAGAATTAATTTAAGAACGGCCTGACTATTCGGATGTTTGCCCCAAGACCGCGGCTGCTGTTAATCAGTTTAATAATATATTTCGCGTTTTAAACCGTTAATAGTGTTTTATTCACAGCGCGTTTTTATAACAGAGGACGCAACGTGAGATTTACTTGAAGAAAGATAAATTACCCCAGCCATGCAACGTCTAAATTAATGTACTGTCAACCATTTTTGGCACGATTAAACTTGACGGCTTTTTCTGTGGACGGCGGTTCGTGGCCCTCACAAAATTTAAATATTCTTACCACTCATTTAACATCCACATTATCAGATGAAGTCTAACATGTTTCAGAAAAATCATAAATGCGAAACCACGACCCGTTAAATTTAAAACATACATTCCTACTATTACACCAACGCCATCGTAAATATATTATAGCAATAAAGTAGTTATTCGTATTATAAACTGTAACGAATGGCGAAATACCTGAGTCGGGTTTTTGGGGAAGGTGCGGTACACTTCGATCGGGTTGGCCTGAAATAAATAACCCAAATCAATGGACACTCGAACGAAGAAGTACTAATCTGTTACTGGCAAAACATCAACGTATATAATCTACATTTTTTATGCAATACCTTTGTAGCTTTGTAGCCAGCTCAAAGTTTTCCCCGATTTACAGTGCGATATTTTATTGATAAATAGTCCAACAAACACGAATATCATTTTTGGAATCAGTAGTTCCTGAGACTAGCGCGTTCAAACAAACTCTTCTGCTTTATATTAGTAGAGATTATCGTGTAAATTACCTGTAGTTTACACGAGTAGTAAACAGTATTTATATACCAAAAAGTAACGGTTTAATTTTCAAATAAGTTTAACTAATATAATATATCGCGTTAAAAACAGTTTATTTTATTTAAAAATTATACCAGCCCAATCTGCTAATAAATGAATCTTACTTTGTTTAAATAAAACACTTTAACGGTATAAGACGCGGTATATTAGTTTAACTTATTCGAAAACTATTTTTAACTACGGCCCGTGACCACGGCATGGACAGCAGCTCGCGTAAACTACACACAGTATCTTACCGTGTATTTTTTTCAATTTGCTTTCTCAAAGGCTTCAAAAACAGTCGCATTGGATGGCAGTCGCGTATAAAACCGTTGATCCTCATATCCACAGATGCCGTTCCCTTATAACATAACTTTTGAAGGAATTTACGAGTTTCAACCGGCATGGAGGTATGTTCTGACTTGGAAACTAGCTGCTTTCGTTTTGAGGCACACTTTGAACTCATTTTTATTAAATTTTAATTTTCAATTATGGAAAAGACACATGTTGTACTTATGTAAATGTCACAGAATAAGCACAGAATATAATATAGGTAGGTACCTACTAGATGTTGCGGCAAACGGTTTTTTTGTTGTTTGCAAAATTAATATTCAGCGTATTATTGTTTTTCGGGCTCTTCGGCCGAATTATTAATAATACGTCGAGCAACCAGGAGCTATAGTCTCCTTATGATGCCGTCCCGTCGTAATGGCGAAACGTCGAGAACCTCTTCTCACTCACGTCGGCCGAACGACCCGAATAATGATATGCTTAACGTTGGCCGTGAATGCCTTATACAATTTATTCAGATATTGTGACTTACAACATAGACATAAGTATACTGTCTCGTACATTTACTATATCAATCAAAGAAATCATTCTTTAATACGTATTGTTTGGTTTCTTAAACCGCTCTCGCAGATCAGGCAATGGAAACCCGAAAGATGAATAATTCACTCGGTTTTTCTCCACATTTTCCAGTGATTTTTCCCTCATATTGCGTCGTTACATAGCCATAGCCTCGATAATTGCTTTAACCATCACAAAAAGATTTTATTAATTCAAATCAGTAGTTCTTGGGATTAGCGCGTTCAAACTGTTTAGCTTTATAATACAAGTAGAGATAGGGTAATAAAATAGACAAACATTGCTTTTTAAGGAATTCATGTTGAAGTGGCAACACCAATACTTAGTAATAAAAAACATTTGAAAACATTAATATTTTTCACATGTTGAGCTACCGAGTCCTCAATTGACTCGTAGCTCAATTGGTACTCGGTAGCTCAATTGGTAGAGCAACAGCACGGAAAGCTGACGATGCCGGTTCAAGTCCTGCCCGAGTCGAAAATTTTTTCAATTTATTTTCGATTTTTAAATAAAAAACATCTCTAGTTATCGGTATTCTTGGCACGCAGAAGAAAAAATAATAAAAACACCAGAAGTGATTTGACATTTTTTTATTAATAACATTTTGTTACTTAAACAAATTAACTATATAAAAAAAGTTAACCCCTTCAGACCGTGCACTGCAATCTTTTTTTTATTCACTGACGTTATATTCAAAATACAGAACAAAACATGGTTGATTACTATAATTAAGTGTTATATATTTCTAAGTATTGAATTATAGTTATTAGTACAATCTTTAACGACACTTTTGTCATATAAATTTACAGATCAAAAACTTGTAGGTTCAAGTAATAGATGTACCATACTTTATATTTTTAAATTTAAAATATTTGAGTAACTATGATTATCAGTGTTTGATACAAATTAGCTGGTACTGTATAAAATATGGGTCAAGAAATGAAAATATATGTGAAAGAAAATTTGCATACTGTCTATAGTTTACGCGAGTACACATTTAAAAAAAACAGTAACGGTTTAAAACGAGATATATAGAACTTATTTGGATATTATTTTAACTACTGCCCGACGTTTCAAATAATTTCGATCTAATATATATCGCGTTTAAAAGAGTTAAAGTGGTTTTTTTTAGAAAATTTGCAGTTCTCTCAGGGAAAATAGTTCTTAGTAGTTCTAGGCTGTAAGACAATCAAGACATCAAGTTAGAGTCAAGAATCAGTGATAGAAAGCAAAAGTGTTATAAAGGCTGCTAGAGACAGAGTACCCTAACTGCAATTCTATGTTCATAGTCTTAAATAGTTAATCTACAAGAGCAGAGTGACTGAAAATGTTAACATAATTCTTATACAAATAATAGGTAAATTCATTTTGAAAATAATTTTCTTTGTTATTAGGCCAATCTGCCTCTAGAAGACTGATATAGGATGTAGTCAAAATTGATTGACATATACAGTAATACCCTGTTCTAAACTGTCTCCTTATGCGATATTAGAGTTAATCAAATTTTTTTTATTGATCAATTTAATTTTCCTTTTTTTCACATCCTTTGTGTGTACAAGTCATTAAAAATCTAAAAATTTCAAACCGTATTCAATTAAACAATCAAATAACACTTGTAAACTTCTAATAGTTCAATTTTGGAGCTTTTCTGCCACAAACCATGAAATGAAGAATCACTCGCGTGCTATGGGACAACAAATTCATTGATCTATGAAATCACACTTATGGAACAACTTTGGTGGATAGTATGAGGCCTTTAACATCAAAAAAACTTTAGATTTTGTTCTTACATCTTTTAATACCTATGTAGTATAATTTTTTGAGGTGGCAAAACCAAGGATGTGTACTGATCGCCCAGCCATCTGTGTCCCCAGGTCCCAAGTCAATTAAACATACTTTGTTTGTCTCCATATGCATAATTGGATGTACGGTCCTGCCTTTTGCATAAGTTGGGGGTATTACTGTAGACTGTTTATGACTTTAATTATGGATACAATTATAATGTAGCTATCATAGAAAACATAAAAATAATTATAATATTTCTTGTGACAGCATAACACTGTACACCTTGATTATTATACCGTTTAGATTTGTTCTTTAATTTACACAGATTCACACAAAGTAGTGCGGTTTCTTTGCAATAATTCCATATTCCTGTAACGCGGGCACTAAGTCTTCCATTGTCATAACATATTTCTTTTCTTTTGGTCCTTTCTGGTTCTTGCTTTGTACTATTTGGCTGGATGTTCTCATTTTGCAATGTTGTAGAGCATCATTTGCTATGTCGGAGAGAAACTTTTGAGATGCTAAAGCTATAAGTCTGATCAACCTGTGAATTAAAATATTGGTTCTGTGAAACATTACTTCTTATTAACTTTTAAATAATCTGTCTTAATGTAAGCGAATATATATACATAGTTGAGACAAATTAAACTTTTTGATGAAAAAGAAACAATAATTTAAATTGTCATCAAATGATTTAGATTGCATAATGCTATATAGTTTTATTTAACTTATATATTAAAAATAGACATTTTTAATAGCATGGTGAACGATGCCGTAAGGACAATTATGTATATGCAGTGCATCTCATATAATCTATAAGATTGAATCAATATTTTTTAAATGAATATCAAAATCAAACGTATGAAATTATTGGAAATCTATACACCCTGCTATGTTTTTGTTGCAATTTTCTCTTACTTTACACCCAAAATAGCTAAAATATTGTTTTGTTTTCGCATATTTAGTCTCAGCCATCTTATGGTCTTGTAAGGGTTAAAACTTACCTAGGGTCTTGAGATTCAAAGCCAGACATGTTCAAGTAATATGCCACAACAGAATCTGGTATGGATGGTGTATAGTTTTCGAGTTGCAGTACAAAATCCGTCAACGCGTTACCAACAGCGCCGTCATCATCGTTAACAGATGGGGAGTTCATGCGACTCATTTCTTACTGATGAAAAGACAATATTGGTTATTGTTAAACTAAATTAAATATAAAATCAAAAATATTCAATACTCACCAACAAATTTTTGTACACACCAAATAGACTTAGACAATAGAATATTATCCGTCAGTGCATTTTGACAATTTACAATGGTGACATTTATGGTCATAGAGCATGGTCCATATCGGCCTTTTTGCAAATACATTTTCTTTTGTTTTTATTTACAAAGAAGTCAATTAGCGTAATTAACGTTGTTAATAGAGGTATATTTAAAATGGTTTTCTGTCATGACTAAACATTTTAAATATTGAGCGAAACGAAACGTAGATGGAATTTACCCGATGTTACCATAAGAAAAGCATTTGGCATTATTAGGTAGAAGGTTTACTTCATCAGTTAATAAAACAATATATTTTTTTAATGTTAAGGATATGACTTACCTTCACAGGAACAAATTACTGTCCCAATTAAATGTATTCAAATGCAATCTTAATTTTTATTCCTTTCAAGTAAATCCCAAGAGCCAATGTATACTAAATTTATTTAATAATAATAATATAAGCTTTTATTTTGAGTAGCATTACAATTACATTAGTTGTTTTCGTTGATCCACAACAGTTATATTCGTTTGCCTCTTTCTATATAAATATATTTAAAACTTTGTTGTGACCCCGATTCAAATTAGCATTAAATTTGTACGTTATTGTTTTAAACTACTGTAAAAAACCATGACCAACTAGCTTTTGTCATTTTACAATCTTTATGAATAGAGATATCGGTTTCTATTGTGGTTTATCAGACTTTTAAGTCTCTGAAAATGTTACGGCTATGTTGTCTCCACTGATTTATTATCTGTGCACACTGCGGCAAATTATAAGACGAACATGGCAATATTGGCCTCGTGGTATTTCGTCGTTAGGTTGGCAACTCTACCCCTTCCTTCCTTCTTTTGCGCCGCTCCACAAGGCAGAACAGCTAGCGAACGTGATCGATCGAATTTCAAAAAAGGCACACACCTACCCCTGTGCTTCCCGAGATCACGAATTTGCTCTATATCTCCTGATTGAAGAATCGGGAGTCAGTGATTCGTGGTTTAATCCGAAGAGTGTGCGTTCAAGACTCGTCGCCGTCAAGGCCTGTTACCTAACGTACCACATCCAAGCAAAATGCCTGAAAAGGGTTTAGCCGATCCGCTCTCGTTCGCGAAAGATTTCATCGCCGGTGGTGTGTCCGCCGCCGTCTCCAAGACAGCGGTAGCCCCGATCGAGCGTGTGAAGCTGCTTCTCCAGGTACAGCATGTATCTAAGCAAATCGCCGAGGACCAGCGCTACAAAGGTATCGTTGACGCTTTCGTCCGCATCCCGAAAGAGCAGGGTCTGCTCTCATTCTGGCGTGGTAACCTTGCCAACGTCATCAGGTACTTCCCCACACAGGCTCTTAACTTCGCCTTCAAAGACAAGTACAAGCAGGTGTTCCTCGGTGGTGTAGACAAGAACACCCAGTTCTGGCGCTACTTCGCCGGTAACTTGGCTTCTGGTGGTGCCGCTGGAGCCACATCTCTCTGCTTTGTATACCCACTCGACTTCGCCCGTACACGTTTAGCCGCTGATGTCGGTAAAGGTGATGGACAACGTGAGTTCAGCGGTCTCGGAAACTGCCTGACCAAGATCTTCAAATCGGACGGTATCAGCGGTCTCTACAGAGGATTCGGTGTATCCGTACAGGGTATCATTATCTACCGTGCAGCCTACTTCGGATTCTATGACACCGCCCGTGGCATGTTACCTGACCCTAAGAACACACCGATTGTAATCAGCTGGGCCATCGCTCAAACCGTCACAACAGTTGCTGGTATCATTTCATATCCATTCGACACTGTACGTAGGCGTATGATGATGCAGTCTGGACGTGCTAAGGCTGATATCCTATACAAGGGCACACTTCACTGCTGGGCAACCATCGCCAAGACTGAGGGTGGCGGTGCCTTCTTCAAGGGAGCCTTCTCGAACGTACTCAGAGGCACAGGTGGTGCTTTCGTACTTGTCTTATACGATGAAATCAAGAAACTCCTCTAAATAATGTAAGAATTGTTACCATTGTGATTTAAAATCGCTACAATAGCCACTCCTTCAAATCATGTATTATTAGATCAAAAATGCATCCTAGTAACTTATTTTAGTTAAATAAAGTGTTATACTATGATTCCAGTTTGTAATTGTTTCATTGCAAAATTTTCACATTACATAACATCTATCCATTTTAACAATTGAATTGAATTTTTCTAAGTTTGAATTTAGAATCATCTATCAGTCTGTGCCAGTTGTTATGTAACCTCATTCCATTCTGACACATGGCTGGTAGGCCAAGGTTTTAGCAAACTGTTCTATAATAGTTATGTAATACTTCGGCAGCATAACCTATATTGTGGTAAAGTGTAGTGAAATTAAGCATTGTGTATCTTGTGATAAGCTGTTATGTAACAGGCTTTGTATGTTTCTGTGCGTGACATAGTCCACAATTTATCATTAAAACAGTAGGTAACATTTGGTGTATGTTGTTCGGTAGGGGTGGACTATAAACATTGTCCTCGCGTGTGAGTTTTTTGTTGAGAAAAATTCATACAATGAGTGAATAAATTAAGTGAATACAGATTGTTCTTTTATTACTGGCTGTTACCCGCTGTTGCTGGCTCAAAGAGTAATTTTGTTAAACCAGTTTGATCAAGTTTAGAGTAGAACTTGACCTACTTGTATAAGTAGTAAGTTCACAGTATAGTGAAGTCGAGTCTTAAGTCCTAAGTAATCAGTACCTTATACTAATAGTAGGTCGACGCAGTTATCGCTAAATAATGATTAATTTGATATAGATTTCTGAAGTTAAAGTTTGTCTACTGTCTGTAGTTAACGCCAGTGTTTAGTACGCATTTAAATTAAAACACTTAAACGGTTTGAAAAGACGAATATATTAGCTTATCTTATTTTGACATTAGAGACAACATCTGACCACGGCTGCTGCAAAGCATTTGAAATGTCGGGCCGTACCAAGGTAAAATAATTTTCAAAAAGTTTATCTTATAATACGCGTTTTAAACCGTTAGTGTTGCATTTAACAGAGTTTTCTTTATTACTTAAAGCATAATCAAAGGTTTAGGTTGTTGGTATAGTTGGTTCCACGAATACGACCTCAACAGTCATTGAACCTCTCACAAAATGGCGGATCTGTCAAAATTTATTGACCCTCTGGGTGTGACGTCACCTGCGATGACGTAAGAGACGCAGGAATTGTCTGCAGTGACGTAGGTAAATTATATAGGAATTTGAATCTTATTATGTCTTGGTAGATAAAGCTGAATAGTTTGTGTATTTGAACGCGCTAATCTTAAGGAACGAATAAAAAATACTTTTATGAGAAAAAAATTGTGTTACAACAATTATCGAGGAAGGCCGAACTATACTATACGATAAAACATCGCGCTCTGACTAACACGAGCAAAGAAACAGTGGGAAATTTAAAAAAAAACGGGAATATGTTTGTGGATTTCCGATGCGTACTCTGCGAAAGAATGATTCCTCTTAAATTATCTAAAAAAATGTCAGCGACAGAATATATCTTTCTTTTAAGATTAACTTGCAAGAACGACGGGACGAGACGACGAACGAGAGATGAGAAGGAGGTTTTCAAAAACAAATTTGGTAAAGTAATTGTTGTAGAACCTAGTACTCACCAAAACTACTAAAATCAAGTGATTACAGTTATGGTCTTTAGCTAACTTACTACTGAAGTGGGGTTGAGGTTCGATTTACTCTATATAAAAAAGACACACATTTGCTTTTGGGCTAAATAAAACATGCCTGAGCCGGATACAAAACAATATCTTATTTTAAGATACATCAAGACTCATTATGAGCGTTTACTGATTTATCGTTAGTACTCTTAAATTAATAAATTATTTTCATTAGAGATGCGCCGAGTAACACTTTTGTAAAACTCAGTACTCGTTACTCGGCCCAATTTTTTTTTCAACTGAGTACTCAGTTCAATTAAATTCCAATTGCTTTAGAATTAGATAGCTATTTAAAAGAAATTTTATTGTCAAAAAACACCTTCCGAGTGATGATAGGGCACTAACCAATGCATCCAGAGCTGGAAAGTGTAGCAAGAGTATTTCTGTGTCCACCTGCAATCACTTAATTCGGAGGTCGGTAACTTCTACGAGGAAAAGAGAAATAGGCTGTCACAAGAACGTGCACAGATCCTTCTGTTCCTGCATCATAACTCACCTTTATTAAATTTTAAATATTAATTATTGTCATTACAGCTCTCGTAATTTCTCTCATTACTACCCATTCATTAGCATAATTTTAATTTTATTAATTGAGATTGTCAAAGATTAGATACTGTCTATAGTTTACGCGAGTAGTACACATTTAAATAAAACACTTTAACGGTTTAAAACGCGATATATTAGTTAAACTTATTTAATTAATTATAAATAAGTTTAACTAATATATCGCGTTTTAAACCGTTAAAGTGTTTTATTTAAATTGTCAAAGATTTCCTAAATTCTATGCGAGTATCAAAAAGCCCGCCGAGTACCGAGTATAACCCGAGTACTCGGCACATCTCTAATTTTTATGGAATCTCACATGTACTTAATAAATAAACATTTGAGTAATTAAAACTGAATTTAGCTTTTATGTACAAACTAGCACAATAGTTGAAAGTGTTGTTTGTAGTTACGACTTGTACATAGAAAAACACATTTAACGGTTTAAAACGCGGTGTATATTGTATTACTGAATTTACTATCGTGGTCGTTTGATGAGCAGACAATTCGCCTTAAATGAAACAGACATTTAAATGTGTCTGCACCGTGTAGGGACAAGATAACCCAGGCTTATTATGTCATGGATTACTGACACTTTTAGAGGTAATCCCTCAAAATTTCCCTTGACACTGTGGACAAGGTCAGACTCGCAGAGACTAATATTATTATATAAGCAATAAGTACCGCATAGCAACAGATTTGACTGGCTTCTTTTACGTTAAGTCGTTTTTATTTTTAGATTAGGTGTTTGAAGGTTGTTTTAAGATTTTTTTTTTAATTATATATATAATATATATTTTTAATGATACGAGGACAGGCAAGTATGGGATGGATGGTAGATACCCCAGCGTATAGTTATTAAAATTATTTTCCATACTGTAAAAATAAAAGAAATGCTTTCAACCTTAGTTCATTATTCCAATACAATGTGTTATAGATAATTAATTCAAAATTTAACACAAAGGTTACAACAGGTTAGTGCCCAGTAGTACAGCTATGTGCACAACTAACAAGTTGGTCAGATTTCTGCGCCCTATACGAACGAAACAATTTAATGTTGCAGCGAAATTCGAACCCAGGACCTCTCGAGTTTAAGCAACACGTTCAACCATAGAGCTACGGAGGCGGTATTGTTTTATATGTGTAGGGGAAAATATAGTTTTGGAAATATAGTATTCTATATTTTACATCAGTATGGCTGTCACGATGAAAAAAAATGCGTATTGACTCCGATTCATATATGAGGCTGCTAGATCCAGAGTGGCCTAATAACAAAAAACATGATTTTCGATAAGGAGGAAATTAAAACTGCGCAATGAACTTAGGCGCAAATAGAATAGAAAGAAATTTGTAGTAGGTATTATTTGTGTAAGAATTATGTAACAATTGTCGGTCACTGTGATTTTGTTGATTAGCATTTTTAGACTATGAAAATTTAAATAAGCTAAGTCGTATAATTGCAGTTAGGCTACTCTGGCTCTAGCGGCCTTATAATACCATGATGTACAATACGATATTATAGTACGGTTAGCAACGTAAGATTAAACGTATGTTGTCTTCGTAACAATTCCGCGAATTAGTGTTAACCGACCCTTGTAAAGTCCAACGGCGATAGTATGAATGATGTAAGGAAATTCTTTGAATACGGTTTTTTTAAATGAGAACAGACAAGCGAGTGCTTCGCTTGTGGACAAAGGCTGTCTACCTATTTTGGCTTTGGATATTCGACGCGTATGTATTTTGCGGGTAACGTAGCTCCATTTGTAAAGGAGCCTTGTAGTTGCGGGTTTGACTCCCGCCCTTGTTATATAATTTGCCAAACGACATTTTTTTATTTAAATATTAGTATAAGTATAGTAAGTAGTAGATATTTTAATAAAACATTCTTAACGGTTTCAAACGCGAAATATGTTTCTTAACTAACTTAAAATTGATTTCAACTAATGCCCGAAGTTTGGTATGCTGTAGGTACAGCAGCCGTGGTCACGGGGAGACTAAATATAGAGTTCCCCTAATGTCAAAGTCAAATCTTCTTGTGCCATTTGTTTCGTTGTAGTTAAAGTAAATTGTCAATAAGCTAAATTATATATTTCAAGTTTTAAACCGTTAAAAGTGATTTATTCAAATAACTGTGGTATTTTGTGATTCTGAATTTCTACTACCACCCCAGTAGTTTGAAACGTAACACGAAAAATTGCTAGCAGAAGTGGGTGCGGTCGTTGGATCGAGTCCTGCCCGCTTATTATTTAAATAGTTAGATTTCATTAAACTATCGTTATTATGTTCCGATTTTCATCAGTATGACGTCAGCTAAATATTTTACACATTAGTGATAATGAACAAGTTGATAGATAACAGTCTTATCTCCACGATAAAAAAACCTGTTTACAGTTATGTCTGTACGTTTAAGTGACAAACATTTAACAGTACCTACCAATGATTTACTCTTCAGCCCCTGTCAAAAAAGCAATGTACAGCTAATAAAATGTATGGGTTTTGGCTTCGATAACCACCAGGTCCAACATATTTCTCAAAATGACATAGGTCGTAATTTTCGACGTGTTAGGGAGAAAATTTCAAATTTATTCCACATTTTAAATGGATTAAATAATATGTAAAATACTGTCTGCGCGAGTAGTACACGTTTAAATAAAACACTAACAGTTTAAAACGCGTATTATATTAGTAATCATTCTCCCAAGTGACAACTGCTACTACAAAGCATCCGAAACGTCGAGCCGTAGTTAA